GTACGGAGTCTGTGAGCCAGTGGTTGCCCATACTTGTTGTCAGGGTCGACTTGAGCCCCGAAAGGGGGCCCCCTTGCTTGGTAACTCCCGAGATGACAATTGGAGCAGTGAGACCGTAGGCGGTCTTGACTCGATAAGGGACATCAGTCTGTGCGGACTGGTCGAATGTGATTAGTGACGGGGGAAGTCCATATGCGTGGACTGCATCGTAGAATCCCTGTGGTTCCAAGTGGTCAAACCCCTTTGTCTGATCACGTCTGAGAATATAGACTGGGGTGGAAGTACGGTTGGACCAGGCCTCGAGGTGGGCCAGAAAGGAGGTAAGGTCTCGGGCCTGTACGCCAGGTTGCGTGGCGACCTGCCCATATGGTAAAACCGAGTGTTTAGCCAGATACGGAACGAGGAGGGAGTTGAGCCAGGCGAATGGGGTGTTAAGGAGAAAGTTGTTGCAGCAAACCCCACGGTAGTTCACAAGATCGGAGGGGACGCCACACTTGTATATGGTGGAGAGAGTACAGGGCTTGACGCAAGATGGAATGGACGATGTGGATATCTCATAATTAAGGAGGTCGAGTACGATATCAAGAGAGAAGTCGTGAAGGGCCTTCACCATCCATTTCTCCCACTGGTCAGGCCCGGGAGCGGGGCGAGGTTTGCCTTTGCGCAGAGTGGAACGGAGAGTAAGGAGGGTCATAGGAGAAGGCCAGGAGAATGGGTCAGAGGCAGTGCGTTCACGGATCTGTAGCACGGAGGGTGTATTCAGCCAGGGCTTGTCAGGTTCCGGATATTGTCGGGGACGACGAGAGAAAAGATGTCGGAAGTAGGATGTGGTCGCATCCTTCACCATCTGGGGGTCAGTGATGAAGGCATCGCCTTGTTGAGGATCAGTAATTGCCAAGGGCGGTCCGGATATCTCATGAGCATGAGGATATAGGCGTTTACTAGATCCGCCGAGAAGGACCGCATTAATACGTGCCCGTCCGGATTGGACAGCACGGCGATGGAGTTCAAGATGCTCGAGATGATACCGTACGTGATGAAGAGCTTTGCGTGTGGCAGTTAGGAAGGTGAGGAAGGCAGTATGAAATGGGACATCGGAGGAGGGGTTTGAGGCGGAGTAGAAGTCATCGAGGTAGGTGTGAACCCAAGTATGCGCTTGCGCAAGGTGCTGCAGGGAGTGCTGCCTTGTTGCATAGATGAGGCGCCCAATACGTCGTAGTTCAAGCATGACCTGGCGGATGTCGGGATTGGAGACACGGCGTGCATCACCGGAAGAGTGACGATGGGGAACATCGAAGGCGCATTGTGCGGCACTGTGAAGAATCTCTGTGAAGGATTGGTACCGGAGCTGGAAAGAGGATTCATCCGTGATGGGAATGTTGTGGAGGTCACGCTCGCGGACAAGCCTGTCAACCGTTTCCGCGAAGGTATCAAACTGATGTTTCTCAGACCGCTTGGGGTAGAGAAATCGCGCGGGGAATTCAGTGTAAGGAAGCAAGGACGGGATCTTTGTAGAGGATGTGGGACCGAATCGTGGGGGAGGGCTCAGCGCAAGGGAAGCGGTAATTGGCCGATGGTCTGTAGCCGGTACGAAGACGTTGGAGGTTTGCACAAGGCCAGTGAGGATACCAACAGAGGAGTGAGCGACTCTGTCAATAATTGAGAGACCGTTGTTGCTGCGGAAAGTATACATGGAAGAGGCGTCAGCGTCATCGCGTTGGGACCATAGATCAACCCCATGGGAGGTGTTCAGGAACGTGCGATATTGTGAAGAAGCGGCCGATATACGAAGGTTAGCAGAGGACGACTCGGAGAGTGTCAGTGTCGCATTGCAGTCCCCAACCACCGTCCAAGAGAACGGTGCAGTAGAACATAGATCCGCGATGAGGCTCCAGAAGGCATTGTCAGTTTCGGACCCGCCGGGATCCCAAGGAGCATAAATGGCGATGAGGCGGTGCGTAAATCCATGCCCACTGGTGGTTGGGATGACGATGTCGAGTGCAACTGCACGGCCCTGTAGAGAATCATGCGTTGTGACGCGTTTAGTGTGTAGCACTTTGCGGACTCCAACAATAACTCCCCATTTCCCGTGGTGGGAGTGGGCACCGATGGGAACACCGAGAGATTCGTGGGTGGTGTAGTCACCAGCCCTAATGCGCGAGGCCAAGGGGGAGGATGACTTGGTCTCGTTGATCACCCATGCGTGGGGGCGCTGGGAGGAAATTATGGAGGCGATTGCGGCTTGTTTGGAAACATTCGCTAAGCCGTTGGCATTTACAGCGAATATATTAAATGTTGACGCCGCCGTAACCGCAGGTATTACAAAGAGGAATGTGAAAAGCAGCACAATAAGGAAGCGACTGGAGCCACGGAGACGTAGCAAAAGAAAGGGGAGGAGGGATAGAAAGTACAAGAGGGAAACGATCCGATCACAGGTAGTAGAGAATACGAAGAGAAGGTAATTAATCAGGTGGGGAGGCAGGCTCGCTGTGTCCATGAGACAGGAAGGAGAAAGAGAGTCATTGAAACTTAAGCAGGATGATGAAACGGACGTGCACTCCGCCTGCGCACTGCGGGGCTTTTGACGCAAATGGGGTGACTGTAGAGAAAGGGACACAGATGACTGCGAGCGATCCGTCTCCTCACTGCGCGGGGGAGTGAGGGACCTGCAAGAAGTATACATGCACTGTGGGGAACGTACCAGTTCATCCATTCGGTCATCATCGTCATGTTGCCGCCGAGAAGGCGGGTTGAGATAATCATCATCATCTGGGAAAGGACGCTTGTGAGGGAGGTCTGTGGGTAGGCGAGACGGTGGCATCTGCTGTGTAGGCAATGAAAGCGGGAAGGAGGCGGAAGACACAGGTGGTGTGGGGGCTGTGGCAGGGATCGGGACCGAAGGGGGGGCGGACGGAGATAACGCTCGTGGTGGAGGACTCTGGGAACGCGGCGGGCCGAGGGGAAGAGGGCCAGGTGCTGAAGTATCACCTGGCGGTAGTAGCGAGAACGTGTGGGCCTCGTGCTTCTCAAGGGAGAGCTGGATCTTAGCTACGGTTTCCTTTTCTTCATCAATCCGATGTTCAATGCCTTGGATGCATTGTGCTAGTACAGGACGTGTTTGCTCTGGTGTGAAAACGAGAACATCCTGCATGAGATCGTGTCGCTCACGCAGGCCACTGAGTGTGGACTGGGCACCAATGAGACGGCAGTTAAGAGAAGAGGTGGTTGCAATGGACGTCAGCGCGGACATGATCTGGTTTGAGTTGACCGCCAAAGTATCGAGCATGCGTTGCTGACGCTGGAACATCTCGTTGTACATCCGAACAGCCTCTGTTCCCTGCTGTCGTAGTGCATCGAGTTGGGCCTGATGATTGCGAGAGTCAGCGGAAGAGAGTGCCTGGCCTTGTATTACGGCGGCGTTAGCGGGAACACCGTAGGTGTTGAGAAGGAAGAGGAGGAGGGGTCGTGAGGCCGAGACGATGCGGGAGAGGGGGTGGTCAGTGAAGAGGTCAAACGGGTCCGAGATAAAGTGGGAGGTGACTTCCCAATCTCTCAGGACTGCCGTATAAACATCCCCATTCATAGCCATGCGACTACAAATGAGGGCCCCCTGTCCGTATCGCTGGTAAATGAAGCGGTCAATGCGAGCACGTACTCCCTGAAGATCCTGCAGGCCCATGACAGCTACCTCGAGTCCGTATATAGGGGTAATGAACCGTGGTCGCGAAACAGTAAGCGCATGGCGATCAATAACTGGTGGGTTGATAAGCAGGGACTGTACAACCTCAGAGTCAAGGAGGTCAAAGGTGAGTCGCCAGGCGCCTGACGGGCAACTGGCATAGGAGAGTTGGTACTCATGTCCACGATCAGTGAGCCATTCTCGCACCCTGTCCAGCATGCGTGTCGCCTGCTCCTTATTGTCCATAGGGAAGACCACCCTACGCGTGCGGTCCGGCCCAGTGGCAACTCTCCAGGTCGCATGGATACCAGGTATGTTGTCAAGTATGCCTCGCAGCTGTTCAAGAAGATCGGGGCGAGGATGGCGGGCGAGCGCCGGGTCGAGCGCTACGTAGGCATAATCACAAGCGTGGCGGGAATCTGCAAGGCGTACAACAAAGTAGCGGGTTATTGGGTGGGTAGGCTCAAGCTCGCGCAACATCTCCTGAAGGCGATGGGACGCGGAGTAGATTGTTGCGTGTGGTAGGCCAGAAACAAACAACTCGACTCCTACGTATGGTTCTTCGACTCCTTCTTCGACAATCGGAGGTGATTCCTCCCTGTCATATCCGACAGGGGGTCGTTCAGGCGGCGGGGGGAGGTTAGACGACGACATTAGAATAGGGGCTAACGGTGAGCAAGAGGCAGCAGGATAATCGCGGAAGACCCGAATAGTTCGGCGGAGAAAGGTTTTTAATGCCGGAAGGCAATAACAGAGTCAAAGATCAGAGGACGAGTAGAGAGGTTAGTCAGACGGTGGTGGTGGTGTAGGAGCGAGAACGCTGTGACGACGGATGGTTTTAGGAGCCTGTCACAGGAAGCATTACCACTTTTATCCATTGGAAATAACCTGGCAAAAAGCATGGAAATCAATAATATATTTTCAGAGGAAAAACCTCGTGAAAAAAGTGAGAAAAGAACAAAACATTCTCACGGTTTTTCCCTTGGAAATAAGTTGCCTACCATATCAGGCAACTGGACATGCCAGGACATGCCAAAACCCGGACAGAATTACCATATTTGGCGACCAACTTATTTCCAGTGGAAAAACTGCGGAAATGCTTTGTTCTTTTACACGTTTTTTCCTCATGTTTTTCCCGCAGTATAACTTTATTGATTTCCACACATTTTTCCAAGTTATTTCCTCGGGAAAAAAGGGGTTATGCGTCCTGTGTGTGGTATGACCAATTTTCCTGTCCCTGCCGCGGTCGCCGCCCATGCCGTGACCCGGGAGTCTCTCAGACGAGCGCCAGCTCAGACGACTACAAACATCCAGTACCTTCATGCAACCAGCAGCAACGTCGTCTTTATCCCCACTGCGCCGTTTGGCCTTGCACTCCACCACCACATGCTCTGTGCAGGCATCCGCGTACGGCAAGTGCATCCTGGCCACCTACGTGGACGTGAAACAGGACGCTTGCAAAGAGGAGTTTACTCGTTTCGGTGCTTGTGTTCGTGAGGCAGTATGTGATGCCGATTCCAGATGTATATATTGAGCTTACACATGGGGAACCAGATGAAGCGCAAGTGGTGATATATGACAAGCGGGGCCTGCGAGCAGACGAGCAGATAGCAAGAATACTAATACCCGACGCAATAGTAGGGAAAGCGGATAAGTTAATGCTATGAGTCATGACCAATCATGTACCACTGTCTGTGTCGATTCCACCGGGGGTTCTCACATTCTCCTCCACTGTACTGCTACCTGCCTCTGTATCCGCGGGACGAGCTCGCGCGATAGCGGCGTCGCGGATTTGGGTTCTTGCCTGCCTCGCGCGTGATAGTAGCCCCAGAGCAGATCTTGTCTGCCACGATGTAGTGATAGGGAGTGGAAGCAAGTCTTCTGTGGAAGAATCGTGCGGAGGAGGGGGGGGAGGGGGATACCTGAGGCGGTAAAATAATGTAGACAGACGGATATTAATCACGTATGGTGTGTCCACATTTTTCGGGGTTTCCTCCAGGAGTGGCATTGGCGACGTTGTGATTGAAGGTAGAAGAGGGTCGGGGGTGTTGGGCGGCATAGCTGATGACAGCGACGTCTCGAAAGCGATTGTGACAAGTAACATGTTGAGGAATATGATGAGGAAGTCGAGGAAAAGCAGATGCGCCTTGGATGGAGTGTACGCTAAGGAGGCAGATAATTAGCATCACGGTTTTAAATAGAAGGCGCAACGAGGCGTACCCAGGCCGACGAAGTCGAGGATAACTGATCTCCCGTGGGCTGCACCCTGCGCCGCATGCGACCATACGCTCCCGATGTTGAAGAACACGATGACCAAGTACCAGAAGCGGAGCGTACGGCTGGAATCGAGTGTCCGAGGTCGTGAGAATTGGAACTGGGAAGAAACACGACAGAGGTAGGCCCAAATGGATGGCGAAAGGAGGAAGGAAAGGGTGTGTAGCTGATAGACGAGGGCATCCAGCTGGACGGACTCGGTGTGAGTGATGACCTGGTGAAACGACGGAAGACAACATACGGAGTATATGATGTGCTGTCGTTGGGCATGGTGGATTGGCATGTCATGAATGTAGCACAGATTTCTTGCAGTAGACGGCAGCGTGTGCTGTATATTATTCTCAGCAACGTGCGGCTGTGTCCATAGTGGCAGTGAGCGGGGTCCACCTGTGTGCTACTGATGTCCGAGGTACCGGGACGCGTTATGTTCGCGACTGTGACAGCGAGTCACGCTCGCGTCTTCCGCTCAACGACAGCACGATGTCCAAAAATTCAAGACAAAATGGCCGCAGGAAGTCTGGCGATCCTTCTCAGCGCAAGCTTCATGAGGTCGTCGCCTCTCTCTTCACAACATCAACCCCCACTTCTTCGCAGTCAGGTCCGTCTAAGGGATTCCGACCCAGGGAAAGCCTACCTAGACCCACAGGCAAGGCTACTTCAAAGGCCACTGCTCCCATGCGTGGTGGCCGTGAAGTCATCGTTGTTTCCAATTCCTCGGATCGAGGTCACGTAGACAAGCCGATCGTTATCTCCTCAGATTCCGCCTCTATTTCAGCTGGCCCCGCCGCCAGTACTTCACGCTCACACATTACCATCTCCAGTGACTCCGTGTCAGAATCGAAAACCAACTCGCATAACGTGCACTCCGTACCTGCTCCTGTCAGAATACTCAGACCGCGTTCCGTGTTTTTGTCATCTTCGGAAGCTCCAGCACGACCTCAACGTCGTCAGCGGCTCACGATGTCCAAGACAAAACCCCCGGTGAAGCGCAAACATGATGACTCCGAAGACGAGCCTGCTCAGGAGCCTGTTTATGTTTCGCGGCAACCGCCTTCCTCGCGCAGCGCAGTCGCGTCTCCTCCCGCCCGACCCCTGGCACCCAAGGACAATGTCCCCTCATTCCGTGGCAGAGTCGAATCCCACAGGAAGTCTTCACCTTTCAAGAAGGCGCGTCTATCGTCTCCGGAACCCATGCCAGATGCACCGAGCTCGGGTAACGATGCAGACGTCGAGGAGTTGATACCGAGCAGTCAGTCGGACGAACAGGAGCTATGTGTGCCAAAGGCTGCGGTGAAAAATCCGCAGGAGGTGAAGGAGAGCGTTCACAAGTGGAGACAGGAAGCGGTGCCCGCCGAGCCCATCTTAGAGCAGTTCCCGCCGGAGGATCACTTCACTCACTTCACCGAACCAGAGATGCAGACGGATCCCGACGTCGCCATGGCAGATTCTGTACCTCTACCCACTGTTGAGCTAACTAAGGGCTCTGTCACTCCGCGCTCCGAGGCAGAAGTCAGCACGCTCTTGCATCTGCGAAGTTCTCGGTCCACATTGTCCTCATCGCACTGGGAAGCACCAACATCCGATGCGGGTGTCTTACCTGCGACTTTGCCAGCAGCTGCATCTGCCCCTCCCGCACCTATTTCTGCAGATTATCTTTCTATTTCACCTCCGCCTCTAGATCTACCCCCACGGCCTCCCACTCCTGTGGCCCTGAGTATGGAGACTAAAACAGCGCAGATCGTAGCCGACATCAGGGCCCAAGCGGAAGCGAGAGATGATGAAAGTTTTGATCAGGATGTACCTTTGGAGTTCAAAGACTTGGAGAGCAGCAGTGACGAAGATGACGGCTTTCTCCAACTGATGACGAACATTAGGGGCAAAGGGAAAGCGTAAGTCTCGGCAAGCCCTCAGTTGTGTGGCTCTAACATCTTACAGTGTGGTCAGTAGTCGAATGCCCAGCCTGTCCTCCTCACCTCTCTCAAACCTAGACAGCTCCCCCCAACCACAGCGTCAATCAGCGCGATACAACCTCCGTCGCAAATTCCTTGGACCAAAACCTGCTGTGTCAAAGTCTCCATTGACGCCGGCCGCCCATTCTGTTCGCAAACCACGGAGAGCAGTCGATCCATTAGAGCAACTATTGAAGGAAAAGCGACTAGCTGACAAACGCGGGAATGGGTCGAAGGCCTTACTTGCTGCTGAAGCCGCGGCTTCGTCCCCGTCACAGTCAAAGCTGGAGATGAGGCTGGAGATGGATGCAGAGGAAGAATCGGATGCTGACCCTGCCTGGGCGGATGAGGACGCGGCGATGCAGGTCGTGCAGCAGGGTGCACGAGGTCTCACCCTGAAGTCGTCAAGCCCTGTGCCTGCCGACGCCGCGGCCAAGGCAGAAGGTGAGACCGAGAGTGCAGACGAAGATTTGGAGGAGGCGGATTGCGAGAAGATTCTAGGCGCGAAGGGCGGTAAAGCAGTAGGCAAGATCCTGGCCAACGATCGCAAGAACAACTATACTATCACGAAGGGTAAGAAGAAGCAGCGTGTGGTTGGTGTACCTCTCTGGGAAAGTCCCGAAGACTCGCCAGGTGGGAAGGCAGACGACGACATGCAAGTGGAAAGCGCTCTTCCTTCCCTTCCTTCAGGTCTGGCTAGCAATGGTCATCCCATCATCTTCTTGTTGCGGCGTTTTGTCGATAGTGGTGGTGTGTATCTCCCCCTCCTTTACATAAGGGTGGCGGGAAGGGCTGACAAAGATTAATTAGATGCGCAACAGTTGACTGCTGCTATAAACTCCGGCGTTTTGTCCCTTTTAGGGCGACAAGTCCTTTCGTACCTCCTGCCATGGTTATTCCAAATTGGTGTGTTGTCTCTATTCATCGTCTTTGCGTGGTTATCTACTCATCACTTTTATCTTCTGCTAGCTGTATCGAATGCATCTCTCGCTCGATCTTCGCATCTTGCGTTACTCCGTCTATGCGCTTTAGACAGAGAGCCTGATTTTTCTACCGGTTGTCCTTTCTCCTTAGTTGTTAGCGCCCTTTCATACCTAGGCGCCAAGCCGGATGCTCTGGAAGCTCAGGGATGGAATCTTTCAACAAACGTCCAGTCCTCTACGGTTGATACCACGTTGAGGCCCGAACGCCTCGATCGTCTAGTGTCTCTGATTACAACATTTGCTCAGTAAGTTACATATCGTAATGACTTTTGGAGTCTTTCCTGACCCTTGATCCAGGCAAAGAGCATTGTCCCCCAACGACGTCCCAGATTTTATTTTGTCTCTGCTGCTCATTGGCTTAGATGCATCAGCGTCAGCTCAGTTGAAGAGAGATATTGCGGTTGCTATTGAATATCTCGCCCATGCCATTGCGGCTGTTAGCGAAGCACCATCTGCTATTGTGAGTCAAAAGTGTTGAACTGTCCGCAACGTCACTCTGACGTGCTGATTAGGAGAGAAACATCTGCGCTAAAATTGTGGATTTCGCGAAGACATTGACCCCAGTCAACAAAGCGCATATTTTCTCCCTCGTCATCGGCGGTTCCCCTTATACGAATCGTATAGCAAGATGGGTCGCGTACTCCTTGTTGCTGGATTCTGGTATTCCACCGATCGTGAGTCGCGTACGTGTGCGATGTGTGTGCGCATAGAACTAATAACCTTCCAGGAGTCGTACTCACACCTCCCCGCCCTTGCTCCGCTTATTGAGCTCCTTTCGCCACCATCAGGGTCCGAAGGTTTATTCGACATCCAGGGCAGTTCGGATAATGAAGACTTCTATGAGGACCTTGCCTGCCACGTTGATATACTGAGCAAAGTGCTGACGAGTGTCGACTTGTACGTCGCGGAGGAGAAACAGGTAGCACAGAAGGAGTCTGTGTCTATGAAATTTGAGGATAGCCTCGACGACGCCAAGACGAAGGGAAACGGGAAGGAGAAGCAACCGTTGGAGCAAATTAGGATTCTGCTGGAGGGTCTTCACGGGAAAATCGGTACGTTTGTCGCCCATCTTCGCTTCTCCAACCGATTCTAATCATGGAATTTTATCAGTGGACACTCGCGCAGCCCACCTGGATCGCTCTCGCGCCAAAGCGGCCTTGCAGCAACTTGCCATCCGCCTACATTATCAGCGTATCGCCGGCCTTCGTTCCACTGCTAAGCAGCGAAACTTGGACGGCTACTTTACATCAAAGTAGTTACATCCTTATACACTTTCTATTTGAGCTACTGTACGTTCGTCTATCGGTACCTTATCCTTCTCTTTGTAGTTATCCCTTACTTGGTTTGCTATCGAATGTGCGAAGTGCGTACGTGGTACAGTGCATTCCGTTCTGACGCTTCCATGTCCTCGAAATTGCTCCGCTCTGGTGTGCAAACTAGGTTTGGCATCCTGGGACTTGTTGCTGTTTTCAGTAGGACTGTCGCGGCGGTAAACACACACAAATTCGCGCCATTCCTACCCAACTTTGACCTGCGATATCTCTCGAACGGCTGGGCGTTTTCCTTGATTCTTGGACGGCTGGACTCCTCTCATCGATGTGCGGGGCTGGGTACCAAAAAACCTAACTATTTCCCGCTATGTCAAGTTCGCACATTTTGGCCCCCTCCGCTGCTCATACCTCGATTTGCGCGGGATAGAGGCGTCGAGGAGGGGTCAGGATGGCAAGGATATATTTGGGTGGGTAGCATGGGGGGCTCGGTATGTGTTTTGCATGAAGTTTGATGATTTCTCTTTGTGTTCACCGCTTTACTGTGCTACCCCTGTGCCTTTGTGTCACTCCTTAGTTTATCCTGCCAGTTTATGTCAACAGCTACATTCTATCTTGTTAAATTGATGTTCTATATGGTTTTTGCAGTTTGTGTTCAGTTGCTGCCACAGCTAAACATGCACATGCCAATGCATTCTATGTCAGGACTTCGAACTTGAATATCTCTCGATTCACTAGGTCAATCCTCCCAATACTTGCATATCTCGAGTGTCATTGTAAGTGCTCAGAGCCATGTATAAAATATAAACAGATTTTGTCTGGTGTCACTCAATTGCATATGGTGGTTGGTAGGGCTATCTGCCTCCCCGAACAGTATCTGTGATGCACATGTTGATGCAAAACCATCAGGAATTGGTGAAGGACTTTGATTGAGTAGGAAAGGAGAGGTGAGAGACAGAATTCAGCCCCAGATACTTCAACAGTGAAGTGTCATCTCTCGAACTCTCAGTAGGTTCAATCATCCCCTTGTAGAACAGATGTTTCTTCATGTACTTCTCCATCACAGGAACACAACAGAACATGGATAGTGGCTGTCAAATGGTAAAGAATAGATGCCCAACCATCATGCTCACTCATATGGCTCATGGCGGCAATAACAGCTTCCTTGCACACTGGGACATGTCAGGATACCTTGAGAATGAATACAGGCATATAGCAGATGCACTCCAGAGCAACAGAATCACATCGACAAACAAACTGCGACCTTGCACTGACAGTGCAGTCAGAGAACTGTGCACTCAACAACAAAACCTCACAATGCACCTTTGACCCATATACCTAGCCCTACCCTGCATGTCCAACCATCATCTCGACCAATTTCCGAAGCAGTCAGAACATTGCAAACCTCATGGTGTCCGTTCTGAGCTTGCACGAGGGCCCTGGACAGAAAGAATACTAAATGCCAAGATATCATAGTTTTTCGCTACCCAGCCCTGCACGTCGATGAGAGGAGTCCAACTGTGCAAAAATCAAGGAAAACGGCCCAGCTGTTCGAGAGATATCGCAGATCAAAGTTTGGGGTAGGAATGGTGGGAATTTGTGTGTATTTGCCGCTGCAACAGTCCTACTGAAAACAGCAATAATCCGAGACCTTGCAGCACGAATTGAGGCAAGTTGTTGAGATCCACAAGGATGAAGGGGCCTGTGAGAAGAGACGTCCGCTTCTTCAATAATTCGCTCTTGCTCTTGCTCTTGCCCTTGCCGTGCCATTGCATCATTTTTCCCCGGAACCATTCAAATCGAGTTCGATGTCCCATACAGGACTCACAGGACGTCTGCTACACTCCGGTCTTGCGTTATTAGACGACGAAACGAGAGGTGCTGAAGAACTCAGGGGAGGACCTGTCTCGGGGGTCGGAGTCGAGTCGTTGAGATCAAGTTCTATATCCCAGACCGGACTAGGTTCTCGAGGTTTCCTGGTGGAGGTGCTCAACTCCGATTGCGATGCTGATCCGCGCGTTGTGGATTGCTGAGGGTTTGATTCGTCGAGTCCGCCCGCTCGACTGTATTGTTGGAACTGGGATGGCAGTGTGGTCATAGCGCTGTTGCGGAAGGGCTTCTCGAATGCGTCCTTCACTCGCTTCGCTTTCACTTGTCCAAATCCAGGAAGATTTTGGAGCTGCTCGGACGTGGCCCTCGCTATGTCTGCGACGCTCTATAACGCGAGATATCGTCACTTCGAGCAATCTCATTGGATACTGGAAGGAACACTTACTCCTAGCGACGTGCGCAGTGTCTCGACGTCCGTTTTGTTGACCTTGCTGATACTAGTGAGCGTCGTGCGAAGCATCGAGTGATAGTCCTTGTCGACGCGTTCCTTGATCAGATCTGGAGGCTTATGCTCGAATTGCTTGAAGGTTGAGAGGTAGTATCCTGCTTCTTCGGCACTGTGACTGCAGAGTGAGATGCTTTCAGTTGGAACCCAAGGCAAACCGTACTTCCATGCTACTAGGACTGTGATGTTATTGATGAGGCAAGTCTGACACAATGCCACGTCAACGAATGCATACGAGTAACGAACAAAAAGTGTGTGCAGACCTTGGTGAGTTCACGGATAGGCTCTTGATGTTCGCTCTAAGAACACATCAGCACGTTATGTGAGAGAGCTCACAACAGGATTGTACGTACGACATCACATAAAATCAACAGGATTCTCAAATTGTAAAAGTGTCCAAGACCTTCGATGCGAGTGTAGATGTACTCGGGATGAAGACGATGGTAGCGCAGACTGAGATGTCCCGAGACATGTGAAACAGACCGATACTAATACGCTGCCTACATACCTCAAGAAGAGAACACCTGTCGTCCTTCCCACTTGATAGTCAGCGGGAATTTCGCCAAACTCTTTTCCTATATGCCTGATGCATTCTAAGATAGGGTTACTTCGCTGCGAGAACAGTCAGTAACGGAATACCAGTAGAGATGAGATAGACACCTGTCTCGGACTTATGATGATATTCTGGCCGAAACCTGGCTGCACCACTGGCGGATTGGGTGCCGCTGCAGATGGCTGCGTGCCAGTGTCAAGTCTGGACATGGACTCGGAGGTGGTGTTGGGAAAGCAACAACGCGAGCCAGAGAAAAGCTGTGTATCCAAAATCACAGCACGCCGCGGCCGCCTAGTTTGAGGTATTGGAGCGCGACCGGATCTTCGTCAAAGGCGTCTTCAAGGAAGTCGGTCACGTTGATCAGAGCTCCTTAAGTGCTTACACCAAGGGGCATACACAAATCGGATTTAACACAGGGTCAGAAAATCCGGTTAAGCACCCTTGAGACCCCCCCGTGTGAATTTCCCACGGTCCATATATAGAAGGTCTCTGTATGTTTTCGCGTGGAGAGTAGAGACAAAGGTTTTTCGATGCATATACTATCGATACAGCTCTGTAACTACACACTGATCAATACCTTGTTCTCCTTTTCTTGTGCGCATGAGATTTCTGATATTTTGCATGGCATTCATCCGTGCAAAACCATGGGCCTTTCGGTGGCTCCAGGAGGTCGACACATTCAAAGTGGTACTGACAGCAAGATAATGCGGACGTGAGATGCAACAACGAAAAATAATGATAAGTCAACACACCCATTGCTTACAGCCAGATGTACTGCCTCCCCCGATTCAGGACCTTGACACCAGCAGAACGTCTCCTCATGGGATTCCGAGTTTACTGGCTCCGTCGAGTGCTGGGTTGCTATGTCAATGTCCAAATCCTCTTCGCTCTCAGGTAGAAGCTTAGGATCAATAGGAATATCCAACCGGTAGGTTGAGCCCGCAACGCTAGATCAGGACCGTCCAGCTGATAGGTAGATGGCTCGCCCGTGGGACTCGAGGGTAACAGCTAAAGATTTGAGATGTTGGTGTTAGAGTAATGAAAACAATTAAAGCTTAAAGGACTGTGCTCACCACAACTTATATTCGTGAGACCTCGGAGGCCCCCCCTCCCCCTACCCTGTGTCTCGGAATCTGCCGGTGCATGCCCCTTGGCTTACATCGATATAACCGTCGTCGATGCTACAGTACATTGCTAAGAGAGCATGGCTTTCTCCAGTGTGCCGAACTTGAAGCTTTGAAGCTTGAAGTGGCATGAGCCTTACGCCTTCTCCAGAATCGTCGATCCGCACAGTCATAGTATGTGACTCGGTTTAGATGGTGTTCATGCGTCATACCGTAACACTGTGCCCTCATGTTACTCTCAAGTTGTTCTAGCTGCAGACACACCAGACTTCGATAAGGAAGTGACGGAGACTCTGAAGTACGATGGCAAACCTCCTCTGGAGCTGGAGCATTCGAAAGCCCGAACAGTGGTCTTCACCAATGTCAGCAGTGTATTTGTCAAAAAAGGAGGAATTATTCAACAGATGTTAAGTGCTCAGATTACTGATGGCGCGGCAGTGATACAGGATGGCAGGATGGTTTGCTATGGCGCTGCAGCTTCCTGCGCTCGTCTCATTGCCGATGTGAGGACAGAATGGGTTCTATCTCCGCTGGATTAGTATCCTTTGGATCATCACTCAGCTTAGAAGAGAGCGGAATCGTCTACAGTTGACGGTCTGGTCTACGACCCATTGACAGAGGACGTCCCAAAAATCCTCGGAGGAGATATATTTTATTCAAGCCGTCGATGGCCTGCAATTTGGAACTCGGGATGCACTGTAAGTGACCTCAAGGGCAAGTGATTGCCAGGGGACCCTCATCATTACTTTACTTCCAGGATAGCCTATCGAGCTGGAATCGCCTCCGCAGTGACTGCTCCCAATCCTCTTTTTTTTAGCTGGCCTAAGCACCGCTTTTCTTCCTGGTTCTAAGCACAAGTTAGAGGATGGGGCTCTGATTCAGGACGTTGCTACTTTGCATGTGAGCGTCCATTATGGTGCTTCTATCCCCAGTGTCAGCACGCAAGTGAGGAAACTTCTTCTGTCAGAGCCTGAAGGACTACTTGGAAAATGGGTTGAAAAAGTCACTGAGGTGGGGTCACCCTTCTGATTCGCCTCTATTCTTTTATATGCAAAGTAGGGGGAGATACCACTGGTCATTGAATTCTACAGCGCTAATGCTATGGCTTCTCTCATTCAACTGAAAGTGCAAGTGGAGGAGAACGTCGGCGCTCCTACTCGCCAAAGAGATTAGTGATGCAAACACTTATTACGCCCACTCGGCCGTTCCCCTCCCGTTGGGAAAGAAGGAGGATGCGAGTCTGGCCGCCCATGACTGTCTGTGGTTTCTGGCTGACAACGTTGCAGTACGCCAGATCCACCATTAGCAGAGACCAATGCCATATCTGTCCTCGCTCACAATGTGACTCGGCCTCAGAGTTACGGAGAGCTGGATGGTCAGGAATACCCGATTCGACGCCTCCTGGGTGAGCAATTCACGAGACCACTGAATCTGAACTGGTCACTCAGCTGTATGCTTCCAGGTCGCTCTAGAGAGCGGAGGTGCAGTATCAAGGGCGGATGCAATTGCACTGGTGTCGGTCAACCTTGAGAAGCTTCTTGGGTTTGAGGCTGCCGGTCTGGATAGCGACCTCGTTGCGACGCACGGTGGAGACTTGCTGGGATTCAGTAAAATCGTGGGGATCGTCTCTCCTCGCCGAGGTATCGTCAATATTCTATAACCACAACAAACTCACGAAAACATTGACAGTTACAAGCAAGCAAAGCAGGATAGGATGTGATATATTGTAGTAGATGATTCATGCGGCCACAACTTGATTCACAGCGTTAACCGACTTAGAAGGTGGCAGTTTCTTCCCAACGAAATCCCGTATCAAAGGTAAAGCCTTGATAATAAGTTTGATAGCCTTGGTTTCATCTGAGAGTAAAGAACTTGGCACATTGCACTTTCAAGGAGGCAAGGTGGGCGCACCAGTTCGGAGCACATTCCCGTGTTTTCGGAGGAATTTCTTGTCACGAAACTCGGTGTGACTGTTTGGAATGACTACCAGTGAATTCTGCAAAAAGTATGCAAGTGGTGTTCGGAACGAATGTCACGCAAAATGTACCTGATAATACCATTGGCGTAGACTGCTGATATCTCCCGGGGTTACAGGAACATGGTGGTTGCCCACAACTTGGACGACAGCATAGACGCATTTCATAACCTGGACGGCTAAGGACGGCCATAAGACCTCACGATGTCTGCAAAGTGGGGCGTGAGCGAGACGTACATCGCTGGCGCATGAGCTCCATCAGAGCTTCACACCCTGGTCCATGACCGATCAGGACAACACGACGAGCACTTGTGAGCCTGTACGAGACAAAGTTACGGATAGACTAGTTTAAGAGATACTCCTCACGTACTGAATATAATTGTCCCACAGATAGGTCATGACTTCTCCTGCGTAGTTGTCCTGATGTCTGCTCTAGAGACAGAAGTCATAAAGACAAAACGGGATAAAAACCGGTCATGAAACATTACCCTAGTCTTTGGGAAGGGTTTTGGGAAGACGTTCACATCAAGCAAAGCGTAATCAGCGTCCGTGACCCAATTGATAAGTTCCTTCGAGAAGTCGACCTGTAGTGCACGTCAGCATGTGCATGCAACACAGCGACGTCCGCAAATTATACAGACTAGGTAGGAATGCTCCAGTTGCAAGTTGCAATGTACGACAGAGTCGAGCTCCACTCGCAGGTTGCCGCTGTAATGCCAGAGCTATTGCATTAGTCAACTGAACAAGTACATATAGGATTCACGGGAAGCTCACAACTCGTGGACAAACACTACAAGGGTGTCGTTGTCCATGATATCGGTTCTATCTGGAGATGAGACTAGGACGGTAAAAATGCGGGTGCAATGGGTCTCACGTGCAGGAAACTTGTGCACTGAATCGATCTATGAGGGCTTGAGACATTAAGGGAACCTCTACCATGCCGTGTTCCTTGAAAAGATAATCCTGACGGTGTGCTTTGAGCAGCTCTGTAAGAGACATTTGTGCAGAACATAGTTGGCCGACTGCAATGAGAGCAGATAGGAAGACGTAGGTTACCGGGTATCGAGAAAGTAATCGGCTCCATTTCTGCATTGCCAGAGATCATAAGAAATAGAGACAACTGCTTGCAGAGGGACACGGACCTTCTAGCGGCTCGCAAGCTTTGGGATCGACATTCTTCCAATATTTGCTCTGCTCTACAGCGACTTGCCAAATGGTTTCGGTCGCGGCTTCTGAAGCCACCATAGGCTCCAGCTGAGGGGGAACTTCACCGAGAATCACCTTCGTTACTGCCAACGCTGACTTCGAGATTGCATCTAGGCAATATCCGCCCTGATACGCATCGTAATTGCAAAGATGTATCGCTTCAAGATGTGATATACACACCTCTAATGCAACAACCAATCTGCCATTGGCGAGTGACGACAGCATGTGTGTCATGTGAGCGTAGCCCGTAGGTGTAACATGGCATTCTCCCAAAGTATCCCCTTCTGCAGCATCAAAGCCTGCAGAGACTGCGTCCAACGTCAACACCGGCCATCAGAAATAAAGCCGGCACGTACTAATAACCAGTTCAGGCGCGAATTCCACCGCAATAGGCATGACAACCTTTTGAAATGCGAGAATGTAATCTGCATCACCCATTCCCTTCTCTGGCCAGGGAATATTCACAGAACTGGGATAACATCACGCAATGCCTAAAGAACGTATGAGAGATAACATACTAGCCGATTCCTGGGCCTTGGCCACAGGATATCATGCTCCCAAAGGGACCATTGGGATAGAAGTAACCTCCTTCGTACCGATGGAGGGAGACGTAAAGAACTGATGGGTCATCATAAAATGTGCGCTGGGTGCCGTTTCCTATGTTCAATCAGGAAGGTTATGGAATGCATAACACGGTAGAACGGACCATGATGGATATCCCTACAGGAGCTTCAGTAAATATGATAATGAAGATACGGAAGAAATGCACCAGTCCAAGATCATAATTTTCTTGATCGATGTGCTGACTTGTACAACCTTCGTGGCTATCGATACGTTGTTAAAGAAACAGAAACCCATATGTTCGTCTGGTTCGGCATGGTGTCCTGGAGGCCGAACGATGGCGAATGTTTTCTTGACTTCGCCCCGCGCAACAGCCAGTGCGGCTTCTATAACACCGCCGGCACTGAGACGTGCGGTGTACGGAGTGGCTGGATGAACATAAAGAGAAAGCTCGTCGTAGTACGCCGCAGAATCTACGATGTCCTGCTCGGTCATCGCTACGATCATAGTATTCATCAGAAGCTCGCATAAAATAGGATGACCGGTGAAACTCACAATGAATGGCTTGGACTTTGTCCCAAAGTGCTTCGCTGTGCACAAGGAGAGCTTCCTCTTTCAGAACAGGTCGGATCGGAAGCCTTCGCATTTTGGTGAGACAAGACGCGTCCTTGAGGATATCGAATATACGGGAGATGCGTTCTGGTTGTTCCTCGTGGCCATGCACACAGCTGTGCATCATCATCTTTGTTGAGTATACGTACCCAACCTGTATTTCTGGAGTCTTGAGAGACGGGGGTAAGGAGGAGGCACGAGGTTGCGTATCGCGACGAGTGGAAGCGGAGGAAGGCTGCTGCAAAGTGTCCGAGCCTGGATGGCCATTGACTTGTGACGGCCCTGCGTCTGCATCCATCATAGAGGACGAAGTATCTGCCATGTCTCACGCTATTCTACTGGACCTGGATGTAAGTAGCTGAGGGAGGTCAGCACTCATGAAAGGACGCTCAATTCTGCCTTGCCAAATACGGCAACTACACTTCGCGTTGCCGATCACGCGACCTCGGACGCGCGCACCACTGGGCAGCACCACGGTCCACCACCGTACACGGCCGCTGAGCAGCGACGATTCAGCGTGAGCAGTTCTCTCCCCTTCTTTTCTCTCTCACCCTCATTTTTTGTCCTAGATTATTCTCCGATGGAGAAGGCTCTTGGAGCCATGCAACCGCCCTCCACTTCGGGCGCAAGGACGCTCACCGATGCCAGAGCGCGCCTCGTCTACAAGGGTCTATTCTTCCTCATATTTGTACTGGCTTTGACCCAGGTTGTGGTCGTGCATCTGCACGCCGTTTTTCCGGACGCCAAGCCACATCCGCATGCCGCTTTAGCGCTATCGCGCTGTCGTTCTCTCAACGCGTCTCCCGGCCCTTCTCCAAACTTCTACCAACGCAAGGAATCTGACCGCTTTGCGCCTGGGACAAAGCCAACTTTGCTGAAGAATGCGAAAATTTGGACTGGTGGCCATAACGGCACGGAGGTCATTCACGCGGACATTCTTCTCGACAAGGGCTTGATCAAGGGTATTGGTCACGTCGGCCGTGCGACCCTGCAGGAGTACAATGTCGATCTCGTGACGATAAATGTCGAAGGTGCATGGGTTACTCCCGGGTAGGTCTTGCTTTTGACATGTGTTCCAAGGTGGTTGATACGATTATATACAGGATCGTTGACCTGCATTCTCACATTGGCGATGCATCAAGCCCAGAGCTGGATGGCGCAAGTGGAGACGACAACTCTCTCAAGGGGCCTGTTCTCCCTTGGCTTCGGGCGTTGGACGGATTGAACACGCACGATGAATCTTATGCACTCTCGATATCTGGAGGTGTTACGACCGCTCTCGTACTGCCGGGCTCCGCCAATGCCATTGGTAACCCATCTGATGTGAACCCTGCTGCTGTGTTATTCATGTATGCGCAGGCGGCCAGGGTGTCACGATAAAGCTGCGAAAGACAGCTGAACGCTCGCCTACTTCAATGCTTCTGGAAAATCCTTACAGTATCAACGCTTCATCTGCGCGTGTTGAGGAACATCCCAGGTGGCGTCAAATGAAGTGAATTTCAATTCATACTTTGTGCGTCTCGCAGAATGCTGATTCCTGCTACTAGACATGCATGTGGTACGTAGCACTTTCTTTCTCGGCGCGGTTTCTATTCACCATGGAAACACCCTCAGGAGAGAATCCTAGTACGATCAGGTATCTGGCCTTGATAAACATTATGTCTGATTACGGAATCCCAATAGGTAGAGTATACCGCAACACTCGCATGGACACTGTATGGGCCTTCCGGGAGGCGTGAGTGTCATTCAGCCAATTGCTTCTACCGGATGAGCTACATCGCTACCTCCAGTTACAACAAAGCGAAGGAAATAAGGGACGCGCAAGATCAGTACTGCGCAAATGTTCACGCGGGCCATTGGAATGCAATAGCAGGCAAGCCTTTTCCAGAAGACCTTCAGTGGGAGGCTTTGGTCGACGTGCTACGCGGCAGAGTCAAGGTTCGGATTAAATGTCTTGAACATCTCATGGACGTGTATTCAGTCGTGCATGTAGGTACAAATCCACTGCTACGAAACCGTGGATTTGGACGACATTGTCAGGGTGAGTATCTGGGTCTTACATCTGTTGCATTTATGTCTCCGATGGAAGCTTATTCATAGTTGACAAATGAATTTCGCTTCCCGATTTCCGCTTTCCACCATGCGCATGAAGCCTACTTGGTGCCGGACGTACTGAAGAAGGCGTATGGTAGGTTCTGGAATCGACTGTTGTAGTAGCTCTGCATCTGACCTTGTTCTATGCAAGGACATCCACCAGCTGTCGCCATGTTTGCTACAAATGCAAGGTGAGTACAGATCACTGGAACGATATATCGGCACCCGGTTGACGGTTGCATTTCTAGGTACAAACGTGAGGCATACCGTGGCTCAGAGTTTGCTCCTCGCATCCTCGCACAAAATGGTCTGAACGTCGTCATGAAGGTATGCGTGCATGCTCGGACAACCGTTGGCAGTGTTCACGTCGTGTTGGTAGAGCGATCATCCTGTCTTAAATTCGCGATTCCTCCTGTACGAGGCCCAGCAAGCATACGTCTACGGTTTACCTGAGAACTTGGCCATTGCCGCCGTGACGAGCACTCCGGCTGAAATCATGGGCATGGGCCACCGTATTGGATATGCCAAAGAAGGTGACATTGAACTGTTCTCGTCCCTTGCAGTACTAACAAAGGCTGATCCCTCCAGGTTGGGACGCTGGTAAGTTTTAAACTTAGGTTGGGCAGATGCTGCGACTCATCCTACATTAGATCTGGTCATTTGGGACAGCCATCCCCTGGCACTAGGTGCAACGCCTAAGCAGGTCTTCATAGACGGTATCGCACAGTTAGAGTCACCCTACATCACTGACAAACCCGCGGAGTTCCAACTAAAGCCGACGGTCCCGAATTACGACCAGGAAGCAAGGGACGCAGTGAAGTATGAAGGTCTACCCCCGTTGGAACCTACGAAGGCGGCGTCAAGCCACGTTCTTTTCACAAGTGTGAAGACGTTGTTTGCACGCGTCGGAACGGATGTGGAAGAGGTTTACAATGCGCAAGGTGAAGAAATCGGTGTAGTGGCCGTGGAGAACGGATCCATTACTTGCCAGGGGGCTTGGGAGTCCTGTGTGACACCTGCACTGATGGCCGCAGCAGAGATCATCGATGTGCACGGAGGTTCTGTTTCACCTGGACTTGTGACTTACGGATCACCTCTCGGGCTGGAGGAGATATCGGCAGAATTGTCCACAAATGACGGAGTAGTTTATGACCCTCTTGTGGACAAGGTTCCGCCAGTCTTGGGCGGAGATGGTGCTATTGTTCGTGCGGTAGATGGACTTCAATATGGTGGGAGGGATAGTCTGTAAGTGTCTATTCCCGCTGATTATGTTATGTGCCAGTGACTAATCATATATACTTCCACCTTTCAGCCTCGCCTACCGCGCGGGAGTCACGACAGGGATCACCGCACCAAGTCATTACTACTTCCTAGCCGGAATCAGCACGTCCTTCTCTACTGGCGCACTGCACAAGCTGGAAGAAGGTGCAGTGATACAAGCCACAAACGCCGTGCATGTTTCCGTGAGGCACTTCGGCTCAGCGCCAAGTGTGAGCACCCAGATTGCTACACTTCGACGTCTATTACTCGAGCCTGCAGAAGGAGATGCAGGCTTGTGGTTCAAAGAAGTCAGTGAGGTGCGGAGATCTTTACGCCTCACTTTCGTTGTGGGTATTGAGATGACAACAGGGCAAAGTTACCTTGGTGGTCGACACGGATAGCGCAGATGTCATAGCGACGCTGATCCTACTGAAGAGGGAAGTTGAGGAAAAGCTCGGCAGCAAGATTAAGATGACCATTGCGGGAGCAGTTGAGGCTCACATTCTCGCAAAGGATATTGCAGCGGCAGACGTTGGCATTCTGCAAGTTCCTTCACGGCCATTCCCGTCAACTTGGGAACGTCTGAGAATGTGCGTTGTTGCTTATGCTATAGTCAGTTCCAGCCACTGAGCCAATATTAGTCTACCAGGACGACCTCTAAGCGCACAAAGCTCGATCGCACTGTTGTTGTCGCATAATGTCACTGTGGGCATTGGTATCGAGGAAGCATGGAGTGCACGTAATACGCGCTTTGACATCGGCTGGGTACGTGCATGTTGAGCATATCCCTAAACTACATTGGGTGATTAATGGCGAGCTTCTGCAGGCTGCCATAGAAGCGGGTGGACAGATCTCCAAAGCGCAAGCACTCGCACTTGGCTCCACGAACATAGAGAAATTACTCGGCGGTCGAATTGAAATAGCGCGCACTCATGACATGGTGGTCACTGATGGAGGGGATCTCCTTGATCCGGGGAGTAAGGTTATTGCTGTGATCTCGCCAAGGCGCCGGGTGGTTGACTTGTTCTAAGAAATGTATATATCCATTAGTTGTTTGCTCTGAATGGCCGACGCAAAGTATTTGGCATCATGCGTGGAGAAAGTGGCGGGATCGCAAAGCAAGCTGGTGCGCTCCGCAATTTCTTCGATAATATTAGATGGATTTGTGGAGCTCGACTTCTACGTGTCGGACCCGTCTAACCTATGCTCGGCACTATACTGACACTGTTGGGCGCCAAAAATATAAGTAGATGAGAGGTTCAGCGTAGGGAAGGACTGACATTGCAGAAGGCTGTTGAGCTTGTTGACGCGAGATGCGACGCTCAGGTCAACAGTCTTGTCTCCGAAATCGACAACAATTCCACCGAGCACACCGGGATTGATCTGGGACGCGATATCAGCTTTAGACACAGGGATTGAAAGTACGGAAGACAAACCTTGTTAATCACCTTAACGGACTTCGCCTTCTGTGCAGCCTGCGACTGCTTGAGCGTCGACTCGAGGCGTGTTTGTACGTCCCTCGGTAATGGTGCAGCGGAAGTAATGGTCACCGTCAACTCGCCCTTGTAGGTTGCGACCAGCTCGTTGAACCCCTCTATAACGCCCTGCGTCTCCCCCAGCCTGCCGTTCTCCGAGAGCACGACGAAGAGGTTTTTGGTGATGTCCGAAACTGGTTCCTTCTTCGCCCCGGCGCTCTCCGCACGCGCGTACAGCGCAGCGAGCCCTGACTGGCGGTCCTTCGCGGAGAGAGTGGGGTTTGTGACGAAGGTGCTGATCTCCGGAACCTCCTTAATAGAGGTGGAGATGGTGTTGAGCTCGGACTGGACCTTGTTGATGACCTGGGGCGACTTAGAGAGCGCGGCAGAAAAGACGGCGTTTGAGTATTTGAGGGCAAGAGAGCTGGCTGCTCGCTGGCCAAGACGGGCAGGAACTGCCGAACGCGCAGAGGAAAGTAACATGGTACGGTGGAAGACGCTTCGTCGTCGACGTCGCAGTCAACAAAGTCGGACATCCCCGGCTTGTCCCCGGCACCCCCAATATAGCAACTCTCTCAGATCCCCGCCGAGTTTCTTTTCCGAGTCTTCGGACTAACTTATTAATATCACTACATTGAAGTACCAATAAAAATATCTATGTAGAGGTCCGGTCGTATCCAAACGTGTAGGTAGAGCAAACGAGTGTAAGTATGCGTACAGGACAATGCGTTGGTATGAATGCGGCGAATGAGATAGATGATGCATATGCATGATGATTACGATACGGCTTGGCGTCAGTGATCGCTGCTGCCAGCTAAGCAGATAGCGAAGAGGACCGGTCGCAAATGAATGCTATGAGCCAGAGAGAGATGCGACTGTCAAAACTTCATTGATTGGTCTATCGAGATGCTCGTCCTCGTGCATGGGATACTCTTCTATAGGAGATGGCGCTGACGACGAAATATGTCGGCTGTACCTTGCTGGCAGACCCGACGAAGGAGAGGATGGCGAAGATGTCACCGAATGTCGTGAATTCATGAATGACAGAGATAAAGGGGACTGCGAATCGGACGGTGGCCGCGAGTACTGGAAAGACCATCTCCGCGGGAGAGGCTCACCCAAGGTTGTCCCAGTCCCGGTCGAGTAGAAACTCGGCTGCTCGCTGTTCGCGCTCATGGGCGTGAGTGGGCGACTTGAGGGCGGGGTGGGATTACCTGGGCGAGGAAAGAAACGTTCAGAACTCGGTGTCTCAACAGTGCTGCCCGATGAACCTGACTTTTCCAAATCTCTCTCGGAACTCTTCCCTGAATCCTTCTCCTTGACCTTCTCCGAGTCTCTCTCCGCCGACGCATCCGAGTCATGCTCACTTGCGCTACTGGCCAATTCGGTGTCACCTGCCTTTCTCCTACTTCTTCGCCCGAATGGCAGGAGAAATCTGATCAACCGCCATATTCCCATGTTGACCAGGATGTTGAAAAACATGATGACGACGGTAACAGAGAAAATCACCGCAGTGACAATACCAATGACAACTCGCGGAATTGCTGCCAAATGAATGCTCTCCGCAAAAGCAATCAAGAGCCCTCCGCAGACGACGCGTACAACGGCGAGAAATCCCATGAGGATATCGGCGCGTCGCGAACGGAATGGCTTCGCGATAATGAGGGAGGCCAGAAGGAACACATCAACGACGAGTAAGAAGATCGCTTGGAAGAGCCCGTGGGATGACGCGAACCCAACGACGAGCGCTTTGACGAATATGGCCAGCAGGATGGGGATGATATAGAATATGCGACGAGAGACGAATGGTGCGGTGAGTGGCGATAATGAGATTGCAGTTGTCATGTTGGATGAAGAACCAGGGAATGACGTAGGCAGGTAATGGCGCAAGACGAAGAAACATGGAATGAGGATGGATGCTAGGACGATTAGTACGGAAATCACAGACAGAAGGACGGACAGCCAGGAGTCATGCAACGTCCACTGATAAAAAGTGAACATTGCTATGGGAAAGAACGTGACCAACGCTGTCCGAAGGCCCCATGCTTGAGCAAACCATAGATACCCTGACTTCAATCCCGGCCACGAATCCAATTTGTCCTTTCCCCAAAACGTACGCCTCAGGGCGAGCCACGTCACGTATCCCGCGCCTAACGCCACCAGCAAAATTGCTGTCAGGATGAGTGCGACGAAGAAGATCGTCATGAACGCATTGGTAGTGGCAATTCCGATGGAGTTCGCATAGATAGGAATGCCTGCTTGCAAAACATCTGATGACTGCGGAGTCACCACAGCTACATCTCTCCCTTTCAAAATCGCGTCCGCATCCATTTTTGCGAAGCCGGCTCGTTTGGCTGCATTAGCGAGGTCAACCTGCTGCAAAGATGCAACCTTCGCAAGTAAAGACTGAGAGGCGAGGTACGCCTGTGTCACGGGAGCATTGTATGGGCTCAACTTGCGGTTCACCAGGGGCACAGCACCGTTACTGGATGCATCAGCGCCATTCCCTCCGGTTAGTCGACGCATATTGTTGATTGCGTTTTGCATGCCAGATGTCGGGGACTGAGCAAAGAGACCAAGCGCCCAAGAGAAATTGAGGGAGTAGGCTGTATAAACGGAAGGATAATTTAGACCCAATAGTGCAGAAGCTGCAATGCTCTGGAAAAGATAGAGTATGTCAAGCAGACGAGCTGGTGCAAGTGCGATGGGTTGCATGACCGATTGCCATACTGCCGATGCCAGGGCAAGAAGGGCTATTGCACCGGTAGTCCACTCGACAGCATACTGACGGGCAGACCAGCCATTGGCCAGGGTACATTGCACACAAGCCTTGACCTGGTTTGTGCCAACTTCGACCAGAGTCAGCTGAGCAAACGCCTCAAGATCGGGTATGACGTAGGCGATTCCAGGAATCTCCTTCGCTATGTTGACAGACGAAGGCAGCTCGAGCGAATCTGTGCCTGAAAAGTTGTACGGGGGTAGTGGGCACAAGGCACCGCCGAAAAGACCGCAGAGGTCGATGGTGATGTTGAGCGGCTGCATGCCATAAACATTAAGGTATAAATTGGCCGAGACGCTGATGTTGGGAAGCTAGTGAGAAAGACAGTGAACGACGAGCACAGGCCGAGCACAATGCGAGGACGTACGACACTGGCGGCGGTGACATTGAAGGAGATGGAGTTGTTGGCCTGGAAGTAGGATACGTCGAGCTGTTCAATCAAAATTTCTTCTGGTGGGGCACAGTATGATACTGAAGAAGCGACTGGAATACAAAAGGAGTGTCACTCGGTGAGGAAAGGGAGGGAGTTGGCGGATAACTGACAAAGCTCGTTGAGGCGCGCGCGACTGAATGATGAAAAGAGGAAGACGGCAAAAGCAGTAGCAAGTCGCAACCGGGCGACGAAGAAGAACATGAAGGGCGTAGACAATGTGACCAGGATGCGCTGTACTTATCGCCTTTTTGAGGGGTTAGCGGGGGATAACACGAGGACAATGGCGTTGTCGCGACTTGCCCGAATCTATTGTGCTGTTCTTGTTCTGGAGCGCCGGGTTGGACGGCGACGTTGTACTGCTGCGGCGGGTAGAGACGATGAGAGGGAAAGGGGGAGAGGGCGGAGCCAGGTTTTCATAGGAAAGACCAGCGCACGAGTGGGAGAAGGGACGATATGCACTGCCAGAGGACGGTCTGGAGGAGAGAGTTGGGCGATATGTTTTATCCGTTTCCGGCAACAACGCGGCACCCATTTCCGTCGTTTAGTCATCCTGCCGCCGTGACGCTGGCCACCGCGGAGACGCCTGCAGGACTACTGCCTGTGGCCTGTGTGCAACAGCGAGGTGCCTGCCAGCGAAGTTCCTGCTGCGCCCCTTGCACTTCTCAAACTTGCGCAGTGCCTTCCAGTTCGTACTGCTACCGAGGGAACAGTAGATAGACTTCTCCCTGCAGCACCCGGGCCTCCACTTGCACCGGTCCAGAGACTCATCACTTGCTCATTCTGCCTTTGTGGTTTTCCAGAACGCTTCCTATCATCCACGTGTTCACCGTCCAAACATCTCCCGAAAATCAATTCTTGCTCCCAAACGCAGATGGTGGTCTATTCTACCTACACATCCCTACTTGTACAGACAGCGTCCAGAAGGACGGACATTGTATGTAGATGGGCACAATGTTCAACGTTCAGATCTTGTCAACTCTCACCCAGCTATCTCTCTTCACTGAAGTACTTTGCGCGCAATCGGTCAATACCACAACCAAGCAACTACCAATGTGATTCACTTACCCATCACTCGCGGAAACGGCATGTTTTCCGAGGCTGATCTTTACCGTCTTCACCTCAAAGCCGTGGAAGTCGAGCTTCAATGACGAGGTGCGATTCTTTTCAGCAAACACCTTAACCTCCGGTCCCTCGTCCTCGAGCAAATTCGTCGTCACCACCTTCGCGACAGGAATATGGTCCGCAATCTTCAGTTTTATCTGAGCATGCCCTCCATACGCTTCGTACAGCCTCAGCACGATCGTGGTGGGCGCAGCGAGATCGGACGTCTTAAACTCATCGTGCAGCCCACGTTTGACGGTCTCCAGGAAGACGTTGGTGGCTCCCTCAATCACGAAAGGCTGCTTTACCGCCTGCAGGGGCATGTGCGCACCCTCTTCGGGTAGGAGGCGCACTTGTGGCAGAGTTAAGTAGATAATCTATATACAGCCACGAGGGACTCACGGTGAAGGGGCGAATTGAATAAGTATGCTGCGACGGGCACGTCCGATTCCAAAAAATGACCCTTATGAGGCATCAAAGCCCAGGAGAATTCGTGGATGCCCTGGTCCTGTTCTGCATCTGGCGCGGTGGCAGCGCGCAGAAGGGAGATGCGAAGAACGTTTCCTGGGCAGGAGAATCCATACTTAGATTCGGATAGGATAGCGACACCATATCCGAATTCGCTGAGGTCAGCGTACTGGAGGAGGTCGTGGAGTGAGAATTAGAGATCCGGCTGCGCACTAGAGAATTTACCTTATGGCCGCAGACTTCAAATTTGGCTATGTCCCATGTGGTATTCTTGTGGGTGGGCCTTTGAACGTGTCCGAACTGTGTCTCGTAAGTAGCAAAATCGTTGTGGATATTGAGAGGTATCTCGACTGTAGAGCTGTAAGTCATCTGTGCGCAGCGCTGTAAAACATTGCCCACATTTCAAGAATTCGTGTCTCTCATGCCAGTTCACTACGGCATCAAACCTGAAGAACGAACGCGAGTCCTTCTTCATTGAAGCTGCACAGTTATTAGTTCAGGTTCGCAGTGCGTAGCGAACAACAAATACCAGCAATTGCATCCAACGAGATCTGTGATTTCCGTCAACAACTGGATGCACACATCAACGACTCTACGTACAGTCACGGTGATGTCGCTCTGGCGGTACTTGAACTCTGACTTGAGAGAGGCACGTAGAGGCCCTTCCGCAGCAATCCGAATGTTTGAGAACTCAAGCGGCTGGGGCTTCTCGAGATGGTGGATTTCGACGTCTGTCGATAACCTTCAGCGGAAAGCGACTAACCCGCTTGTATTTGTAGGGGTACTCACCCCACGCATCCCAGTAATTGGGACGATCATCGAATATCACCAAACCACCAGTTTGACCTTGGGGGATCAGCTCCCGTCTGCAACGACACAGAAGTCAGTAGCTATATCAGTCGCTTTGTGCGTATTACGACAAACCCGAGCTCGACGTCAACCAAGCTGGTAATTCTGCCTTTGGCGATCGTCAATTGCACACTGGTGTTTCTGAGTACGAAGTGATCGGAGCCGTTTGTGAACACTGACGTAAAGAGCGTCATCAGTATCGCGTCACGTATCATTTCATCACGTCTGCACAAACCAGAGACCGGCATGGAGTCCGCATACAACCCAGTAGTGGAAGCGAGGCCGCTGGCTGCCGATCCATCCATGAGTGCATATCCCGTCAAACCATGTTCCGACGCCTGTACGGCCTGAGACCGGAGAGGCGAGGCTCCACCGGCAAGAGGGATTTTGACGACGTCACGGCGGGGGAAAAATGTGGTATTGTAGGCCACCAGTTTGCCAGATTTCGCCGCCTTCGCGGATGCCTCCGTTAGAGGGATGGAGCGTGGGATCAGGGCTTCGAACGCTTTCTCGATTAGGTCTTTGCCGTCTTTGCGGACTTCTGCATAGAGCTTCTCCGCATCCTCATATACCATACCACTAACCGAAGACGTGAGAAAACGCCCATGAAACCGTTTCAAAACTCACATAGCAGAACCAGGTAAAACTGATACCGGTGCGTCAGAGTGACACCCATCTACAACATGAAGGACTCACCATCGTGGACTGTGTCACGGTGTACGTTAGGTTTTGAGCGAAATTACAGTGGCAATCGGACATACATTGATTTAACAATACTTTCTCCCAGCAGTCGTTGATCCGCTCGTCCGGATAGACGTAGTCACCCTTGTGAAACTTGTACAACGATGCAAAAGTTGCCAGATGCTACGAACATGGTCACTCGTGGTGAGAAAAGGATACGACTCATGAATGCGCTTGACTGACCTCAACATCCCTCAGTAAAATCTCGGACTTGCGGTTGCCCTTCTTGATAGATCCTCGATGACAAATGAGGTGGAATGTAGGATCGGAAAAAGCCAGCAAGGGACTTACCGTGTGAAGTGTAGGTTCCTCGGTGGAACTATTCTAACATCAGCTATGAGATGTGCTCAGGACATAGTGTAGTACTTGCCTCAAGGTAGAGTTCACCGCTCCTGAATCAGGCGGAACAGCATCAGCCATGCTCCAATGTTCTGATCAAGCCACATACCAGTTTGGTAGCTTGCTACCGCCGTCAGAAGCCTTGGCGACCTCATTGAAGAACTCTTCCACAGAGTGACCCATATTGACCGGAGGAAGTTCGCGCGAATTGTTGGATACTGCACGGATGCGCCGGAGCTGCGAACATTCAGATCACATTGATGATAGATATGAAGGGCAGAAGAAAACCCACGTTCTCCAACATCTTGGCAAGCGGACCACCTCCACCATCACCGTTACCGAATACGAGCAAGGAAATATCGGACGATTCCAGATTCTTGTATATGCATCAGCGAGCAACTCTTTCTAGATTGTTCAATCAGCACACACTTTGTGATTGGTGAGGCCCTTGTTCACGTCGCCAACGGTGGCTTGCGCAGTGTACGTGTCTGAAATATGGGAAATGTTTTGAGTTATCTGGGATCACTTAAACAGCCTTGCATACTGACCGACTGGCGTCATATGACATAGTACTTGAGTACCGTCGATGCCAACCCAGTTGAAAGTAGAATGAGGGAAGACGTTGCTAGAAGAAAAGTGAGTTATCGACTATGCCGAAACGGATAAAGAACACCAACATATTATTCCTACGTGCAAGCATAAGGTGAGATGCAACACCAAGGTCAAAGAGAGATAATCTCACCAGGACAATTTCTGCGTGAAGAAGTATTTCATGTCTGCTAGGCGAATGAGCTGCGGCAGAGCTCCAGTGAGACCAAACGAGTCAGGCAACCAAGCCGTCTCGCATCTCTTTCCAAACTTGGTCTCGAAGTACCGTTGGCCAAAGATAAACTGCCGAGCGAGAGCCTCGCCAGATGGCATATTCGAGTCGTTCTCAACCCAGGAACCGCCAACTGTATGAAATTTTCCTTCTAGAATCTTCTCCTTGACGCGCTCAAAGAGAGGTGGATAAAGCTGGGAGCCTTGAGTACCAATTTCTTTGAGAACTTCGAGGTAAGCTTACCTGTTCCAGCCATTTATATTGTTGTGCTTGACTGCACGTAAATCTATGCTCTGGATAACGCTCCATGAGGTCTACTTGAGTCGACCAGGACCGCGCGACCTTCTGTTGCGTCACACGGTACGGCCACAGCCTGATACGACGGTGAAACCTAGTCCCATCCTCGTATCCCTGCACGGTTCGCTTACCATGCTGTATCAATATGACAATGTCCAATACCCCAGATTGTAGCAGCGGGGGCTCCGTGATCGTACACACCTGCGCCTGCCTTTTCCCAAGCTTCGCCGAACACTCCTTCCGCAAGTTTACGTGCACGGGAGACACTGGAAACATCACCTTTCTCGAACGTGTTCATGATTTCGTTCGCGACAGTCAGTGCCTTGTTCTGGAGAGACGTGTTCCCCGGTAAAGTGTCAACAATTTCGCGCAGCGTTTGGAAATCCCAGAGCAGTCCCCACGCCTCCTGGTTTGGTACCACCAGATCTGCTGAGGCAAGACTGAAGTACCTGTTCATCTAAGCGAGACGATGAACATCTCGCGATAGACGAGCAATGTTCTGACATACATCGGGAGGTTCGATGGTGTCGCCGTTCCACGGTACACCGAACATGCCGTTACAGCTGGACTCAATGATGACTTCATGCTTGCCTTCCTTCCTCGCGCTCCGCGGGATTATGTATTCGACACGTCGGTCACCACCGAATCCTCCGGTGATACCTTGTAGGGGAACGCCATCTGTGGTATAGATCATTGCTTCACATCCGGGATCAAACTCGACTGCAAAACGTGAGCGTGCTGCGGAGATCCACGGGGGCGCACATACACTGAACGCGCTCATACTGGTCCCAATATGCAGGGACGTTTACGGAGACTTTCCACCAATGATTGGTCTATTGTGCAAGAGTGAGGACACGACGTGCATGCATGCTAGCCACATACCCCTTTCGCAAGTATGAGAACCGATGCTATGGATAGATAGAGGACCGCAAACTACTGACATGAAGGCCCAAACGATTCACCCTTCTTGGCAGGTCTGAACCTTTGCTTCATCGCGTCCTCAAACGAAGGCTTGGACAGGCCCGGAGCACTCCAAATTTGCAGACTAACATGGCTAGAATCATCCAGGCGGTGGACAAAGAGCATGGAGGAGAGGTTGACATCGGAGAAGTGACCCCCATTGAAAGTGGAGAGGCGATCCTTGGTGAGCTGCTTGATCCACTTGGCCCCTGGACCGTAGTTGAGGTTCGGATATGGAGTGTCGACCGCCAGCGTTCGCGAGCCGTGGCCGTGGTTGCAGGACATGGCGGGCAGATGGCGGGCAGGCGTGAGCTGGCGTCAACCGTGACGGCGACCACCCCCGTGTAAGCGCCCATAATAGCTTCGACTCCCACCGCGAAGGGACGCGACGGCGTTTTTGGGAAGACGAGTGGCCTCGTGTGTCGCCCTTTGTGAGCCTCCTTTGTGAAGTGCCTGGAGCAGGGAACACGCCCGTTTGGCAGGCGTACGCGATCACCTCGATGTCAGCCACCCCCGGCCCAACTTGGGCCGTCTTGAACGGTTCGTCCTCCCCGCCATCACCTCTCGACAAAATCGGCGGCTAACTCGGTCTACTCTGATCTGCCCATAGATATCGAGCCAACGTCTTCTGTCGCCCCGTCAGAGGACGAACTCGTACCAAGCTCTCAGGATATGCGCGACGAAATCGACCCGACGCCGCCCCCAGGAAAGAGGAAGCTGGAGACGTCTCTCACTGAAGATGAAATTGGTCATGGTGCGTGAATATACACGTCCCCGGCCAATATTTCTCTCATGAAATATCCTTGTAGAAGCTCCATCCTCGTCCTCAACTCAAAACTTCATCCCAAAGTCTCCGCTTCCCAATCCTCTGACTCAGACTACCAAGAAGAGAAAGAAGAGAAAGATCATAGATAACTCAGGAGCAAGTCCAGAATTTGTGAGGGTTCCTCTCCCTCCGTTGTCCAAACCTCCCAAGAACAGGGATGCGAGCTTGTCCAAACCTCCGCCCGCCACTCAAATACCTATTCGCGGTGGCGCGAAGTCGCAGACATCGGCCCGGAAACGCAAGAATGCCACAGCCAACATTTTCTCGTCCGAGGACGAAGCTGTCATTATCCCTGCGAAACAGGTACCTGCTTCGCAACCCACTCCCAACGTTGGCAGTGAGAGGAGAGCTGGTGTCAATCCAGACTGGTAAGATCTCTCGCGCATTGATTTCAACCGCCTAACGACACAGTCTCAGGACGCCTATGTCTGCTCCCAAGCTTCCCCCGATTCGAGAGAAATTCAGCCGCGATGAACGAGTCTCGCAGACACAACCCGCAGCGCCTTTGCCACGGCCACAGCCACGTCCGCGTCCGTCTCTGCCAGCGTCGGGAAGTGAGGCGACCACGTCGGAACAGTTACCAGCTGTGTCGAGCATGGAAGCGTCCTCGTCGACCCAACCTGATGCATCCTTGTCGCGTCCATGTCTGCGTCCACGTCTATCTCTGCCCGTGTCGAGACTTGAAGCGTCCGGATCGGACCAGTTACCGGTTGTGTCGAACAAGGAACCGTCTGCATCAAAACATGCTCCAATCGTGTCAAATAAATACGTGTCGAAAAAGGAGACATCCTCAGTGAAAGATCTACCAACTGCCTCACGCAAGACAGCATCGTCGTCGAAACATGTGTCGATTGTGTCGAGCAAGGGCGCGGCGTCGAAAGATGCACCAACTGTGTCAAGCAAAGACGCATCCATGTCGAGCAAACAGAATACTAAACGGCGGAGAAGCCCTGGGTCATCATCGGACGATGACCTGCCTGAGAACTTATCGAGAATGCGCGATAAACACAAGAGGCGCCGCACTCGGAGCTCTGTAGCTGCTCTCACCACTATTTCGCGGATACCAAGTAGCTCTCAGCCCGTCCGCGGTCGGCCGAAAGGTAGTCAATCTGACCATTCTGTATTCATTGGTGCTTACAATATATTTGACAACATAGTTGGCTCAGTCTCAGCGAAGATCAAGACCCAGCCTCGGCAACGTGCCCCACCTCGCTTTGCGATAAGCGCAACTCAGGGTATGCGCTCGTTATCTCGGATTATTGCATACTCAGAACTTCTGTGCACAGCTCCTGACCGCCGGAAGTCGGCTATATCCAAGGACGATTTTATTGAGTTATTCGATGATGAACAGCCGACACCATGTGCGTCATGCATTCGTTGTGAGACTGACAGGCAATGTTGGCTGACACTAAATTTGGTCAACTGCTAGCTAAGCGTGTTCGGCGGTCATCTGGATTCCAGTCACCAGCAGACATCATTGTGATTATGGATAGCGATGATGAACAACCTCCCTCTCCCCATCCTCCGGCCTCTCAAAATCTTAGCACCAACTGGAGAGCTTCTTCTATTCAGTACAACGTCGACGCTGATGGCGCTATTGTGCTCATTGATAGTGACGACGATGAGGTCCCGAACAAGACTTCGTTTGAAAATCCAAAAGCCGGAACGCATGTTGAGCATCAAGAGGATCATTCTCATGACGCTCCGTCATTGGATGAACCTCCAGTTGAGCCCATTGGCGACGCAGACGATCATCAAGCGGACGAACCTACAGACGAACAGCTCGGTGGTGCCGAGGTCCACAGGCAGCCAGATGATATCCAAAGCAGCTTGAATCGGGACAATGCTCCTCCGCTGGATGAACCAACAGTCGTGCCTATTGACGATGCTGGTGGTCACCGTATTGAAAGCCAGGGATTTGTGGACCACTTCGCTGCGCCGCTGGATGAGCCTGTTGTTGGTGTCGATGAGGTACCGGAAGCCGACGCCCATCTCTCTGATTCCGACAATGTCTCGTCTGGCGTTGATGGTCAAGTCACTGACGATGTGCGCCAAGAGTCAACGGAGCCCGGCAGCTACTCAGATACATCTGTGCCCTTACACTCAAAATCTGTTGGCTCTGCCAGGAGTGCCAGTGCGGAGACTTCTGCAGTCCAAGGCCGATTGCAAGACTTGAACCTGGATAGCGATCATGGGCACAGTGTTCATTCCGAGGATGCCGCTGCTGTCAAAGTCATGGATGCTCGTACATCTTCAAGCCTTGGTGATACACAGGTCGGGTTACCTGGTGAGCTGGAGTACCTCAAGATCATCCGTGGTATGCCCTACTGAACTCGATACTGTCCACAGTGACAGACGAGGTGTTGAATCCAGAGGGGCCCGAGGCCTCCCGGGAGGATATAGCCGGCTTCTCAGAGCCTGCAGCTAAATCAGATGACTGCAACATCCCAATCATTTTGGCTCAAGCCTCCGATCGAGAACTAAACGCAGTGCCAAATACCACTGGGGGCTATGCGGAATCAAAGATGCAGCTTGAACAGCCTATTGTTGCACAAAGTGCCCCTTCTGGTCTTCGGATACGCAAGGAGGACGTCACAATGCAAATCAGTGGCTCCATCAATACTGGGACGAAGAAGACTCAGAGGACGGTCGTGCTTTCGACGAAATCTCCGTCGTTGCCGCATCCGGTACAGAAGTTACGCGCACTGTATGGGGGCCCTAACGGATTCTTCAAGGATATTTTCAAGCAGCAGGTTAAGAGTCGGTCTTCCTCCACTAGCGTTGTTGAGTCAAATTCGGCAGTCAAGACTCCAGTCGTGGACGACTCCAGTGCTCAGATATCTTCTCCGCGTGCCTTTATATCTGCGCCGGACAAGGACAAGGTAGCGACGAGCATATATGCAGGACCCGCCAATATGTCGCATACGTTCACTATGCCTCCCCAGTCTGAAGTTTCTTCAATAGTAACTGAGTCCTTGGATGCTGACTCATCAGGGGCATCTTGCGTACAGCAAGTGCTCGATCACCGTTCACAAGGTCCCCTTCTCAATGCTACACCTGAGTCCCTCAAGGACGTACAGAAGCTACCTCCGGCTGAGACTGGTTCGGTGGTGTCTGATCCGGATGAAGCAACCTTAACCTATGCTATGAATCGTGTTCATGTCGCTTCGTCTTCTCCTGCATCTGCTTCCGGTGAAACTCAGCCTGACATACAGTCACTGAAGGATGCTCTTACTGGCCATGCTCTGAAGGTGAGATATCTCGTTTCGCGTACGCCTTGCTGTTCGACGCAATCACCACTACAGACAGAAGAAGAAGACAGGATAACTCCTGCCAGTCAACACATCCCCCGGACACACACGAGTCCTGAAACCACGCAAAGGTCCAAGGGTCAATCCTTGACGGAAGTGATTAACATAGCGTACTACTCTAATGTTCGAGGTTCGAAGACGGTTTCCAGCGACAGACCGATTATTGATCTCACCTCGGATCCAACTGAAGAAGAGGTAGTAACAACGCCTACCCAATCTCTTCAAACAGATAACATTGCGCCGAATGAGTTGTCGACGAACGCCATAATTCACTCGCAGAGGCTTGGTGAGCTATGAGGTTTGGCTGTTGGTGTATCCTCATGTTGATACGGCTGGTGTTTTAGATGACACAGTTGTGCCTCCACTTAAGAATTCCGATCATTCTTCCCTGCCCGAACCTTCACTTTCACCTCGGCCCGCTCTCGTCCAGCCACAGCAGGTGAAATCGAGACTTGGCCTTGATGAGATCCGAAATATTCGTTCGAGGTTGGTGAGTCGGCAGCTTTCTGCTACTGGCATTTCTGTGGACAAAGGTCACTGGCAAGAATCCACTGGCCTCTCAGTCCCCGCGAAGGTTGAGATTTCGACTCAGTTTTCCCTTTCTGATGTCAATCCCGTTTCGTATCCGGACACCGGAGGAACGCTTCCCAATCTTGAGAGACTTAGCGCGTCTTTACTCCCCTCAAACTCTTCGCCCGCAATGCAGGACTCCTTTTCATCTGCTGTCCATGCTGTGGGAACCAGACAATTCCCGGTCACAGCGGACACGAATCCTCCAGAGCAAGTGATGGGGCATCTTGAGGAACCGGATGGGGCAGAAGCCGTTCGCACTGATGAACAGTGCATGTTAACTGTCAACGATCTGCCGCAGGACGCAGGTGCACCGATAGAAATTCCCCTCGGAGAGCAATCAAACAACAGTACACTCCCTCGGTCACAGCGTGAAGATGATGAAGAACGGGAGTGTTTACAGATTCTCACATACCCAGACTCCAGCGTTATCCTAGACACTAGTGATGTTGAGGTAGGTTGGAATGTAGTGCTTTCAGGAATGACACCTGATCATGATCCAATGTGTGTAGATGTCTGACGAGCGGGCCAGTATCGCTTCAACTTCAAGGGAAAAAAGATCGGCTCCTTCCTCCGCATCTTCTGAGACTTCAATCGCACAGCGACGCCCTCGACGTTTGGTCCGCCGTTCACCGAGCTCTTCCAGCTCCTCTTCACTTGGTCCGGTGGAACCTCTCGATGACATCCCCACTTTGGCGGAAGCTTGTATCCGAATACGGCGCAACGGGAGCGATGGATTCGAAGATCCGCAGGCGATCTCAGGATCATCTCTTTCAGAGTGCGGCTTCGAATTGCTGACTTGGGAGAAAGATCATGCGCGAATGATGGCAAAGGAGTTTGCTGACATGTGCAAACTGGCGAAAGACATGCCACATGAAATCCAAGACAGACTCAATGCCATGAGTCTTGCCGCAAGACGTGCTGATGACATGCAAGTAAAGCTGTTCGAAGCCTTTATAAGCGAGAACACTTATGCCGATGAGCCCTTTGCTCCTCCCATTCACATCATCAACAACATGGACGACGAGTTGACCCCTCCTTGTGAATTTCACTACTCGAATCTTATGTGGCATAGTGAAGGCGTTCCCAAGCCAGACTTCAAGAATCTGAAGGGATGTGGCTGTCAGGGACCATGCGACCCCACTTCCAAGACATGTTCATGTCTCCAGCGCCAGCGTGAATATTACCCTTCAGACCATGGTTTCATCTACGATTCAAAAGGGGTGCTCCGTCAACATGACTATCCCATCTTCGAGTGCAATGACCTCTGCGGATGTTCTTCCGAATGCAAGAATAGGGTAAGCACCCATACCACACCACCTATTGATTGGTTGAACAGTGTGGCAGGTTGTTCAGCATGGCAGAAGATATGCTGTAAATATTCAGAAGACTTCGAACAAGGGATGGGGTGCGTGCTCTTCAAGATTTAACATTGATTTTATTCTCATGCCACAAGGTCCCAGGTGTGTTTGCTGGACCCAAGAAGATCCCTAAGCATACATTTATTGGTATCTATGCTGGAGAGTACTTGACGGATGCTGAGGGTGAAAGTCGAGGCGGGTGTGTATGACGACTACCAATTTGTCCCGTGTACTGACAGCCGGTTGCAGTACCTACAACAAATTTGGTCGGACATACCTCTTTGATCTCGATTTTCATCATCTGCAACAAGGAGATCCGGATTGGCAAACGAAGTATTGTGTCGATGCGTATCATGCAGGGAACGTACGTACAGACCACTTTTCATTTGCAGATATCATCTCATTATTATTCTATGCAGTTTACTCGCTACTTGGTATGTTTCATATTTTGCTTAAGTAAACTGTCTCACTTCGTTGTAGAATCACAGCTGCGACCCCAACTGCAATATAAACGCGTGCTACATTAACGAAGCCAACTTGGACAAGCCACTACTCACGATCTTCACCTGTCGAGACGTTCAACCTGGGGACGAGCTGTGTTTCTCGTACTTCGGTAATCCAGATAGTGACGTGGAGGACGGCGAGGACGACGACGCAGAGGTGCGTTCACAGCGATTACTCACGAAACTTCTCTAATTAGAATGTAGGGTGATTCCCAGAACGTCAATGATGGTGTATATGTACGATGTCGATGTGGAACAAGCAAATGTAAAGGTAAGATGTGGAAGTAGTGCAGAATTTATACCAGTTCTGCCAAAAACAATTTGGCGGTATTTACAATAGTTGATACCCACTATGTGCAATACATGATCCGGGAGTGCTCTAGCTTGACAAGACAATGCAAGACGAACAAGTTCCGACGTAGATTTAAACTGGTGTTGAGGCTGCTTGGTCCGGAGGATCAGCGGATGGCATGCGGTCCACGGGTTCTTTAGGCTGATCTGACGGCTCTTTCGGTCTTCCAGACCAAGGCTTGCCTCCATTTTCTTCCAACTCCCACTCTCGTAGGGCTGCCTCGTCCCAAATTTTATCGGACGTATCCCCGTCTGGCTTCAAAAAGACGTCTCCCCTGAACTGAACCGGTAAATAATCATTGGTAACGGGATGTCTATGCGAAGGACACGAATCAGAAAGCCATGAATCACATACTATGCTGAAGGACGCACGAGTAATCTGGATTATAATGATATCCGCGGGAGTATCCAAGCTCTTTCATGAGCTTCGTAGGAGCATTACGGACCATCAGAGGAACTGGGATAGTTGGGTCGAGCTTCGCCGCCTCTTCAGCGCGGCAGTATCCGCCATAAGAGCGTGTCGACTTCGGTGCCTCCGAGAGGTAAGATACGAGGTGGGCAAGATTGATGCGGCATTCGGGCATACCAATGACTTGGCACGCCTGGTATGTTGCCATCGCCTACCGGATCTAATTCAGATCAGAACGTCCTAATAATGTTCGGTTAACGGACAAACCAGAGGTAGCGCATGGTTGTCTGCTAGGCCAACGTCTTCACTAGCGCATACTACCATTCTTCGGGCGACGTACAATGGGTCTTCACCGGCACTGAGCATGCGTGCAAGCCAGTATAACGCGGCACTGCCCTGACTGCCGCGAACGCTCTTGTGTAGGGCAGATATCATGTCATAGTGGCTCTCACCAGTGCGGTCGTACGAGGTAGACACTGAGCGGCGCAGTGATGATAGTATTTGGTCAGGGTCAGCATCGGCAGGCGAGGACAAGACAAGTTCGAGCAAGGACAAAGCGGTGCGTGCATCGCCCGTGGATAGAGAGACAATAGAGGACAGAATTTTGGAATTCAGCTGTGGATAAGATGGAAAAGGAGACTGCGTCGCAGAAGAGGCCGCGGGCGAGAGTGTATTCGGCTGCGACAGTGATAGCTCCGTTTCAGGCTGAGAGCTTGGAATTTCTACGTCTGCGGTCTTAGTAGCAGTATTATGGGCAGTCGCTGTCACGCGTTCGACTGCTTGGGTAACAATCCGATTGATATCCTCATCTGTAAGACGCTCCAACACGAACACGCTTCGTTGCATTACTTTGCTTGACACATTCTGAGATCATGCTCAGACACTTACCGACAACGACTTATAAGGGCTCCGGTCAACTTAAAGGACGGATTTTCCGTAGTTGCACCTATCAACTTCATCAGAATAGCTTAACCAGCATAACATAGTGAAGAATAATGATATATCTACCTGCACATGTCCTTGCTCGAGATATGGTAAGAATATATCCTTGTTGATAAGGCGAAGTTCAGATAAATCTAGCTGAGAGACAGCATAACAAACAGACCTGTTGTGCCTTGTTAAAACGGTGCACCTCATCCAAGAAGAGTATTGTTCGCCTGAGTGCCGATTAGATGATATGTACATAAACGTAGAGGAACGCGATCTAACCTTCCTGTGAGCGCCAGGACAGTCTTAGCTTCCTCTACGATGGCGCGCACGTCTGAGATCCCTGAGTCAGTGGCACTGAGCTCCTTGAAAATAGAGTCTGTGCGCTTGGCTAGCAACCTGGCAAGGGTTGTCTTCCCACACCTATCACGAGAGAGTTCAGTAGGTCGTGACTGCGAAGATGCCTTAACGCACCCTGGTGGTCCCCAGAAGATGACATTGCCAACTGTTCCTGAGTTAAGTAAGTGCAAGAGTAAAGAGCCAGGGCCAAGAAGATGAGACTGCCCAACGAATTCGTCGAGAGTAGATGGGCGCAGTCTGTCTGCCAAGGGAGCGGCAGAGTGGAGGCGTGAAGAAGCACTGAGTCTTGTACGCTTCTCGGGCTTCTCCGTGGACATGTGAGAGTTGTCTATCTCTCTCCTCTTCCGGTCGTTTGGAGCTTTTGCACTTGAGATCTGGGAAGACGGGGTGGGTGAGGAGAGCAAAGGGCGATCGCTCTTCTGGAGGGAATTGAAGAGCGAGGTAATGGGCGGTTGGAGCTTGCGCTGGGCTCCAGCATTCAGAGAGCCGATGAACCTGCTCTGGGAAGAGGTGGATGGACCGTCATCCAAGCAATTGTTGTCGAGATGCTGATTAATGTCCTTCTCGCGAATCGAGCGAGAGCAGACGGGACTGGTGGGATATCAGGACGAGTAGAGAAAACATAAAATAGGCGTACCATATTACTGGGGGTGGAGTCAGCATGGCAAGAAAGATAGAAGGAGACACAACACACTGACCTGTAGAACTCATCGTGGTGGAGGGAGAGAGCGTGATGGCGAATCCACGTTGCGTCACGCCCAGGGGCGTATGTCACATGACCGTCACGCGTTACGGCCAGGAGGCTGGTAGAATTGAATGCAGTCACACCGGCCGTACTCCCAGAGTGTTTACCGCAGATGAGCTCGTCGAGTGCACCGGACATGGCCTTCGTCGACCCGGACGCTCTCCGCGTCCTCATCACAGGTTTTGGCGTATGTTTTCGCTGTACACACACTGCTTTATCTCATCGATCCTTGTGTGTCGTTGTAGCCCTTTGCCAAATACAACGAGAATCCTTCCTGGCTGGCCGTCAAACCACTCAACAACACCATCATCTACACAGATCCCCCAGCTGAACCAATTCTCCATGTAGAACATGATGCCATCATCACAGATGATATGGAAGAGATGCTCCGCCCCAAGCCCGTTCATATCACCACCCTGCAAGTGCCAGTCACATACAAAGCCGTCCTCTCTGCCGTACCCGGCTTCCATGCTCGTCCCCCTGTCCTCCCAGAATCCAACGATCCTGACACAGTCCTTGCTCCTTCACCGAACGGTTACGACTTTATACTCCATGTCGGTGTTGCCGGTCGTGGTCCTCTCCGCTTGGAGAAAATTAGCCACAAGAACGGATTCCGCATGAAGGATGCAGATGGAGAGTATGCCCCCATTGTTCCTCTCCTCCCAAAGGAGACCCCTAAGGATCCCCTCAATCCTACAGATACCGACATGGACAGGATGGCTGACATGTTGGGCCTATCTTCCCCCATGACCATCCCCGGTATCACGATTCCTGGCCAACCCCCCATCCTTGGCTCTGGAATGTCCGTGCCAGGTCAGGCTCGCGCCGAGGGGGGAACGGACGGAACGGATCACCCCCCGAATCGCGGATTTGGCAAGGGATACGAAACGTTTGCCGATGAACTGACGACGAGCATCGATGTAGCGAAACTTCTCCATTACCTGAAGGAGAATGGCGTCGAGGTAAGCCATTGTCTCCCTGATCATCCCCTGCTTCCCCTCCAACGTGAATCACAGCAAGTGTACTCGTCGATGGACGCGGGCCATTACCTCTGCGATTTCATGCTGTACTGCTCTCTCGCCGAAGCCAAGAGACTGGCTGCACGCCAGGAGAAACTACAAGAGCGGACTGTCCCACCCAAGTGCACTCCAGTATTATTCATGCACTGTGGACCCGTTGATCAGCCTCTCAGTACCGCGGAGGTGACAGAAGCTATAAAGAAGGTAGTTAGCTGGGTGTGTGGGCGCCTCCACACATAGTCCTGGAGGAATTCCAACGGCAGCCCACGCAACTGCTGTACTGTACTGACTCGTACTCCTTGGATTACTTCTGAATACCACCATCTCGTCGATTTGTTGTTATTGTACATAAGTCACGTGTAGTACTACTTGTTTTGTATACCGTCGCGTTCAGAATTTCACATCGCTGTTCAAGTTTCCGAGCACATCGTAGTGATACCATGATGGCGCGACCTCCAAAGCCAAAAGATTCAACGTCCCCTGGGTCGATGCCTCACGTCCACGCTGATACCATCGCATCCTGCAATGGCGACAAACATTGTTTTCCACCCGGGTATGGCTCCGACGAAGCACACTGTTCCGGTGCTAAATCCGTTCCATAGGCTCCGTGGACGGCACCGAACGTTCAGAGCTGCTCAAGCAGAAAGGTGTCACAGTCTGGTTAACGGGCCTCAGTGCCAGTGGCAAGGTGATCTTCCTTCATACGAAGCTTCCTATAGCCGACCGACCCTTTTTGTGGTCACGATCGGGTAGTCGACAATCGCGTGCGCACTTGAGCAGCATCTGCTCCATATCCACAAATTCAGCTATCGCCTGGACGGCGATAACATCCGGTTCGGTCTTAACAAGGATCTTGGCTTCGATGAGAAGTCGCGTAATGAAAATATCCGACGCATCGGGGAGGTGAACCTGGTACACCCTTTCGTTGGTTTGATGCTAACAGAACTGCCGCCGTTAGGTCTCGAAGCTGTTTGCCGACGCATCCTGCGTTACTGTGACCGCATTCATCTCTCCCTACCGCGCAGACCGCGCCATCGCCCGTGACATACATGCGAAGGCAGGCCTCGGGTTCGTCGAGGTTTTCATCGACGCCCCACTGCACGTGCTAGAACAGCGTGATCCCAAAGGGCTCTACAAGAAAGCCAGGGCCGGTGAAATCAAAGGTGAGGGCTACCACATAGCTCTAGCGATCATTCTTACTGTTGTGCGCAGAGTTCACGGGCATCTCGGCTCCGTACGAAGCCCCAGAAATACCGGAGATCCACATCAAGACGGACGAATGCGACGTCAAGGAGGCCGTGCGCATAATTACAGATTATCTTGCCCAACACAGCTACATCTAGAGTGTTTCTAAGATTCGATGTCATCATTGCAGTCGTGTATGGAATGTAGATGGCTAGGATATATATGCTATTAGAGTGTCTCAACGCTGAGCACGAACTTTGGATACAGATGCACAACTACTCGGCGGCGGCCAGCGCCGCACTCGACTGTGTCCGCGTGTCTGTCGACACGATATGTCCGTCACCGCCACTTCCCACTAGGCTTTCCTCCTGCTCCTGCTCCTCTTCAATCGTGTCTCGGTCTGCCTTGTCCAGCATCTGCGTGAGCCCGATCTCAACGAGTGACAGCCACTGAGAAAGGTCTTCAACGGTTCGAGCCAGTTGCATGTGCGTAGCATCATGAGAATGCATTAACTTAGCAAAGTCAAGGGGTCGTATCGGAGGACCAATGAGGGTGTCGACAAATGCCTGCGATCCCCCATGAGAGTAAGATCGTGTATGCGATTGCATCAGTACTGAATCGGTAGAACCTCCGCGGGAATCAACGAACGATTGATTGAGCTGGGACGACAGTGAACTGAGAGAGGTAGTAGAGGAGGCGGCAGCAGAATTAGTCAGTGGATGCGGTCGCGAGCTATGCGGACCGATATCTGAGGAATAGCCTGCCGAGCCCTGTGTTGGGAGCGGGCGTGAAGGCTGCGTGAGGATGGAGAGCGACGCGGGAAGCAGATCTGGCATTCCAAGCTGATGTTCAGAACTCAAAGTGGGGATCTGGCGCACACAATGTCAGTCTACCCCGCAACTTGGAACATCATATGCTGCTTACCTTTAGCACATCCTTCAAGCCCGGAAGTTGCACACTCGACCTATCTGCAGGACTACCGCTTCGGTCTTCACGAATTCGTGCGAAGGGCTTCACAGGTGGCATAATGGTTGAATTCACGGTTTCCATGACTGCTACTGTTGCCTGGCGATTAAGACTTGGCTTCCGTGACATTGTCTTCAAGCCTGCTGTGGCAGAAGTGTTACGATTTCCGGGTTCTGCAACAGCTGTTGCAGACCGAGCGCGAGTGATCAAAGGAGGAGTAGGTAGTAAAGCAGGGGAAGGTAACCTCCTAGGCGAAAGAGCGGCATCTAGAGAATGCGTGAACTGATGAGTCCCAGAGGACGTAGTCGAGATTGTCGACACACTCGCATGTGCCGGTGAAGTGCTGTGATGTCCAGCTGGTAGATGGGTTGATGACCGGGGAGAATGAGGCGGAAACCTGCCCTGAGCAGACGCGGCTGATGGGGGTGGGGAAGGGAAGTGGAAACCTCCAGCAGACCTAACCTCACGATCTTCGCGAGGAGAAAGAGACGCTAACCCAGCAGCACTACTCTGAGAACGCTTGCGGTTTACGGCTGGCCGAGCAGTCACGGATTGCTCTGGTGACGAGACAGACAGAATTATAGGAGGAGTGGGCAGGTCAAGGGTGGTAGCAAAAGGCGATCCGTCTGAAGACGAGGGGATCTCAATATCCGGCAAACCGCGTGTCGAGCGAACTTCTCGATAGGAGGGTGTTGCTTTACCGGAGCCAGTGCTCATGTCTGCCTCAAGACTCGCTCGCCCAGGCAGAACAGGAGCAGTTCCTAACGGAATACCTGGTCCAAGTGGGGGAAGCCGTTCTGCGGCACTCTCAGAAGGCTGATCATCCCAGGCAGAACTCTTCATAGCCAGCTTCGATTTGGCACGCGGCGTCGAGGTCCGAGGGGGGAAAACGAAATCGGTTTGCTTCGCGGTCTCTAAATCGTCACCATCCTGCTCAACCGTAGGAGGCACCTTCAAGGGACTGCGACCTCGAACAGGAGAATTACTGAGAGTTGACAGAACAGAAAAGTCCGACTGCAAATCGCTCTGAGACTGATCGAGAGTTGGTATGCGAAAAGGATCCAGAGCCGTCGTCTCGGTTTCAAACAGCATGCGTAAAGTAGCGGGTACTCTGGAGTTAGCAGTGGGTCGAATGGTCGGGTAGGAAGACAATGGTAAGTCTTCATCGAGTGTGTGATTAAAATCCGCAATTTCGAACGAAGAACGACCGCGAACGGTGTCAAATTCCCAAGTATTCTCGTCATCGTCGGCCGCGGAAGGTTGGGAGCTAGAAAGGACATCAGTGTGTCGGGTAATTGTCATGAATTTGGACGCACTCTCTTTCCTCTTCTTCCTCCCATGGGAGAGGATCAGCTACACTGGCTCGGCTACCACCACTTTTAATCCAAGCATCATATCGCAAAATGAGATCTTTGAGAAGGATGACAGGTACACGTGAAACAGATTTAATCCACTTGGTTTTGGAGAGTTCGTCAGCACTGAGTCGCTACAGGCATTCAAGTCGCGTGTCAGTGTAAACTCGCAAGGAAGAAATGAGCGTAGCACACATCACTGGGAGACTCCCTTAAGCAGTGGGAGACAAACTCTCGGAGTTCTTTGCTCCCCTCTCCTTCGATGAGACGAGGCGGTTTCATACGAGGAATCATCTGTATGAGCTTCGCCTGGTCCACGACATGTGAATGTGGTGCGCTCCCTTTGATCATCTCATAGATCATGATGCCCAAGCTCCAGATGTCGGCCTTGGTATCATATGCAGAAGCATGCGCGACTTCAGGAGCCATCCAATGTGGTGTGCCGACGAGTGTATTGCGCTTACTCGACGCAGTGACCAAAAGCGCAGAGACACCAAAGTCACATATCATGACCTTGCCGGCTGCTGTGATAAGGATATTGGCGGCCTTGAGATCCCTGTGAATGATGGAGGACTTGTGAAGGTAGGTCAAGCCCATGAGGACCTCTCGTGTGATGACCGCAACGTATTTCTCCTCAAGTGTACCGTCCTTGGAGGCTTTCATCAGGGTGCGGACACTGCCACCTTGAGCATATTCCATGACAATCCATACACGAGGGCCATCGAGGTAGCAGCCATAGTATTGTGTGATATTGGGCGCGTCCCGAAGCTGAGTGAGGAGGGCCACTTCGCGCTGTATATCACCCACATCGTCGTCCTCTGTGTCGAGATTGATGATTTTGAGGGCGACGACGTTTCCTGTTGGGATGTGTATGCCCTTGTGGACGGAGCCGTATGCGCCCTTTCCAATGGTCTCGAGACGACGATAGAGTTGGTGAACGGAAGGCGGAGGCATCAGTGGCTGGTACCGAAGGGGGAGGAGGATGGAGAGGTCAGTACGGGAAAATCGTCGTGGACATTCATGGAAAAACACAAGGCCGACAGCGCAGTGGAGACGGTGAGGATGGCATGCAGGACGAACGTCGAACGGCCAGGGCGGCGGCGAACCTGGTGGATGTCTCAGGTGATCACGGATTCATTTCCAGATATTGTCTTTCACCGACTACGACGTAGTCTTCCTAGTCACTTCGATAGCGCTGAGCTGACTCGCCGTTTACTTGCAGTACCTACCAGGACTGACTCTCCACCGTACGAATATCAAGGCAGGAAGCCGAAGAGCTCGTCAAAAATACATCAGAATTCTCGCCCAGTTCACCGGCCTGAATCCGTAAGAGACAGGGCAATACCACACGCGCAGGGCGGCACGCGTCTTGACGATGAACTTTGACGAGAGCTCGACCGTCCTCGTCTCCCAGGAATTCACAGCCGTCGTCCTCGCAGGTTTTGGCAACGAGCAAGTACACGCTCGTGCGTTCTCTGTCCCCTTCCTTGACACCCCCCTCTAGGCTACTCCCCTTGACCGGCAACAATGGCGACGAAACGTGTCCCAAGGCTCTACTACCCATCGCAAACAAACCCATGATCGAGTATCCTCTTGCGTGGATAGAGCAGTCTGGCATACGGGGTGCACACGATTACGTTCTTATTATGTGAATATCTCTCAACAATACTCTCAGATGTCCTTCTCATCTGTCCTGCCCCACATCGATCCGCCCTGTCAAATTACATACAATCTGACTCCTCCACATCCTTTCCATCTCTTCGTATCGACCTACAAACGTACGACGAAACCCAAGAATCCGCCGTAGGAACGTGTTCCATCCTCAGACACTTCTCCCAACGCATTCAACACGATTTTGTCCTCCTTCCCTGCGACTTTGTCCCTCCGGATTCCCTGCCTCTCAGTCAGATTGTCAATAAGTTTAGGACGGAGTCGACCTATGATGGCTCGATTGCCACCGCCTGTTTTTACGAAGCTCGGCGACCTGAGAAAGCCGGTAGCTCAGACGAGTGGGGAGTCCTACCCTCTCCCGTTTCGATCGTCTGGGACGAAAGGACGGGAACCCTGTTGTATATCGATACTCCCGATGACGTAGACAAGAACGGTGAAGAGATCGAATTGAGGATGAGTCTGCTCTCCCAGTGCGTCCAGTCCTGTAAATATATATATGACTTGTTGGAGTTTGATGCCATTGTTTAAGCAGATATCCCCGCGCAAAGCTATGCGCTAACATGAACGATTCCCATACTTACGTATGCCGAAGACACGTCCTAGACGCTTTGCAAGAAAAGACACGCTTGGACTCTATTCGTGAAGAATTCATCCCGTGGTTGTGCAAGCCGCAGTATCAGCGCACTCGAAGAGAAAAATACGGCTCTGGTATGTACACCTCTTAGCAACGAGCAGGGTTCATCTCACCGACAAATGAACGTCTTTGTAGTCCTGAGTCCACTCTCAAACACATCCTCGCAAGGATTGGCACTGAGACATTCCACTATTTATACTGATATACATAGACATCATCATCATTATCATCGGGGTTTGGCCTCCCCAGTTGACCCGGGAGATGGGTTAATCCGGTCCGTAGCAGCGTCACCCGTTGACGAGGCAGAGGAGGCCACAGTGCCGAGCTTGAGAGTGGGTCTGCTGGTACATAGGGCCGAACAGGGCTATGCTGCTCGTGCGAACACCCTTCACGCTTACCTTGAACTCAACCGACATGTGAGTCGAGAGTCTACACGGACGGTTTCCGTGCTGACAAGCTCACAGTTCCTTGCGCAAACGACCTATTCTCTACCTACCGATTCGAGGAGTCGATCGCTCATTGACCAGAAGGCACAGATATCCTCAGACTCAATGATTGGCCTCTTCACTCGCGTAGACGAGCGAACTACCGTCAAGAAATCCGTGATTGGGCAGCACTGCGTCATTGGCAAGATGGCCAGAATTGTGGGATGTGTGATCTTGGATCACTGCGTCGTCGAGGACGGGTGTGTGTATTTGTTCCTGCAACTGCGCATTGCGCTCAGTGTGTCACGTGCTACAGCGCAAAACTCGATGGCTGCATCCTTGGAAAGAACACGAAAGTGGAGGCGAAGGCGGAGTTGTCGAGATGCGTAACCCAGGCTGGCTATGAAGTAGGCACAGGTGGTAGGTATCTTTGCACTTGCCGAGGTGCACACCTGCCTGACCTTTTTTCTTACCCTCAGAAACATTCAAAAACGAGAAGCTGGAAGTAACCGACTGGACTGCCGAAACACAGTCCAGCGATGAGGACGAGGATAAAGAACAGGAGGATAGCCCGACTGGCGACGACAGCGATTGACGTACCAGCAGCAGATCCTAATTAGGTGTCTAAGAGAATCTTGACGATGTACATACATGTACATGTACAGACCGTGATAGCATACTGTCAAAGCAGTTTTGAAATCAATTCATACCCAGGAAAAATCTTGTGTGAATACAGCGAAAAGGCATGCTACATGCAGTTCACCGGGTCCTCTGTGTACCCGCCATCTGGTTCCCGAGACCTTGCGCGAAACGCGCTCCGCGTCCACCGCGTGCACCACCTATGGATGAACTCATTAGATTGATGTTTGCCGAAGATACTGTAGAAGGGTACTGACCACGAACACCTCCCCTGGTGCGCTCACCGCGGCCTCTTCGCTCCTGCGTTTGCTCTCCCCGCTTGTCACCCTTCGCGCCGTCCACGCGATCTCCCCAAGAAGTTGTATTGCCGAGCTTGAGGTCGAGCGTTTTCTCATTCTGCTCCATCATGTTGTTGACCTTGTCCGCCAAAACCTGCGCGAGCTGCTGTGTTCGCGAGAGTTCGATCCGGTGGAAGACAACGACGCCCACTGCCTGGTCGAGGGACGCGGAAAGCTCCTCGTTCCAGATCATCTTGGACACCACGGACGTGACTGTGCGCAGAGGCAGCGAGAATGTGCGGGAAAGCAAGGACAGCGATAATGTGCTATAGTAAGGAGCATACGTGAACAGGTATGTGCGCAGCCCCTCCTCCTGGATACGTCTACGACGGTGTTAAAAAAAGATAACGCAAGGCCAGAACAGAGACTTACTTTGCCAGCATCTCTTTTACTGACGCGGCCTCCGGCATCAGACTCCAAATCTTGATGCTCTGAATCAAATCGCGGCACTTCTCCCACTCGCCGTTCTGCAGTGCCTTGCTTGCCTGCATGATGTGGTCTCTCGTGCTCTCGGGAGGACCCGTGAATATCTGGCGGTCTGCAAAGTCCAATAAGCGGCGGAATGACTTCGAGATCGCTTTCCGCTTCTGCTCCTCCGAGTCGATGCTCGCGAGAAGGGGAATCTCGACGAGCATGCTCGAGACTAGGAACGCCGCCTCCAGCAGCTCGGTGTTGATATGCATGTGGAAGGGAAGTTGGCGCTGCCTCTCCGCCTTCTCCTGCTCAGGCGTCAGCACCTGGTAGCGCTGTTGATGCACACCCTGAGCGAGGAGCTCCTTGACTCGCTGGGTCGCGAAGATGTCCTGCAGCGTAGCCTGCGCTTCCTTGATCAGACCACAGCGGAATGCGCTCAGGCCCAACTGCACTACGGTTCGGTTGTATAAGATCTGGGTGGCGACGTCCGCAGAGTATACGGACTCTTGGAGATGAGACATCAGGAGCATATCTCGCGCGGTGTGGAAATCGTTGTGAAGTGCATAGTGATATATGTGCGAGAGCATAGCGCGTGTTCGCAGGAAAGAGTTGCCAGACTTGTACAGGTGAACACACAGGGAGTGGATGAGCATGGATGATTGACCCTCGACGGAGAGTACAATTGACGGCTTGTTATCCATAGTCGCCACTGCCGACTCAAGAGCATGCACGACAGCGTCAGGCTGTATGGCAACCTCATTAGCAGAAACGCGACAAAGGAAATACATAGGGAGCAAACCTTCGAGTAGATGTGCTCTAACCGCCGCATGACCACCCTGCCCTGCGGCTCCTCCTGCTTGTTCTTCTCGTACAGTGCCTGTGCGCGGCAGATAGTGCAGTAGAGACCCTTCTCGTCCTTGAGCCGATCGACATACTCTGTCCCGTGAGGGTCAATATTCTGCAAACTCTTCGTAAACTCGTCGTCCAAACGATCGACGAAGCTGATGATGCTGCCACGAATCCGGACAACGCCGTCCTTCTCCGTAGCAGGCGAGCGCTCTGCCTGCTCGTCGTAGTCCTCGGTAACTTCCTGCACCGAATAGGCGGGGTTCAGGACAATGATGGAGATCAGCTGGTCGACCTCGCGCTGTGCGGATATCCACAAGTCGATTGGCATGTGTGTCGAAACGGACGAGTTGTAGTCGAAGCGCGAGGAAATGAGTGTGAGCAGGACGCGAATACGCTGATACGATGTCACCGCGACCTCGAGCAGCTTCTCGAGGATACGCATCTGGTCCGATCTATCGGTGTTCTGGGGGCGGCGTCAGACATACTCTTTGGGAACCGGTAAGGAAATACTAGTGCACCTTTTTGCCCCGAGCATCTTGGATGAGTTGCAGGTTTTTGAAGATACTATCGGAGGTAAATAGCATCGCCTTGCCCCCTTTGCCGACGGTCGTAAAGTCGTCGTCTGGCTGTTCCTGCTCTTCGTCACTCGCTCCAGCAAGCAATTTCTTGACCTTTTTTGGTTTTGGCGCTGCAGTAACCTCGTGAACGAGTAAGGCAGCGTACTCTTTCTCGAAAGCCTCTGGGTCCTTTGAAATGGTCAGCGACGCAAAATATGCAAACAACGAAGCAGCGCACCGCCTGGAACTGTTTGAGTTCCTTTTCGTACTCCTTGGTGATCTTTTTGACCTTCTGCTTCATGGCCGTGAGCGCGCGGGCGTTGCTGGCGTTCATCTTCTTCTTTGCTTCCTTCTCCTTAGCCACGGCAGAGTTGAGGGATGATTCAAGGTTTGTGAGGGTGCGGATATAGAAGGGGGGAACGGGCTCGGAGACATTCTGCTGCCTCTGGACCATCCGCACGAGCTTGTCAAATTCTTTAAAGGGTGAGCCGGGCACAGAGGGCAGCAGGCACAGAGGGACAGCGTACCATTGGAGATTGCGACCCAGTCATTGATCTTGAGCGCGTTGTCCATGACCTTGCCGCATGCCTCCATCTCATCAAGCCGCTTATCTCGCGCGCTCTTGACGACGCGCTTGACGTCCTCATCGCTCTCGTCCTCGTCGGACTCGGTGCGGAGGAAGCGGGACTTGCGCTTCTCCTCTTTGGCTTCTTCCTCGGACAGCTCGCTTTCCTCCTCCTCTTCGTCCTCCTCTTCCTCTGAGCTGGAGTCATCGCCAGTGCGCAGGAGACGAGACATAGTAGGCTTGGCTGACGCAGGCTTGGGTGCACCCTCATCATCGCTGGACATGAGCTCCTCCTCGGACGACTCGGACTCGCTGTCGGAGTCGCCTGCTTGCCTGAAGAACCGAGACATGGTGGTGTATAGCGAAAGGCGAGTGTAAGAGCGTAGAGTCGAGCGCGAGGACAGTCACAGTCAACGATACCAGACGATACCAGCTAGGAAATTTAGAGTTTCTTGAGCACGGCGCGCTGACTAATAATCTTGGTCCAAACAAATAAAATATTTTATTACATAGAATGTATTTGCAACGATTTTCCGGGCCTCAAGAAAGGAAATTCTTGGCTACTATTGTTACCCCAGACAGTTTTTGACCTTAGGATTTGATTGGCACGAGCCGATTTCTCTAATTCTTACTTTTACCCTGTTTGGTCTTATTGCCGTTTGCAGAAGAATTGGCGGTCGCGCATTTCACGCGCGTCTTGCAGAAATACGACGCTCGATCTTCCAAGCTTCATATCTCCTCGACTGTCACTCGGACTACCTTGAACACATATATATTCTGAATCCTCTCATTGACAACATGTGTGCCCCGGTATCAGATTCGCGGTAAGTGCTGTGGGACGTGAGATCTCGAGAGGTGACCTGTATACCAACATATTGCCTGTATCTCGAAAACGATGAAATATATTTTGATCAACACTATGCTACTGTATTCCTGACGTGTATGTGGAATGCGTCCCAGCAAAATCAGGAATGGACTTCAACATCGGACCATGCAGACAATCCACAGCTTCTTGTAAGAAGGCCGAGTTTCTTCACCACATAAGACATTCACAACAATATGTCACTCACCCAGACATCCTGAGCTACTGCCAATCCGACATATGCACACCCTCCAGAAGATTTTGCGCAAGTCATTCTCCCATGCCGCTGGTAGTCAGACAGCGCCCGGCCGACTATATGCCTCATGAACACTTGTATTGAGTGATTGTCGGCATGGTGAGATTGCAGAACATGTTAAGAAGTATACCGTACAGGCCATCAGAGAGAGCATAGCAGTGAGCCATGAGGGTAGGAGCCAAAACGTGCGAGACTAGCCGACAACGAGGATGTCTATATGGCACAGCTCCAACATCGAACTCCGGTCCTGATTTTGCTGGGGCGCATTCCACATACACGTCAGGAATACAGTAGCATAGTGTTGATCAAAATATATTTCATCGTTTTCGAGATACAGGCAATATGTTGGTATACAGGTCACCTCTCGAGATCTCACGTCCCACAGCACTTACCGCGGATCTGATACCGGGGCGCACATGTCGTCGATGAGAGGATTCAGAATATATATGTGTTCAAGGTAGTCCGAGTGACAGTCGAGGAGATATGAAGCTCGGAAGATCGAGCGTCGTATTTCTGCAAGACGCGCGTGAAATGCGCGACCGCCAATTCTTCTGCAAACGGCAATAAAATGATGCCATCTCAAATCCAAGCAATTTTCCTTCAAAAATTTTGGATCAAATATACTTCCAACATATGAACTACCTTCTGTGTGACTAATAGGGCTGCTGTTACTGACCAATATGCTCCTTTTCTTGTTTTCCTTGTTTTGCATGTTTGCAGGAGCCAATCCTCGTCGATGTAACGGCGACACCGTTACATGTCCGAATATGGCCATTCCTCAATGACGCATGGCCTGTTTCTTACTTCCTTTATTTAGTGCACTAGCTACCTCGTATGTACAGTCCGTCCTACCTACGATCGCGCACGGACACTCTTAGTCAGCGTAGGTTATAGCTCGGGTCCGACCTCGTTTGTGTCTTGTCGAATCAACGCACGAGCGTCCGCTCTCACTGTTCGCGATTCCTCCGTCTGACCTTCTGAAGTATCTCCGAGCATAACGGCTCGTCTTTGCTTACTTCTGTGACTTCCGTTGGCGCGGCCGTTACAGTTTGATTCGACCTCGACTCATTCCGAAGAAACCCCTGATTGGCCCGTGTCTTCGTTTACCCTCGAGTGCTCTCGCGCACTTCTAGTCCTACCGTAAAGTCTTCAAATTCACTCTTTAGTATTGCGTGAAAGCGCAGAAACTACTGACATCATGGAGATTGATCCGGAAATTCCACCCAGTTCTTCGGGCACTACTCCCGCAGCCGGTTCTGCCACCCCCACTCCTGCCGCTGCTTCCAGACACAGCGACGAGCGAAGGGTCCTTTGGTCTGCGGTCGCTGCGTTAGGTCGTCATGCTGACCAATTCCATGAGTATCAGAATATCACGCAGCGCGCGATCGAGGCAGTCACCAACCGGCTCAAGACTATGCAGCAGCCTCAGGCGACCCCCTCTGTGCCTACGATACACTTCCGAGAGCCCCGCATTTTCAACGGCAAGCCCGAGGAGGTTGTTCCTTTTTTGAAGGAAATTCGGCACGCTGTTCATTTACAGCGTCGGGGGTTGCTGAAGGACTACGACAAGGCAGTCTATATGGCTACCTACCTGAAGGATGGATCACCCGCGTCGTGGTTCAATTCAATTGAACAGTTCAACTCGGCCCTCCTCCAGGACTGGGACAGTTTTCTCGACGCTTTTCGTGAACGCTTCGAAGATCCCGACCTCGTGACCTCTAGTCTTCACAAGCTCGAGAACCTTCGCCAGACTAGTTCGGCTGCTTCCTACTCCTCACGTTTCAAGGAGCTGCTTGTGTACCTTGACTTCTCTGACCAGACGAAGATTCAGTACTTCCGCAGGAATCTCAAGGAACCGGTTAAGGATCTTTTCCTTACCGTTCAGCCCTCGACCAATTTCGAGGACTTCGTTACTCAGGTGATTGCTCTGGACAACTGTCTCCATCAACGTGAACTCGAGAAGAAATCAGATAAGTTCTTCCCTCATCATATTCCTTCACATGCTTCCGAGGTTCAACATTGGCCTTGAGAGCACACGCAACCGCAGCCGGCAGCCTCCACCTCCAATAATGATGTAGTTCCAATGGAGGTCGATGTTGTTCGACGTGGACCGCTTTCTGATGCCGAGAAAGATCGATGCCGGAAGCTCAGGCTCTGTTTGTATTGTGGTGGTCCTGGGCATATTGCCAATGACTGCCCCAATAAATCTGCGCGTACTAAGAAGCCTGTGCAGACTGCTTCGTCGTCGACTAAGCCTAACCCCAAAGCGGGAAAAGCTTAGCCAAAGGTTCGCCAGTCCCAGGACCTTCGGAGCAAATGGAGACTCAGGCACCCACTCCGGAGAGCTCATACGTCCGTTCAACAGACGGCGTATGGTTGTTGAAGCCTGCTGGTGCATCTGTGTTTCAGTTATCATCTCATGTTCTTGCTGACCTGAATTCTTCTGATCATTTCTTTGTTTCTATTCAACTTTGTTTTCCTAACCGAAAAGCCATTCACACGTTTGCTCTCATCGACTCAGGAGTGACTGCGTCTTGTATTTCTTTATCTTTTGCTAATCGTCATTCTCTTCCACATCGTCTGAAGGACGATCCGGTTCCTATTACTGTGGTGGACAATCGCCCAATTGCCGCAGGTCTTGTTACTCACGATGTCATTACTTCTTTATCTCTTCAGTCTCATTCTGAAAATATTTCTCTCGGTATTGTTTCGGTTTCATTTCCGGTTATTCTTGGTTTGGATTGGCTTCGTCGCCATAATCCTGTGATTGATTGGACTCGCAACCGCTTGGCACTCTCATGCTGCGGTGCGAATCCTTCTAACCCTGTTTCTGCACTCGGAAAAGGCTTTGGTCTTGCCCGCATTTCTCCGTTATCTAGTTCAGTTCAGTCTTTGTCCCCGACCGTGCTCGGTTTAGGCCTTGGTCTAGACGGGCACACCCTTGTACCTTTGTACCCAGATTCCATTGTCCGCTCAGATCGAGCGCAATGTTCCACGACTGCCCGAGGCATTTCCTATTTGGCTACCTTGGTTACGTCGCCTCTGTCTCCTTGTCGTGGTTCTAGCATTGGCTCTGGTCAAACTGGAACACTTTCTGCTATCTGGAGCAAACTCTGCTCACCCGTCGCGACTCCTGACCCTCCGCATCCCTCTTTGAATATCGCGTTTGTTAACGCTCGCCGTTTTCAGAAATACGCTAGAAATGGCGAGACGGCTGCTATTTGGTATCACCCTATCCGTTCTGAAGGGTATAATATTGCTGCTGCTTCTCTCAATTCTGACCCGCCTTGTGCTTCACAGTTGGCTCCTTTTTCAGATTCTCCTGATGATGACCCGCTTGGTTACGTGCCCGAAAAATATCGTGACTGGGCTTCGGTCTTCACCGTGAAGGATCTCAAGGATCTTCCCCCCCATCGACCATATGATTGTACGATTGATGTCGACGAGGGAAAGACTCCGCCCTTTGGTCCGCTTTATCATCTTTCTCAGGAAGAACGTGCCGTTTTATTTGATTATATTGAGACTAACCTCAAAAAAGGATTTATTCGCAGATCCATGTCTCCAGCCGCTGCTCCCGTTCTCTTCGTCAAGAAGAAGACAGGCGATTTGAGACTTTGTGTCGATTATCGCGGTCTCAACTCGATGACGAAAAAGAATCGCTACCCGCTTCCCCTCATCGACGATCTTCTCGACCGCGTGCAGGGCTGCAAGGTGTTTTCTGTCCTCGATCTCAAGAACGCCTTCAACCATGTGCGAATCAAGGCCGGCGATGAGTGGAAGACTGCTTTTCGGACTCATCTAGGTCTATTTGAGTACACGGTGATGCCCTTCGGGCTCACCAATGCTCCGTCCACATTTCAGGCATTCATCCAGGACACGCTTCGTGACCTGCTTGATGTCGTCTGTGTGGTTTACATTGACGATATTCTTATCTTTTCTCGCACCCAGGAGGAACACGATCGACATGTCCAGCTTGTACTCGAACATCTGCACAATGCCGGCCTCTACGCAAACACGAAGAAATGCGAGTTTGACAAGTCGGAAGTCGAATTCCTCGGGTACCTCCTTGGTGCGGATGGTATCAAAATGCACCTGCGGAAGCTCGAGACGATCGCCGATTGGCCTTGCCTGTGCTCTGTCAAAGACGTGCAATCTTTCCTTGGCTTTACTAATTTTTATCGTCGTTTTATTGATGGGTATGCGCATATTGTTTTACCTTTGAATTCTCTTACTCGAGAAAACCGTCCGGATCCTTTTATTTTTGGTCCCGACACTATTGCTGCTTTCGAAAAATTGAAACGCGTATTTACCTCTTCCCCTTTGCTTCGCCATTTTAATCCAGCTCTCCCTTCTACTCTGTCTACTGATGCTTCCGATTTTGCGATTTCTGGTATACTTCACCAGCCTGACCCGCAAGTTTTCTTACACCCCGTTGCATACTACTCTCGTAAGCTGTCTTCTTCCGAAATTAACTATGAAATATATGACAAGGAGCTCCTTGCGATAGTGGATTCCCTTCGCGACATGCAGGCCTGGCTAATCGGCACTCCTGTGCCAATTGCGGTTGTTTCTGATCACAAAAATCTTGAATATTTTATGACCTCGCGCATCCTTAATCAGCATCAAGCGCGCTGGTCTATGTTTCTTTCCGAATTTAATTTTCGTCTTGACTATGCTCCTGGCTTGAAAAACCCTGCAGATGCTCCCTCGAGGCATCCTGACTACGCGCCTCGAGAGGGGGATGACGTCCTCTGCCTGCAGCAAAAAACTCTGCTGACTCCAGTCCATACCGAGCGACTTTTTCCAATTTCTCATCCATCCACTTCGTCGTCCACCCCTCCCGGTGTTTCCCATTCGATCTCAGCCCTATCGACTCTCGCCATTAACAATTCGGAGCTCCTGGAGCAATTCAAAACTGTGATCTGCGACGATTCCGAATGGCCAGAGGCGATCGCTCGAGGAGACCAAGACTTTGAGCTTCAGGGCAATCTGGTATTCCATAAGGGTTTGTTATTTGTTCCGTCTTCCTTGCGTTCAGAAATCCTCAATACTCGTCACAACTCGCTCATCTCGGGGCATCCGGGGCGAGCGAGGACGTTGGCACTCGTTTCCCGTGACTATTCCTGACCCGGGATGCAGACTTACATATGCCGCTACGTTGAAGCGTGCGATGTTTGTAGCCACATCAAGACTCCTCGTCACAAGCCATACGGCCTTCTGCAACCCCTCGCCATCCCCGAACATCCATGGAGGTCTATCACCATGGACTTCATCATCAGGCTCCCGGTCTCACACGGTTACGACTCTATTTGGGTCATCTGTGATCGCCTTACACGCGCGGTGCATTTCACGCCATGCAATGAGACGATCGATGCCCCCGGACTCGCCTGGTTATTCCTCAACAGGATATTCTGCTATCACGGTCTCCCCGACTTGATCGTCTCCGATTGAGAGTTCATCTTCGTTTCCAAGTTCTGGAAAGAACTAACCACTCTCCTTCGTATTTCTGTTAACACCTCTACAGCTTATCACCCCCGTACTGATGGACTTACCGAGCGCATGAACCAGACACTCGAGATGTACCTGCGCGCGTACTCCTCATACCAGCAGGACGATTGGGTCGACTATCTACCGCTCGCCGAGTTTGCCTTCAACAACCACGTCAACTCCTCTACCAATCAGACTCCGTTCTTCGCCAACCTTGCCTACCACCCGACATTCGAGCCTCGCCTCTCTTACCATTCCACTGTCCCTGCTGCCGCGGATCTTGCTTCATGCCTGGATCGCCTTCACGACGAACTATGTGCGGAGCTGAAGGAGGTGCAGGAATGACAGGCTCGATATTTCAACACTCACGCTCAGCCCGTGCCAAAGTTTTCTCCCGGCCAACTCGTTTGGCTCCTCCGGTGCAACATCAAGACGATGCAACTGAGCGACAAGCTTGACCATCGCAAGCTCGGTCCGTACCCTGTCATCTCCGCCGTCACCGATTCCGACTCCTACTTACTCAAACTCCCATCTTATCTTTCCCGTCTTCACCTCGTTTTTCATGCCTCGCTTCTTGAACCTTATTCTGACCCTTCCGAATTCCATCCCCATGCCTCTCCCGAGCCCTTCAATCTTGACGATGCCGCCAATGCTATTCAAGCTGTCCTCGATTGCCGCAAACTCGGCCAACGGTACGAGTACCTCGTACACTGGAACCATTTGTCGCACGATGAAGACTCGTGGATTCCACTCTCCGACATTCCCACCACCCAGAATGAGCTTTTCGAGCGTTTCCATTGCCGCCACCCACGTTGTCCTCACCCACACCGCTTTATTATTGATCGCGTCATGCCGGTTCCTTCGTTTACAGATATTTCTACTTCTCTACAGAAACCTTCCGTGCCCTCCTTGTCCCCAGCTGAAGAACATGCTGAAGAACATGCCTCCGTGCCCGCTGTCACTCCTCCCACGCCTCATCCTGCTGATGAACCCGCTGCCCATGCTCCTCCCGTGCCCGTCCCCCGCGCTCCTGCCATACCCGCTGCTGCCCCGCGACCTTCGTCGCCCCCGCCGGTGCGTCAAAATCTGCGCCACATCTACGAGCCGCCGTCGCAAACAACGACACACTCTGGTCGCGTTTCCCGACCCGCGCAGTGTTATGATCGCTGAACCTCGCGTGCCGCTCGCCCTTAGGAAGGAGGTGATGTAATGGCGACACCGTTACATGTCCAAATATGGCCATTCCTCGATGACGCACGGCCTGTTTCTTACTTCCTTTATTTAGTGCACTAGCTACCTCGTATGTACAGTCCGTCCTACCTACGATCGCGCACGGACACTCTTAGTCAGCGTAGGTTATAGCTCGAGTCCGACCTCATTTGTGTCTTGTCGAATCAACGCACGAGCGTCCACTCTCACTGTTCGCGATTCCTCCGTCTGACCTTCTGAAGTATCTCCGAGCGTAACAGCTCGTCTTTGCTTACTTCTGTGACTTCCGTTGGCGCGGCCGTTACAGTCGATGACATCATCTTCCTCATGCACAGCAAGCATCACCAGATTCTCGCACAGTTCCTCATTGCCAAACATTTCTGAATCTGAGATCTCCTCAATGTCTGTATCAGCTGCCTCCTCCATCACTGTCAGCATCAACGATAACTCTTAGACTGTCCAATGCAAGTCCAGGTTCCCATGCGGCATCCTCAATGTCATGGTCAAGTGTGTATGGTCTTGTTGGGCTTGGAGCACGTGCTCAGTTGTCTTCTTCGGCTTCTCCCTCAGATGCTGAACTGTGATGTCGAGAAACTGATGATCCTTGGTTCTTGAATCCGGAAGTGTTGCGAGACTGCTTCCGTGATCACCCACGGGTCATTGGAGGATAGAGGACTAGAAGAGTCCTCGCCTTTTTCCCATTTTTTCCGGGTCAACCAGATTTGTTTAGTATATATATTTCTGTTCGATCATGTTCTACTCATCACAAGGAGTCGTTTTCCACTCTAATCGACACGTACCTTGGTCAGGACTCGGGGATGCTGCACGCTCGCAATGAAAAGCAGGATAGCCGAAAACGGCCGCCTCCCACATGGGAGGCGACCCAAATATCATACATTGCGCCTCAAGATGTCGTGTAGGGCGCTCGAGAGCTTTCATCGGTGCGATCGTGTGTACAACTACAGTAAAAATACAACGAGGAGCACAAAAGGAACTATTGTTACAGAGAGAGGAAGAGCGCGTGTAGAGAAGATACCAATGGGTGGGAGAGAGACAGGGTGGGAAGCTCAAAAAATGGCACTTCGCGATGTTCCTGGCAAGGCGAAGGTGTTAGTAATGGCAAGGCGTGCGCTGCACGGAAAGACAGACCTAGCAAGGTGGAGGTGCGAGAAGGGTCAAGGAGGGAGAGCACCCCTGAAGCACACCTCCACCTAGTAAGCGGGGGGGTCCGACCCGGGAAACACCTTCCGCCTCGACAGAGGCAGTGCTCCCGAGACCCCCACCAGTCTGTGGAGCTTGTCTGCTGGATGTGACTTGCGCTGCGAGTGTCATGAGCCATCCAGATGCTGCCTGGGTTTCGAGTCAAGCTGATGACTGCCGCGTCAATTAGACTTGTTAAAACCTTCCTCTAAACTCGACTAATCGACACGTACCTTGGTCAGGACTCGGGGATGCTGCGCGCTCACAATGAAAAGCAGGATAGCCGAAAACGGCCGCCTCCCACATGGGAGGCGACCCAAATATCATACATTGCGCCTCAAGATGTCGTGTAGGGCACTCGAGAGCTTTCATCAGTGCAATCGTGTATGGCGTCCGGTAAAGATGACGTATTGGAGTTGGAGGAGGGGTGGGTTGGTGGTGTGTTGAAGGGGGAAAGTCATACACGAGCGAATGTGGGAGTGTGAGAGGAGAGAATTCGGCCATGCAGGAGAGCTTGTAAGACAACAGGATTCTTACGAATGTATATCTTGAAGGCCTCTGAGGACCAGCGGCCTAGAGCTTGAATCCTGTCGTCTGGCCAGCCTGCTGCTGCGAAGAAAGTGGCATCACCTGCGCGAAGGGAATGTCCGGCGATGTTGTCATGAAGGTAGGTGCGTAGGTGGGAGATAAACCAGGAGCGCATAGGTACGGTGCCGTCGGAGGCTATAAAGAGCGCGGGGTGATATGGGAAAAGCTGATCGCGGGAGGTAAGATAGGATGCGAAAGGTTGCACCGGGTCTATGTCATCGTTTTGGGTGGCAAAGATGATAGTGCTGCCTTGGAAGAGGCAGTCAGCTTTATGGGACAGTAAGATGTAGGTGCAGGAGGAGCTCGTTAGCAGGACAGATGAGCGTCGAATGAGTTTGCGGCTGCTGTGAAGGCGAGGGTTGTCAGGATATGTAAGTTCACCTAGACGGTGAAGGGCGAAGAAGCCGCAGAGAAGAATTGCCCTGAAAAGGAGATTATTGTGGGAATTGGGCAGGAAGACCTGTAGGAGCAACTGCAAGTCCTCGATCTCGAGAGGGCATTTTCGGTTAGGTGGGGAATTAAACATCCTTTTACAACCTGCGAGAGTGCGTGCGACAAGATGGCCGCGGTGAACCGCACGGATGTTGGGGAAAAGATGCTCGAGTTGGTTGCAAATACTGGAAAGATAAGAATCGACCAAATCGGGCTTGATGTGGTGGCACATGAAGACAACATAAAAGGACAGTGTATCGGGAGTTGGGTCAATGAGGAAGCCATGTATTTTGCAAAAAGTCAAGTAGGATTGCAGGTGAGAAGTGTAAGTGAGCTGGGTGGAGTGGTCAATGGCGTGACCGAGAGCGATTGCTCGCTCGCGGACAAGTCGATCCAACGTCCAGGGTTCCCGGTGAGGTTGCCTGGACGATGCAGCAATGAAGATCATAATGCGGCATCCCCCAGCGTGATTCGTGAGGATATGAAGGTGTGGAGGCGAAGCTGAGGAACATGCTGTAAAGCAACATGGATAAGATGGCGTGACAACGCATCCGCCACTAGGTTGTCAGTTCCAGCAATGTGCCAGACACGAAGGTCGACATCACTTGCAATAAGGAGACTGCAGGCAAAAAGTAAAAGGTCTTCGAAGCCTTCGCTCGCTCGGAGCGAATTGAAAATTTGGACAATATTGAGATTGTCGGTAAATATAGCAATGCGAGAGTATCGGGAAGGGAGAGAGATAGCCCATTGTAAGGCAGATAGGACTGCGAGGGCTTCGTACCAGAAAATGATATCTTCACCTTGTCGAGTAGGTGTCAGAACATCTGCGATGAATCCTTTATTGAGCCGGGGGCACCAGAAGGCAATTCCAGTCAAGCAAGCATCACAAAAAATTGTGAGTTCAGCATCAGCGGGGCCCCAGGCTGTGGCTCGCAGCATGAAGATGCCGACATGACGATCAAGCATGTCAGCAACCCAAAGTAGATCTTGCTTGACTCGGGCATTGAGGAACACTGGTGCATGCGGTAGCGAGGCCTCGGATCTTCGTGTAGGCCGCCTGCAAAGCTGGGCATAGGAGAGGTTGAACATTGAGTCCCCAATTGATCCAACCAAGAAGACGTTGCCAGTCACGGAGAGGATGTCGACGTCGAGGGGCATTGGTCACAAAATCACGAATATGCGTAACCAGGGCTGTGCAGGATTCTTGCAGCAGAGTAATGGTCATGTTTTGCGTGTCGACATGAAAGCCGATAATTGTGAGCGCGTGACCGTGAACTTGCTTCGAGTCCTCATGTGGGATTTGTAACTCGTCCCAAAGACGAAGGAGCATCACTTGCTGGTGAGGCATGTAGCGATGATAAGGTTCATAGAGAACAAGATGGGCCAGGAGGTCAAAAGCGAAATTATCATCCATGTAGGCTTGGAGGGCCTCAATCGAGTATATGTGAATAGCAATCCAGACGACAAGGCTCATAAATGAGCACCATATGTCCGGAGATCTGCGACTACCAAAACACATGCATCGATCAATGCGTCGTAAGCCGTTCACAGAGACAACTTGCTTCAATTGCCACAAAGGGTGCATGGGGATTAAACGATACACGTTCTTCACGTCGGATTTGAAGAGCCAGATTGGAATGTTACCGTGAAGCTTACGCACTCGCAGCAAATTGCAACCGAGGTCTTGGACATTGTCCGGTCGCATCCCAACGTTAGCCTTATCAATCATAGCATTGAGCGAAAATGGACCCGCTGAATGGTCATTGATAAAACGGAGCTTAGAGGAGTGTGGCTTAGGGACCGCATGAACAGGCATAGAGTACATCCCCGGAAGGAGATCTGGTCCGAATGGATGAGAGTATCGTTGGAGGCCTTCTTCTTCTTCAGCATATTGGGAAATAAATGTTGATGCCTCCTCAGTCAGGGGAATGCTCCCGCCATCCCACGTGTCAGGAAATTCCAAATGATCAGTCTCAGCAAATGGCCAGAAGCCTTCTCTCAAGCCACGAAGGACAGAGTCAACAAGCGGGCGATTTGGATGGGAGGATAGCAGGGCTTCAAAGCAGTCAACAGCGATGGGTGTGACCACTTGAAAGAGATCTGAATTATCGGTAATGGTACGCAGGGAGACTGGATTATTCAATTCATTTTGAGGAGGTCCGGGGATCGGTCTGAGATGCTCCGAGAGAGATGCGAGAGGAGTGGTATATTGGTCACAATGCTCCCAGAGGAAGCCACGGGAAAAGCGTGGGTACCTATTTTCGTTTGTCCGCAGAGGAACCACCTTTCTGGGGGCAGATGCAGGCGGCGTGATCTCGGGCACGGCAGACTGAGCAGATGTGTCTGTATTTACATCCGCGATGATCGCAATTTCCGGAGTTCCACTTTCTGCAGATCTCTGCAGTTCGAGAGAAGGCTCCTCCTGAGGTCCCTTGCGGCTGAGAAGAGGATCCACCTCCACCTGCGACGATATGCATGGTGTAGAGATGGTTAAAGCTGGAGAGGTCCGTGAGAAGGAGTCGGTTGCTTCTCCCGACGGCACTTCGGACAGCTCGGTCATAGTTGAGAACCCGGGAGGCCTGCACATCAGACATGGCGATGAATGACTCATTAATGTGGTCGGCATAACCTTGGAGCTCGCAGAGCCGATGTGGGAAAATGAAGGAGACAGCTTGCTGGTACTTAACCCAGGCATTGGTCCAGTCTCCGTGCCGAGAAATGTGCCAGCTGGGTTTGACCGGGGTGCCGGCTGTGACCTCAAGGTCCCCGAGTTTGATAGATTGCTTGAGATCTCCATCGATGGTGTAGAAGGCAGTGAAGATCTTGTCAAGGTCGACATATCGGTTGCTAAGGATGTCATTCCATACCGATTCTGGGACATTAGGGCAGTCGGGATGACAGACAACTCGCTATCGAGAGAGGGCGAGGTCTCGGGTGTAGTTCTCCTTGAGTTTGAGTGTAAGTTGGAGCTCAGGGGAGAGGAAAGATGGTCCAAGAGACTTGGAGAAGGGGAAGAGAGATTCATTGACTTTCTTTCCTCACTCTGAGTCTGAGTCATCAGAGGCATCTCTCTTGCGCTTGTCTCCAACTGCGGAGGAGGGCTCGAGAGCCTCTGAAGAAGCGAGGATCTGAGCAGAATTCTCCGATGGGCCTGGTGCCTGAATGGCGCCTCTGTCTCCAGCTTCTCGTTGGGCAGATTCGATCTCGTCGAGCTCAGCAAGATAGACGGCATAAGCTGACCGTTTCGCTGCCTCTTCTTCAGGGGCGGTGTCATGGTAGCTAATGGCCTCGAGGAGCTGGATGGATGCCTCTGCTTTAGATATTTTTGACTTCCGAAATTCCTCCATGGCTGCTTCACATGCGATAACACCTTCTTGTTCAAATTGGTGCCCAGTGAGTTGTCGGGATGTATCGGATGACTGGGTGTGGGAGCCATCGTTCGGAGATGACATAAGGGCGCTTAATGATTCGAAAGATGTGAACAAAGAGAAGTATGAAGCTCGAAAAATGGCACTTCGCGATGTTCCTAGCAAGGTGGGGGTGCGAGAAGGGTCAAGGAGGGAGAGCACCCCTGAAGCACACCTCCACCTAGTAAGCGGGGGGGTCCGACCCGGGAAACACCTTCCGCCTCGACAGAGGCAGCGCTCCCGAGACCCCCGCCAGTCTGTGGAGCTTGTCCGCTGGACGTGACTCGCGCTGCGAGTGTCATGAGCCATCCAGACGCTGCCTGGGTTTCGAGTCAAGCCGATGACCACCGCGTCAATTAGACTTGTTAAAACCTTCCTCTAAACTCGATTTTCCGCATTTTTATCTATTTTTAAGAGGGTTGGCCAAAATTTGAAGACCAAACAGGGTAAAAGTAAGAATTAGAGAAATCGGCTCGTGTCAGTCAAATTCTAAGGTCAAAAACTGTATATTCCCGCAATTCTTTCAGGTTTCCAGTAATTTGCGGTCACTCAATAATTCGACCAAAATATTTACCGCATTTGATTGTCCGCAACTGTACAGGGAGATCTGAAGCAGCAACGAAGGCGTGATGGCGAAAGTCAACCAAACCGAGAGAAGCCGCGTCGTAACCCTAAGCCGGGGTTACATGCTGCTGTGTAAAGTATTGTTGAAACTCGGAGGGATTAAGCTTTATTCCACCGGGACTCAGCGAGGAGTGCGTTCAGCGAGATATCTGGGGGGCCGAGTGAGTAAACGAGATAAAAGCGAAGAGGATACGCACGCTTCGCCAGACCACAAGGTGAGCAGTGCAACGGAGATGCTGGCTACGGTGCGCCTATCCCAGTGAGGTCTATCCCAGTTCGCGTAGGCGAAATAGCCGAGAGTGCCAAGGACAGCGGTGTTCACTGAAAGGAGGGCGTCAGGACAAAGTAAGGGAGATCGATAAGGCATACTGACAGACACCGAGGAGACCGCCAAGGACGGCAGGTCTGAGGAAGTGTTCGTGGGCAGAGCGATAAAGGGCAGCGCCTTCGAGCTTGGCCGTTCGCTCTTCCTCTTGTCCTGCGGGAGTCTTGCGGTACTGCTCGGCAGCGTAGGATTGGGCGGCACCGAGAGAGAGGGCAGCGGCGACGGTGGAGGCGATGAGCTTGGTGTCGGTGCGGAAGCGAGGGTTGGAGTAGTAGAGATAACCGGCCCCGGAAATGAGGCCGACGTTGACTAGGGGAAGGTGAGAAATAGTACAAGTGAAGATGAAAGGAGAATTACTCAAGCCGAGTGAGCCACCTGCGACGGCGGGATGGAAGAGGTAGTGCTTTGTGAGTTGCCATAGGTCGTCGTGGGAGTCACGGACGTCATTGGTGGGACGGGGGGATGGCGGGCCTTGGACGGTCTGAGGGCGGGGAGCGTCGAGGGAGGTGAGAGTTTGTGGATGAGACGTAAAGTCTGGGGCGACGAGGTTCACTTTGGCGGCATCGTCTGCGATGTTGTCTGCGGAGGGAGCGGTTGTGTTGAGGAGAGCGGGATCGGGATGGGGCTGGGGAGGGGATGTCGGGGAGCGGGCACAGGCGAGGAGGGAGAAGGGGACATACCTGAGCGGAAGGCGGGGGAGCATTCTGAGCGGCGACGGAGGCGTAGGACATATTGGCGGGGCGAGGAAGGACGAGTGCGCGACGGAGCGTATGTATACCCCACGAGCGATGACATCATCCGATAGCTACGGTACTATATACGTCATAGGACGAGGAACGGAGGCAGCCGGTCGCTGTCCTCGGCGACGAGCGCGTGAGCGCCGGTGTAGGACGCGCGCCCCTCGACCTCGACCCGCACCGCGGCCCACTCCCGGCCGCTGCGCCCCACGAGCGCCGTGGACTCTACCGCCCGGCCGAGGAAGACGCTCGCGGGGTCCGCGGCGCTCACCGGGGAGTGGAACGGGCGGCGCTCCCCGACGGCGACGGACCCGCGGGCGACGGCGACGGCGAGGCGAGCGCAGACGCCGGAGCCGCAGGGGGAGCGGTCGATCTGGCCGTCGGCGAAGACGCACACGGCGAGCTCCCCGTCGACGACGATGATCCCGTACACGTACTCGAGCTCCGCGTGCTGCGGGTGCTCGACCAGTGCGCTCGCGTCCCAGCTGCCCAGCGCGGCCTTGAGCGCGGCGCACTCGGCCTGGAGCGTCGCGCACTCGCGGAGTCGGCCGTGCAGTCCAAGCTCGTTCGCGTCGACGATCGCGTAGAACGCGCCTCCGTACCCGACGTCCACCCGCGCCGTCCTCCCACCCAGCGTCCTCACCGCCACCCCCAGCCCGCCCACGAAACTGGCCACGCTCGTGAAGCGGACCCTCTTCCCCTCGTCGCTCCGTCTCCGCCCTCCTTCCTCCACCGTCGGCACCGTGACCTCCACCACCCCGCATGGCGCGTGCACTCGCACCACCGTCTCCTTCTTCCCCTCCTCGTACCTCACCTGCCCCCGCCGCGGGAACACTCCCCTGTCCTGCGTGTCCACCAGGAACCGTCCCAGCGCAATCGTCGCGTGCCCGCACATCGTCGAGTATCCCTCTGTCTCCCTATCGTCAGTCTCTCTCTTTCCCCTACCCCGACTCTCTCACCGTTGTGACAGAACAGCACCCCAATGTCCGCCTCCCCGCTCTCCGTAAGCTCCGTCTCCTTCACCAGTATCGCTCCGTACATCCCCGCGTGTCCCCGCGGCTCAAACATCAATCTGCTACCCATATCAGCTTCGTCCATCGTCTTATTCCCCACTCACCGTCGTCGGATAAAGTCCAGCTTTTCCCTCGCATACGCCCTCTTCTCCAGCAGCGTCTTCCCCATCAGCTCTGGATACCCCTCCACCACAATTCGCGTCGGCTGTCATCCAGTCAGTATCCCCGATATCTCCTGGCTTTTGGCTCACCTCTCCAGACGTGTGCATGTCCACGGTTCGTATCACATCCATCCTCCCTCGTCTGCCCGTCTCCAGTTCTCTGTAGACGTCCATCGCAGTCACGAAGTCAACCCTGCGCTCCTTATCACTCCCTCTGCACACGTTTATCCGATTACGACCTCGATTTGTATACGCTACAGAACGGAATGCATAACTACATACTGGTATACGCGATTCTCACAACAACAAAAATAAAACTAGATAGCGAAACGAGCGTGACCCCCTCAGAACACATCCAATGAGTGTGGACAGTTCGCAGCAACGTGCCCTCTTCCCTCGCAGTCCTCGCATACCAGCTCCGACTCCTCTCCCCCGCTCGAGCTCCCTCCCCCCATCCGCCCCCCCTCCCCCTTCAGCAGGTCACACGTGAATATATCGTGCCCCGGCCGCTCGCAGATCTCGCACACTTCCGTCGATGATGCCCCCACCTCTGGCTTCGACGCCCCGTCTTCGCGCAGCTCCGTCTTCGACGTCTTCTTCTGGCTCCGCGCTAGTTTCTCCTTCAGCCGCTCCAGCTCCCGCTCCAGTTCGTCCTGTGCGCGCATCCATTAGTCCACTTCCATCGACACTCTCACCACACTAACCTCGCGGTAGATCTGCAACCGTCCGCCGTCAGCACATGTCAATCGTCGCGCCCGCCGCCCAACACGCACCTTGGATTCGATCAGCGTTTCCAGCTCGCCGATCTCCTTGTTGAGCTGCCAATCATCTCGGTCAACAGCCGCATATATGCATCATCCACATCACCCACATCGTGGATCGTACGTGCAGTCTTCATCTCTGCATCCATTTGTTTCTTGCGCAGTTGCTCGAGATCAGTCTATCTCAGACCCCATAAGCGATCTACCTGCGGTCCATTCGTCCGTAGAACACGCACCTCGTACTTCACCTTGACCTCCTTGAGACTCTTCTGCAACGCAACCGCATCGCCCGATGCAGATACAGAGGAACTGTCCTCCCCAGACAGCAGCGCCTGTTCTTCTCGCAGGATGCTCTGCTCCACGTTTTCTTCCAGCGCCTTGAGATCCTGTCCAGAATCCGTCACTCGCCAGAAAATCCCCCGCAGGATGCTCCCACATACCTCCCGGAGCTGTTCCGTCTCCGACAACAGCAGCCTGTTCTCCGATTCCAGCACCTTGTTTCGTTGACCCGCCGCAGAATTCTCCTTCTGTAATTCCTGGACGATGTGCCTAACGGAAATGTCAAACCTGCTTCCGCGTTTATAAACTGAATCGCACACTTCAATCCGGTGATTTCGTCTCGCGCCGCAGCTATGTCATACTTGAACGGTGAGCCGGGCATCCCTTTTCCGGCGTCGAGCCCATTCACAGGCAGCTCACGATTGAACTTCTTGCGAATCGTCTCCAGTTCAGCGCTGCGCTCCTCGACCAGGAGACGCAGGTCTGCGACAACATCACGTTCGGTCGCGAGCTCGGCCTCCCGATCATCGCAGAGCTGCTGCAACTAGACTTGCATTGCATCAGCGATTGCACTCCTCATATGCATCACCGCTTACCGTCGCCTTCTCAGACTTGAGAGCGTTGACGGCTTCGGCAAGATCGTGGACTGCGCCGCCTGTCCTTGCGAGGCTGCTGGATCCATCGCCCGGTTGAGCTGCCAGCTGTTGTTTCAGCTGCACAATCTCATCCATCAGGCGACCACGCTCGCTCGCCGTTCGCTGCGCCACTTCCGCTAGCCGTTCGGACGAGCCGCTCGATCCGCCGCTCATATTGGCTGCCTCCAAGACCTGCACGCACCGGTGAATACTTGCATGCATCAACGCGACGAGAGTGACTTGCCACAATTTCACTCCTCAAACCCTCGATCTCTGCCCTCGCATTCTCCAAAGCCACCGTGTTCTCCCGCAACGCCTCCACCATCTCTTCGACCCGCTGACGAGCACCTTCCTCGGACTTGAGTAGCCGTTCGACCTCATCCCTCCGTCCCTGCAACTCCTCCCTCATGCCGTCCTCCCTCTCCTTATATCGCGTCATCCGCTCGCGTACAGCAACATCTTCTCTTTCCAAGGCCAGGTGAGCGTCTTCGAGCCGATCTTCCAATGTGAGGATCTTCTTCTGCAAATGCTGCACTTGATCGCGGAGGGCTTCATTATCGATTTCCACAGCAGAACTGGTATGGTGTGCTATTGCGCTCGGTGACGGTGAAACAGTCGACTTCCTCAGTTGATCCTGAAGTGACGTTATTTCATCTTCCAGATCGAATCGCTTGCTCTCGGAAGTGCTGAGTCGCTCTTCATACAGTGCGATCGTTTCCTATTCCAACCACGTCAGACAGATCCGGCTGCACCAGGCGATAGACTGAAGTACCTGACCCGCCTTCCGCAACTCGTCAACCTGCCCTCCCAGCTCCCTCCGCTCGTCCTCGAGCTCCAAATACGCCTTCTCCACACGGGCCCCCAGTAATGCGATCTCCGCGTCTTTGGCACGTAGCACAGCATCGTTCTCCGTTTCGCGCCCCTCCTTAAATTCAATCGATTCCTTGAGATGATTGACAAGCGCTTCCTTGTCATCCAACTTCGATTGGACATCCCTGAGACGAGCTTCAGCCTCACTTTTGATCTTGTCGATGTCCATTGCAGTTTGCTGGGCTGCCCTCTCCAAGGCTTCAATCGCACTGTCCCGCTCACCCAGGAGGCGTTCATTGGTCCTGACCGAGGCCTCCAACTCTATTATGCGAGCGGAATCCTGCTTGTGGTCAGAAAGCAGTTTCTGCATACGCTCGGCTGCTTCTTGTGCCTCTCGTTCGTGAACGCTCGTGGCGGTCCGCAGACGTTGATTATGCCCTTCCAACGTTTCCAGCTGTGTCTGCATTCGCTCGATCTGAGTTTGAAACTCTACGGCAGCGCTAGAGGTGACCGATGCGGAGGACTCTGGACGAGATACAGGACCGGACGGCTTTCCCGATATCAATTCTGCAATTTTGTCTTGCAGCGCTTTCCCGTTGAGTTCCAGATCCGTCAACGATCCGTTTCCGCGCTCCTTGAACGGAGGGTCATCCAGCGAGATGCTGCGGCTTGAGATCAGCGAACCAGAAGGAGAAGCTGGGGGTGGCATTGCGATGGAGCTCGGAACTCGTGCTCTGGGTGTGCTAAGTATTGCTCGACTTTTAGTAGGAGTTGTCGACGGAATGCCCATCCCAACGTTAGATGTACGTCCACTGGAAATAGCTTTGGGGGTATTAAAAGGTGAGGATAAACCTCTAGTCGGTGAGGACAAATGTCCAGGTCCTGCGGATGAAAGGCCGGTGAAACGGGTGGGGCTGTTAGCACCAGATGATTTTTGAGGAGGACTCCTCGTTCCTGCACCGCGAGAACTCAGTTGTTTGGCAGTCATCCCAACATACCTAGATGCACGGGAGCCTGGCGTGATAGAATTCTGCAGTGGTGCCCCACGCATCGGAGTGATCGGGTTCCCCGACGAATCTGGACCAGCAGAGCGGATACGCGACGGTGGGACTATGCCTGGCGTCCTACGTCCGCCCTGTGCAGACGGTGTCACTCGCCCGTTACTCGTGCATGGTGTAACGCGACCATTGGACATGGATATGGACGGGGTCTTACGACCACTCTGCATGCCTGCAGAGGTAGATGGTGTCATTCTTCCGGAAAGTGAGGGGGTCAGTCGTCCACTGCGTGTGGAAGCGACGGAAGAGGGACGAGATATTGTCCCAAAGCCAACTGTCGGGAGAGAAAGTTTCGTTGATGCGACAAAGACTCCACAACTGCGGGGACAGACGAAATACTGTTTGCTTGGAAACCAATGAGTCAGTGAATATCGATTGGCACTTCTCCGGCAAGTACTCCAGGTAAATTCGGGAGCAAGAGAAAAAAATGTGGATCAGACATTCCCGACTGTACTAAGGTAGCCGCAGGACGTTCAACAACAAAGCCACCGTTTTAACCTGCCGCAGCCCCAGTGTTGTCTTGTTCGACAGAAGATGTACCTGCTGCGCGGTATGGCATTCACCATGAGAGGAGACGGTTCCAATGTCGCGTTACAGATAAACGCATTCCACGGGGAAGACTTACCCGTTAACGGTGCCATTGTTCTTGCCTTTGTAGGCGAATCCTCCGCTCAGTTCAACTCCGGCCCAAAGACCAGGCTTCCCATCAATCTCACCCAAGTACCTCAACGTACCTTCGAAACCCAGGGATTCAATCCTGACATTGTCACCGACTTCGAAGCTCCTCCCTGCTCGGCCGGAGCTTTGGGCGAAGACATCAGACTGACGGCTGGGTGGACGGGCAGATCGTGGATTGGTAGCAGGAGTGCGAGAGGGACCAGAACTGACGGCGGACGACGAGGAAGCGACAGAGGATGGGCGACCAGTAACAGATCGACGACCAGAATGAGACGGATGGGCTGAGGAGGGAGAGAGGGAAGGGACGGAGACATCGCTGGTGCGGGAATAGCGATGTTGAGCGGGATCGTTAGCCCTGATGGCATCAGCGAATGCTTTGGATATGTATTCTTCGTCATGAGATTGTGTCTGAAACTGAGCTGAAGTGGATGCAGAACGAGGTCTGCCGGGGGTCGGAATGTTGGTCGACTTGCTTGGAGTGGGTATGCCTGAGACGCGAGCTTTGGAAGAAGTGGGAGTGAGCATTATGGAACATACACAAGCGTAAGGAAAGGAGTGTCGCAGAGAGTGGTTTTTGGTAGAGACGAAGTTGAGCCTAACGCTGAACGGGCTGAGGTTGACCTCTCAGGAACAATTGCAGTGTCTGGGGTCTTTCATCGGGCGCACTGATCGGGGTCCGTCGCGCGCAGACTGCTCGCTGTTCGCCGCAGCCTCAAGCTGCTCGCCGTTCGTCGCAGGGTGCTCATCGTTCGCTCCTGTGATGCCTCGCATTCCGCTCCAGCTCTTTCGCGTCCTCGCACGTCCCCCGACGTTGCATCCCGTTCCTCGCGTCGCGTCCCTGATCTCCATCCTCTCCAGTCGCCCGCTACTCCCTCAGCCCACCCCCTCCGTCCTCCTCGCGTGCGCATTCCGCAATCCAGTGTCTCTGTCCTTGCCTTCTGCTATCATCCAGCAGGCGCGCCATAAATCACGGGGAACAGAGTATCAACCCTCTCAACGGAAGAGAAAGCGCAAGCATGGCTTCCTCGCGAGGAAGAGGAGCGTAAATGGGCAGAAGATCCTCCAAAGACGAAGGGTCAAGGGGAGACGCTTTTTGACCCATTAGCTCTCACACTTCCATGGACAGTGCGTCAGTTATACCTCATCTCTGATGGTCTCTGACTTCTTCTAAGTCACTACTTGATGACGAACATTAGAGCATTAAACCATTGAAATATTCCTCTACGTTCATACACAGTACTCTCCCGCACGCCCTCCTAGCACCTTTTCTTGTTCGGCCTATCCAATCTGTTGTCTCATATGCAAGTCGTTTGGAACGCGCCTGCTCTGATGTGATCTTTTGTCATCGGTGTCCAAGTCGTCGAACGCTCCGGTGGAATACTCGCAGGACATTCGTCCCACGTTCAAACGCGCCGTGCTGCCTACTGCCCCGTCCCATTGTGCGTCGCTCTCGGTGAGGATAAACGACGAGCAATGTTCGAGACGCATTACTGGTGGTGACAGAGGTGCGCCTGGTGTGAACAAAAAGCCTTGCTCAATGGAAGCGACTAGAGCAGAAATGGGGGTTTGCTCAGCATTGCTGAGCACGTCGTTGGCATTGGGTTGGCGCTGCGGGGTGATAGTCTCTTCCACAAAGAGGATTGGTGTTGGTGTTTTCTCCACGATGGTCGCCCGTGTAGGAGTTCGCTCTGCAAAGGGACGCAGCGTCGGAGACGGTGGCAAGGGGACGGATGTTGGATTTTTAGCCTCTATTGGGCTTGGCGGAAGGGGCGTTTCCTCAGGCAACGTCTGCAGCCCTACAACACGTTCAGATGGCAGTTTATTCTGAACCATCTTGTTGGAGATCTCAGGGCTGACCCTCGAAGCTGCGTTTACCTTCACAGAGGCAGCGGCACGGCCCCACACAGGCTTTGCACCCTTCGGTCCCTTCCGCACAGTTGATGCTTTAGAGAGACTCGGTGCTAGTCTACCGCCTCGTCCCTTTGGTAGATGTTCGTCCTCTGTCGTCGTCCCGGAAAGGGGCAAGGCGATGGCCTTTGCTGCACTTGCTTGGGCTATAGGTACAGGTTTTCCATTATCCTTGACATTAATGCGCTTGAGCGGAGCAACACTGTCCTGTGTAGAGGTAGTTCCGATCGAGGCGTTTAAGTCAATCGAAGTCGGTAGTGATGGTGCATGCGAAGACGTTTCGCCTGCCACAACGTCTTTGTGCTTGGGCCCGAATGTACCACTCTGGGCACAATCTGTCGCGTGTGTGAGCAACACACGTCTGGCACCGCCAACTACTCGCCCGGATTTATCGAGAGTATCGTGTGTCAAAGGCGTCTTGCATGCATCATCCGACAGCGGGCGTAATGGTCCACTCTTTCCGCCGTAGTTTTCGGGCGGTCGAGTGGCTGTCGTACGCGGCTCTGCTTCCGGTCGACCAGACTCAGGATGGGAATTAGAGCCAGAGGTAGACTGACTGTGAGATGCAGACGCCATCGTCGTCATTGGGCCTGGGCGGGAAGGGCCTCTTCGCATAGCACTCATGTCCTGTCCCGACGATTTGCCAGGTTCACCAGTTGACACCGTTTGTGTGTCACGGGTCCGAATAGGAACATTGTTCGGTGGTGCCATATCCGTCACAGCAGTCCGTCCTGGCTTCTGCACCGGCATGCCGCCGCTACGTTTCGCACCAACTTGGATAGCAACACCGTCAAGAGGTGCAGTAGGATTCCGTTTCGCTGTCCGCGTGCTGGGACCTCCTTGTGCCGACGATTCAGACGAAGAAAACGCGCGGTCACGGGTCCTCGATCGTATAACGTTCTGCGCCGTAGAGGACGAGTGATGCAGCGCAGACGTAGAAGACGAGAGCATTCTCGTTCGCGAAGGTCCATGGCCAGAATATGATGATTGCGCAGATGCAGTGCGACTGGGCTGTTTGGCTTGGGATGGGGGTTTCAGTTTGATATCGAGATACTTTCTGATAGTGGGAGTTAGAGGCTCTGTGAATCTGTATGCACATAAGCTTTGGAAGAAGGAAAGCAAATAAAAGCCACTCACTGATCCACCCGCCTTGGAAAGAGAACTTTATATGCGTCAAATATCTTGCGAGAGATTTTACGCACGTCGGCACTAGCATCTGTCGCGGTGACTTTGATGATAGATTCCAACTGAACGATACGAGGCTCTTTATCCAGGACTGTCGGTTGGAAGCTCCTCAGGCAAATGAGAACGCTTTCTGCCGCAGTTTGACGCAAAGATATTGATTTGTCCTTGACAGACTCGGTAAGGTAAGATAGAATTGATACTGAGTGGGTTTGCTCGATAATGGCAGTGATGCAGACTCGCGCCCTGCTGACGAAGACCTTGTTTGTTCGCGTACAAAGAGTCAGAAGTGTCGGCAAGAAAAGAGGAAGTAATGGCTCGAAGGAGCCCTTCAACACCTCAGCGACGGTGCCGATTAAGTCAACCGCTATGCCAGACAAACGTGTCCTTTCAGAGTTGATCGCAGAATTGAGGGGTCGTGAGAGAGACCGAAGCATGCCCGTAAGTTCATGAGGAAATTCTGAGGAATTATCCTTCAACAGAGCGGTAAAACGCATAATGGCTCTTCCTATGTCATCCCAAGTCTCCTCAGTTTCGGGAAGAGATATGATGTCTCGCACGGCGTCCAGTTCTTGCTGGAAGAGAGACAAGGATTCCTACAACCGTATCAGCACTGGTTCCACGAAGGACAGCAAGCATTGGTCATCACCTTTATTAGTGTCGGAAGCGGTTTGGAGACCATGGCATAGCAGGATGAGAGACCGTAGTAGGAGATTAGCAAGCACTGAATGCCACTGAAGCGGCGCCGAAATGAGAACATGAACCGGCCCGTAATCATCACGTGATCGCGTTCTGCGGGTGTTTGACCATGTGTGCCGCATATGTCTTATATATTGTGACCGTCCTCCCATCAAGGTCACTATTGGTTTGCCTTCGGGAGACTAGCTATGTCTTGTATCCCCCTTGTGTAGTAAACTTGTAGATTATGTGGTTATACAAGCTATTACAATGACTATGTTTACGAGCAACTTACTTACTTGAGTACTGTGGGAGGAAACAAGCGAGAGTGCGCAGGGGCTGAAAGCGAGTCCTGCGGACAAAGTCAAAGGAAATTCGCAGGAAATCAAACAAATCCTGCGGATTTTCTTCAAATTTGCTTCAGAGGGAATTTGACGGATATTCCCAGGAAAGTTTGACTTTCCTTCGATTTTCCTACCAGCGGATTTCGTTCAAAGCGCGGCACGTGAGAAACGAACTTCTATATACATCTCTATAACGTTTACCGTTTACGTACTGTTATAAGTCTGGTGCTCCTCCAAGGTTAGTCCCAAAGTATCCTCCGCGCGTATTCGCGGATATTAGAGACGAAAGAATCATTAAGTTCGCTCCCAACTCCAGTTGCGACTTTAACGATGATTTCATTCAATGCAGTGGAGCCAAGGATATCAACGTGATCGCCTGTAGTTCCACCACCTCGAGGGATTGTCGAGACAGGGTTGTGGGGAAGCTGGAACGTTTCAGACCAATAAGATATGACATGGCGAAGGGCATTGTGGCTGGACTCACCTCAATAGTAGTAACTCGCATACCGGATGGATTCCAGCGCTTTCTCTTCCATCCTTCTACACACATGGCGCCCAGACTGAGCAGATTGACGGTCCCGTCGCCCTCGCCCACCTTAACTCCATTTACCACTTGTGGCATGGCACTCTCATCCGTGTACTCGGCGTCAATATAACTTGTACGCAGCAGGGGTAGGTCGAGTGGAGAACGCGCAGAGAAGCAGTCAGACACGTTGGAGCAGCTGGCTTGTTCCGCGTCTGGTTGAATGTCGTCGTATTCATATGGACCCCGGGTATACCTTATGAGAGCAGCATCCTCAAGTGAAAACGCCATGTCATGATACGTGAGACTAACCAGTAAGATCGCTGTTGTCTCTCAGTTGAGATAGTGCACAATCATTGCAGCCATGACCTCACCTCGGTTTCCTTTCCGTGTCCGTAGACACAGTATATCTTCGTGGACGGAGCATCAGGCAGTCTGAGTGCCGTATTTTAAGCAGATGAGCACGCTCTTTCTTCTAACGAAACGTACTGCACTTCAAGCGGATTTGACCACTTTCGATGGTCAAGGTTGTTACGTAGTAGAGCTCCCGCGTCTTTCTCGATGCCAAAAGAATAGTTCGTTGCAATCATTTTCTAGTTCAAAATAAGGTGTCTCAGGCTGCCCATTTAACAGTCGTAACTTACTTGAAAATGACTAGGAGTGTGCTCCAATACCCATGCACTTGCTGCGGCAGAGGTCATATTCGTGAGATCCTCTTCGTTGTTCGCCACCACAGATTGACGGAACGCGATGAGTTCGCCGTGACTGTAGGTGTGATTCAGGGGATCATCCGGAGCGAATGTCGCATTTCCCCAGACTGCGTCACCTCCCTTCGCCAAGGGAGTATTGTCAGATCAAGACGGAGCGAGTATAGGGACAACCCACCTTCATCCACATACTTGCGCTGCCCGCCCAGCTGCGGAACAGTTTTTGACGTTCCTTCCTCGAGAAGAATCGCTCCAGAACTGTTGCAATGAAGTATGCTTCAGTTCTAAGCGCAACTTGATAATTCGGCACTTTACCATACGCCCCGGCAGGATGAATTTGCACGGTATCCTTCATTTCTCCGGAAAGAAACGCCGACATCGACTTGACCTTGAGACTTTCAATGACCTTACTGTAAGACAGGGGACAAACAAAGCTTCTCACCACTCCCTGTCAAAACTATCATCAGCTGTTCAGATGATCCATTGACCGGAGTGCCATACCAGATGTGTACCAGCAACACTAACGAATGCTTCGATGTTATTCTGCGTGCGACAAGGATTGCATGTCATCTTAGTACAAACCCAGGCGTTACGCACCTCCACCCACTTTGGGCCACCACGCCCGTGTTGCGGGGATTCAACCCACTTCATGCTGCATATGCGATGGAGTGAACTGCATCAACCACAAGAACTAGGTGAAGAACTACGCACAAGTACTAGATGATGTGCATCAGAAAGCCTGGGGAGCGAAGTACGTGATTGACTCCATTTACCAAAACAATCTGGAGTAAAGTGAATGAGTGATTCGTACGACCTCTGACTAAAATTTCAAGACCGTACTGTACTACCCATGGAGTGTGCCACCAAAACCACTCTTTTTTTCTCTCTAGCCCTGTGAATCGCTAGTCAGATAGAATGTTCAATCCGTGCATTGAACAATGTGCGGTTCGCAACGTCGTCGTATTGCTTGGTGTAATGGAAGATGGAACACATAGGAAGCAGCGAATATCCGTTGAATCCATTTACCTGAAACCTTCTATAGTTGTCTTTAGTCTTGAGAAATAGCTATCGCGTTCCTCAAGATTATAGAAGGACAACCTCCAGTCGTAAGGAGCTAGGTGCAGGTTATTCGTGTCATAGTTAACCACTGCGAGGTTCTCCACTATTTTCGACCTAATATTATTGGCGGGTGAACTTGGAACGGCGGCGTCAGTAACAGGGGGAGGAATTGCACGCACCATAGCCAGTATCCTTGGACGAAGCTACTAGCAGCATCAATGCCTTCCGCAGCTCTAACCTTTACGTCTGCAGGATCAAGACCAGTGATAGGGTCAAGCATAATTGCAGCCATCCACTGTTCTCGGTTGAAAGTGACTTGGGACAGCATGGAGAAGCTGCCCCAGAGCTTTTGGCGGAAAAAAGACCGATACTCAGGGGAAGTAGACCAAGACTCCAGTCCCTGAAATAACATATCAATGTGAGAACCTTCCATCTGTGGAGCGACTTGTGGAATAACTTGCGGTTGAAATGATTCCAGGAATCAGAACGACGGGGTGGGTGGCGCTAAGTCCCCTCGCGGCCATTTCCTCCCCGACTGTGAACTCAAGACCGTTTCTGGTGAGCTTCCACGGCTCCGGTATATGGCTCAATAGCCTCTGCCATTCGAACTCTACACGGGTAAGATCAAACTGTGAAATGTCGAACTGGGGTAATTGAGGCATGGTGAACTCATATTCGTCGAGAAGGAGAGCAAGGTGGGTTTGGAGTTCAGTCAGGTCTGTTGGTTGGATAAGGATGAATCCGACAAGGACACCAACTAGACATAGACATAAATAGCAATGAGTAAGAGAAGCAGGAAATAGAGAGCGCAAGACACACCTAGTATGCCAAACGGGAAGAGAAATCGACGTGTGGTGAAGAAGTATCTGTCATACTGTATGCGCGACGTCGTGAGCCATGCCTCGCACGCGCAAGGGCGTGTAAATACCGTACCTGGTTCGCGGCCACAGTGTCTTTGAGGTCCTGCTTGAGCTGGTACACCTCTTTGTCCTGACGTTGAAGCTGTGGGAACTCTTCTGACGCAGAGTCAGAGTCGCCTGGTGGACTGGTGCGGTTTTTAAGTCGTCGTGAGAGAACCATGGAAGGACAGGAAGAGATGGTGCTGTAGCAGCACACCGAGAGGGTCGTTGTGCTTCCTTAGTCAGACTGCCTTACTACTTCCCGGCTCGTGTTCTCCAGACTCCCCCGCATCAGTTTTCTCTTCGTCTCGGTCTGGGGACCTCCATTACCGGGGCCTCTCAGATCTCGACATATAAAAAGGACGAGGAAGAGGACATATACGAGGCAGCGTACTTGTAAATCGAATCAGCCTTAAGCTTCATCGTGCATACTACTTGCCATGTGACCGACCTCCCATATATACTTAACCTCAGGCGGTAAATTCCTCGGACTATAAAGTACATCAGCAAAAGTCAACTTTTGCTTACCGGTGTTATACCCTTGATTAAGGAAAAATAAGGAGATCCTTTTTCTTATTCCTCCATTAGTCACCCTTATCGGCGTTAATTGCCCAATTAAGAACGGAGACCTCCTTAATTAAGGAGATAAGGGAGCTAAATGGAGGTAACCAAAAGTTGACTTTTGCTGATGTATAGTCTCACCTCGAAAAACAAACTTTATAAGATGGAAGTTGGAATCAAACCCACACTCTTTCGAACTAGATCCCGATTCTCGCGCCTTAACCGCGCAGCCATTCTGCCTGAACATGTACTATGCCCTATGTTGGAAAGTAGCGCCCAAATTTCTGGAGCTCCAGAAATTGGGGAGCGCCCAAGGGCAGACAAGCCGAGGGCATGATTAAAAAGAAAGACAAAGAAGGAAATTTGCTTATATAAAGTGGAGCGTCTAGAACTGTATATATACAGAAATCTATTTTAGGACGCGCAATCACGCGCCCCGACGCATCTTGACCCGCCATCACTACCTTCCTATTTGGGAACTAAGGCGCGATTTCTAACAGGTTATGAGCCCCGGCTCTAACCAATAAATACTTGGATAACAACAGCCCCTATTGTGGCTACAAAAATTGTTACCCCCTTACTAGTACGAGAACAAATAATGTCGACCAGTGCTGATAATACGAGCAATAGCAATGCTTACCGGATCCCGCTCCTGAAGGAAGACAATTGGCTCCCGTGGAAGCGCCGCGTCGAGGCCATCCTTAATGATAAGGGTCTCCAGGAGTATGTGACCGGAAAGACACCGAAGCCGCAGCCGAGTAATGCCTTGGCCAATAGGGCAGCGAGAGAGGCGGAGATTAGCGCCTGGGGAGAGAAGGACCTCAAGGCCCAGAACGTAATTGTGCTATCGCTGGGAGATTCCCAGATGGTGCACATCGCTGGAGCCGAGACGGCACGGGCCATGTGGGAGCAGCTTCGCACAGTCAAGGAACAGCGTGGACAGCATGGAATTCTCGCGCTGTGCCGGCGTTTTTACCGGATGCAAGCCAAGGAAGAAGATAATATCTCCAGTCACATTACACAGCTACGACAGATCCAGGAACAACTCCACCTAATGGGGAAGGTTGTTTCTGACGAGGATTTCCGGCTCATTCTGGCTACCTCATTACCGGAGAGCTGGGACTCTTTCCTCAGCTCTTACTTTGGCGCCGTGGGCGGCAATGTTGGCGCCGAAGGTGCTGACAACGTGCGCCCTCAGCTTACATCACAAGAATTGATTGCCATCATTCTTGATGAAAATAGGTGAAGGCACGAGCGTGGCGAGCGCGGTCAATCCTCGGACCAAGCCATGGTTGCCAAAGGAAAGAAGCGCCCCTTTGGGGAATACAAAAAATGTTCGATCTGCGGAAAGCCGGGACATCTTGGTAACGAGTGTCGGCACCGCGACAAGGTCAAATGTATGAATTGCGGAAAATTCGGGCATAAGGCCACGGATTGTTGGGCTAAAGGCGGTGGCAAAGCCGGACAGGGCCCGCCGATGAAACGGCAAAAGACGGAACGTGCTTATGAAGTGCGCGAGGTCGAATCGAAAGAGGATGAGGCAAAAATAGCCTACGATAATGATAGCGACACTGTATCTCTCGGATCTGATGGCGAAATTGCTTCTTTCTATGAGTGGTTTGCCGACTCCGGGACAACTTCGCACATTACAAATCATCGTGAAGTCTTCGCGACCTATCAGGCGCTCGAAGATCACGCGATCACGGGCATCGGACCGCAACCAACACAGGCATTGGGCCGCGGTACGGTCGATGTCGAAAGTGAAGTAGGAGACCGGAAAGTGAAATTCCGTCTCCACGGTGTACTGTATGCGCTGACAGCACCCAATAGCCTCCTCTCCATCATGCGTTTGGACGACGCGGGAGGAAGAGTACTTATGGGTAATAGTCGCGCAATACTAATAGATAAAAATAAACACACTCTTGCTATAGGCAAGAAAAATGGACGACTATATTCATTGAAATTGCGTCCAATAGTTCCGCAACCTGCGCGAACCTATACTGCTAAGGAATACGGCCCGCATACCTGGGAAGAGTGGCACAAGATCTATGGCCATATCGGGAAACCAGCACTTACGCGATTATATCGCGAAGGGCTTGTTGATGGCCTAGAAATCTCGCCAAGCCCAGATGAAATTAATTGCGAGGCGTGCATCCAAGCAAAGGCGATGCGGAAGCCATTTCCCAAAGAGACGGACGAATGCAGCAAGGTACCCGGAGAATTAACACACACGGATGTGTGAGGACCTGCACAGACAGCTGCTCTACAAGGGTGGAAATATTTTATTACATTTACCGATGATTACAGTCGTCGAAGTACAGTACTATTTATGAGGCATAAAGATGAAGTAACAGAAAAGGTAAAGAATTATATTACCTATATCGAGCGCAAGTTTGGAAATAAACCCTTGCGACTCAGGCTCGACAACGGTTGAGAATATATGAACACCGAATTAATTAACTGGTGTCAAATGAAAGGGATCGAGATGGGTCCGACTGCGCCGTACTCACCATCCCAGAACGGAGTCTCTGAGAGATTGAATCGCACACTGCTTGGACTAGCGTGCGCGATGATCTATGTGAGAGATCTACCTCATTATCTTTGGGCTGAAGTGATTGCTCATGCAGTCTATATTAAAAATAGATCGCCTACCCAGGCGTTAAATGGGGCAACTCCCGAAGAAAAATGGAATGGGACGAAACCAAATATCTTGTACCTGCAAGAATTTGGTTCCCCCGTATGGGTCCTCACAGAAGACGCAACACTATCAAAGCTAGCGCCCCGTGCCAACAAGTATATTTTTGTTGGATACATGGACGGACCCAAAGCCATCAAATATTATGATGCGCACACGCGCCAGATTAAAATCTCGCGTAATTTCCAATTTTCTTCGAATTCCCCGGACCATTTGCCCGGCAACGCGCCTCACGTGCCACAAGAGCAAATAGGATCCGACGTACCTATCCTCACAGCACAGCGTGAGGGGGAGCAAAATATATTTCCGGGCACTTTACCTAGCAATGCGTCAGACGTGCCGCATGTGGAAAGGAGACCCGAAGTCCCAAACCTCACAACGACCGCAGACGTGCGGCGCGAGGGGGAGTTAGGAACTTCCGCGCCACAGTCACCTGCCAAAAATCCACGAAAGCGCAGACAGGATGATGATCCTGATCAACGCGAGGAAAGCGGGACGGATGCACCAAGCCAGCCCAGACGAACCAGAAGAAAGACAGTTCAGCATGATTACCGTCTAATGCACGACCCAGAGGCAGACGAAGATCTGGATAATGATCCAGATAAATCAAATGCCGAATTAGTCTATATTGTGATGAGCGCCCACGGAAATGCGGATGCGGACGAGCCAAAGACGCTCAGTGATGCCAAGAGATCACTCGAGTGGCCCAAATGGGAACAGGCAGTCCAGACGGAACTCAATCAACTACAGGGTATGGAGACTTGGGAGTTAGTGGAACCTCCCGAAGATCGAAAACCCGTAGGAAATAAATGGGTTCTAGTTAAGAAAACAAACAAAGAGGGTGAAATAATCAAATACAAAGCCCGCCTGGTTGCGAAGGGATATTCTCAAATCCCAGGCATGGACTATACCGAGACGTTCGCGCCCGTAGTCCGCCTCGAAACCATTCGAGCTATCCTCGGGCTAGCCGCAATCTTAGATTGGGAGATCGGACAGATGGACGTGAAAGGCGCCTATCTTAATGAAACTCTCAAAGAAGAAGTGTATATGCGGCAACCCGAAGGATACAGCGATGGAACATACCGCGTATGTAAATTAAAGAAAACCCTCTATGGGCTAAAGCAGTCTGGCCGAGAATGGAATATCGTGCTGAACCGCAAGTTACTAGACGCGGGATTCAAGCGCCTATTCTCGGATCCATGTGCGTACATTCGGATCAAAGGTGATAAGATAGAAATTGTCACCGTTTGGGTAGATGACCTATTAATATTCACCAATGATTGCGCACTGATGGACCAATTGAAGAGGGAACTCCGAAATATGTTCGAAGTTACCGACCTTGGCGAACCCCGAAAAATTGTGGGGATAGAAATTGAGAGAGACCGTTCAAAGCGGACAATCAAAATCTCTCAGACAAAATATATTGAGTCTATCCTACACAAGAATGGGCTTACGAAAGCCAACACGGTCGGGATGCCTCTTGATCCAAATACAGTGCTTGAAAAAGAAGAACCCGAAACTGATGACAAATGCGACCGAGACAACGGATATGCATCGCTCGTCGGATCACTGATGTACGCGGCAATTGCCACGAGACCAGACATTGCTCATGCCGTGCAACGGCTTAGCTCATTTACTGCCAATCCCAGAATGGCTCATTGGACTGCTGCTAAACGCGTCCTCCGCTATCTATCCGGAACGCGAGAACTTGGAATAATCTACGGGCCAATTGCAGATGTCAAGCCCGAAGATCAATCCATATTTGTGGGCTACTCAGATGCAGACTATGCGAATGATATCCGAGATCGCAAATCAATCTCGGGATATTTATTTAAATTAGGAAATGGCACGATCACGTGGAGCTCAAAGAAGCAAACCACGGTCGCGTCATCCACCACGGAAGCCGAATACATGGCATCCGCTGAAGCGGCAAAAGAAGCCGTGTGGCTCCAAACACTATTCAAAGAAATAGGTTTCGAGCAACAAGATCCTACAATTTTATTCGAGGATAATACAGCGGCGATCTCAATCGCACGTGATCCCCAATTCCACGCGAAATCAAACATTTTGATGTAAAGCATCATTATGTGTGCGAAAAATTGAGGGATAAATATATTGATATCCACTACTGTCCCACGGAGGACATGATAGCGGATATCCTAACAAAGTCACTCCCTAAGCCGAGGCACGAGAAGCTCACAAAGAAGCTCGGAATGCCCATCGGCTTGAGGGGGAGTGTTGGAAAGTAGCGCCCAAATTTCTGGAGCTCCAGAAATTGGGGAGCGCCCAAGGGCAGACAAGCTGAGGGCATGATTACAAAGAAAGACAAAGAAGGAAATTTGCTTATATAAAGTGGAGCGTCTAGAACTGTATATATACAGAAATCTATTTTAGGACGCGTAATCACGCGCCCCGACGCATCTTGACCCGCCATCACTACCTTCCTATTTGGGAACTAAGGCGCGATTTCTAACACCCTACACAGGAAGCATTACCACTTTTATCCATTGGAAATAACCTGGCAAAAAGCATGGAAATCAATAATATATTTTCAGAGGAAAAACCTCGAGAAAAAAGTGAGAAAAGAACAAAACATTCTCACAGTTTTTCCCTTGGAAATAAGTTGCCTACCATATCAGGCAACTGGACATGCCAGGACATGCCAAAACCCGGACAAAACTACCATATTTGGCGACCAACTTATTTCCAGTGGAAAAACTGCGGAAATGCTTTGTTCTTTTACACGTTTTTTCCTCATGTTTTTCCCGCAGTATAACTTTGTTGATTTCCACGCATTTTTCCAAGTTATTTCCTCGGGAAAAAAGGAGTTATGCGTCCTGTGCTACCGTCCCATCGGCACCCCCCCTCAAGTCGGCAGTAACGCGTTATGTCACCCATCAGTCACCCATTTCGCACGTCAGCGTGACAACATCGTGACACGGCGTGATAAAACATGATTTTTCTAGACCGTCCGCCGTCGTTCAAGTTCGCAATTGTTTGAGATATACCAGTATAAACATAGATGAAGAAGGTAAGCAAGGGGAGCAGAAACGGGGGAGGTATGCTGAGGTGCCGACTTGCAGGGGGGTGCCGATGGGACGGTAGGGCATAGTATTGTACAAAAATATTTATAGTTCTTCTCAAGTAACCAGTTCAGTTAGAGGCGCAGATCGACGATTTAAGCGCGTACCCCTCCTAGAACCTTCACATCTACGCGCACATCTACCCGAGAACGCGTTGAAGCGGCTGACTCTCAACGTCAGTCCGAATGCGCGAACAGACACCGCAAGCCGACAGACGACGTGTACGAACAGCTTACATACAGAACATAACAAGAATAAGATAGACAATCATGCAAGAGGTGGAGGGGTATCACGAGGATCATACGATAAGGCATATGAAGGTTGCTGTAACTCGTGCTTCCTCTGCCAAACTACTTCCGCCCACAACGGATTAGGCGGAATATGGCCCACCAAAGCCCGCAACACTTCCAACCTGAGACGGAATGGTCAAAATCATTGTTGACTATGAAAGATAAAAGAGATCCAACCATTGCATCTTCTCTTCGTCACTGTCGGCAAAAAATGTGATATCTTCGTCGCGAGGAAATACCAATCGGAAAGAGCGCTCGATTCCGTAGGGTCCGTCATAGTCGTCGATCAACGACTCCCGCATTCCAGTCGACCTAATGAGCGTTGATCCTCCGGCGCGGTCGTCCTCGACGGATACCGCCTTTTTGAGGTCAATGGTAGCAGTCGCCTTCTTTGTAACGTCGTTATAAGCGATAAGATTCGCTCCAACGATCCTAAGGTGACGCCTCCGCCAAGACTGCGTGGTAAAGTTTCACTGGTCAGAGTAAAGCCGCGGGTCAAAAACGCGAATGGCCAACCTTACAATCGCCTCCGTCCTGCGTCAAAGTGCCTTCGAAATATGTCATTTTGTGCCAGCTTATATGTCGTAACCCACGATGACACTCTTCCAAGCTTTGGGGAAGTTGGTTTAGAGGAATACCTGACAAGGGCGGCAATCTGAAGAATTGTAGTATGATATCGCCGACCTGGAAGGTTTTCACGGAAGATCCCGCATCACACCTCTGACCAATGAGAGGATATACGGTTTCGAACAGTCGTGTGTCGCAGCGCTTGGCAATATCCCTGAAAGACACGAACGCCCTTGCGAGGGTACCATCAGGCTTCAGGTATCGTGCAAGATTTTCCTCCAGCTTCCGCACAGGATGAGGTATGGATGGCGGAGAAACCTTGCCCGCCTTCTTTGGAGACGAGCCGAGGAAAAAACCACGCATGCCGCCTTTGGAAGCCGGAGGTGGCACAGCCGGCGGTGGCGGTAGAGGTGTATTTGCCTTGAACTGCGAGACAATGTGCGGATCACGGCGAACTTTAATGGTAAGGGTGAATTCAAGCTTGCTATGCTCGATTCTGAATTGACGACATGTTATCAGTGCGGCCACAAGGTACAGCAGCAAATTGCGCACAACTCAAATTCTTGCTCGATACGGCATTCTCTGCCGAGTTGACAGTCGGGAGTGGTGACGAAGTGGATGCCGTTATTCAGGGTGCAGGTGATAGTAGTTGGCTGTTGCGGAAGAGGCACATTAATGCCCCTCAGGCCAAGTACTGCAATATAGTTAAGATGTGCAGATGCTTATAATCAGAACCCGGAATATACCTCTCACGAAGACTTTGCCATGCACCTTGCCTGACTTTTGCTGAGCTTGGAGTTGCTTGAGTTGCTTTGAATACTCATTCTAATTCGTTATGAGTCACAATCATCTGAGACTGAGAGAAGGACTTGCCATATCAGAAGGCCTTCTCACAGTCCTCCACGCCCGTCCGCAGTTGACATCACCAGCCATGTCCGAATGAGAAACTTGGTCGGCGTCGGACGAAGCATAAATGGTCTCTTCGTGTTCCCGAACACGATACTTTCGAATGGAACGGATTAACACTCGAAGCGATGTTCTAAGAATGAAGTCGTGACCTTACGTTTCGCGTAGGTTCTTCCAGCTTCCGTAGTTCTCGTTCGACAGTATCTGCAAACCGTCCGTCCTCACCTCCATTAGGAAACATATCCAAGAGACCACCCGTCAGTGCCATCCGTCCTCGAGTTACGGCGCAGTCGACCGAGTGAGCGTCTGCATCACCAGTGCTCCTACTCCTCCTTCTGGTCGGTCTTGAGAGAGCTGCAAGCGAGGGCGGAGAGCGAGAGTACTCCAAAGCTTCCACTGCTTCGCGTCTACGAGACTGCTTCTTCTTGGCTTTGATCAGTTCCTCGCGGGCACGAATGGCATCCTTTGGTTGAATTACAAGACACGCAGAAGATATCCCAGCACTGCCATCAGATCGCGAGGCCGTGTCGGCTCGATCCAGAGCTTCAGTCGTGGACTCAGGGATAGATGCACAGTCAAGTGATCTGCCTGAACCCGTCGAAAGGACTGTCGAGCTCGCACTGCCGATGCCCGATGAAAGTTCACGATTGGTGACATCAAGAGGCTCGCACGCACTCATGATGCTGGGGCCATTAATCGCAGGAGAGCCACTGACATCATTCGCGACGTTGTCCATCAGACGATCGAGGGCACTCTTGTCCTCCAATTGCACAAGTCCGCTGAGCATACCCAGGTTCATGCTATCGATCGCGAATCCCCGCTCAAGCTCAAGACGCAAGCCATCAAATATGTGGTTACTGTCCGCACCATCCACCATGTGAGCACGGACAAGGGCTGTTGGCCTAGGCGGATCATCGTTCTGAGGATCGGGGTCAATGGTCATGATTCCGTTAGGGGTGACATTCTTCCCTCTGTCTAAAGCAGGTAAAAAAGCGACTGGTACGTGGACGTCCTCCAAGGGATCAGCGTCAGTAGTATTGTCACCTGTGACTTCTGCAAATAGATGTTTGTTCTTGCCAACCGCGGAACCTATAGCACCTGTATCTTCAGAGAACTCCACCTGATCCTGCCTGAGACGGCAGGCATCAGAAGGTTTGAGTGACGGCGCTTCTTCAAGGATACCAGCATTGCTACCAGCGTTGGGCGAGGTACGCTGCAGAGGAAACGGTACTAGCAAGGACCCCTCCCCTTCACTTAACGTGAGTTGTGACTCTGTTTGCGAATAGGACGGAGAAACGGAATTCGATTTCGTCGATACGGCCTGGATTGGAGACTCCAACGGGCTGCGTGAAGGTGACGCGACGAAAGAGACGGCGTGATCGTCTGCTCTACCAGGAGGAGTCGGCGAAACGACAGTAAGAGGAATATCTGGTAAGCGAAATACATTTCCCTGGGTGAAATTCTCCGAATGAACGATTGACTTTCCTGGAGATACGATAGCGGGTGGTACACCTGGCAGTGAAAACGGGTCCGATGCAGGTAGGACTTCGACCTCCGAGAATGCGAAAGGATCGTCCTCATCGACATCTGAAAAATATGGTGAAGAGTTTCATTTTTATTAAACTGTAGTCACCACTTACGCTGAGAATCGTCGACTGCGGGAACATGCACGTGAAAATTGGTCAGGGAGACGTCGGGATTCCCATGAAAACTAGACAGTGAAGCGATGGATTTCATGGGGGAGGGGGAAGGGGGCAGCATGTTCACATCTTCATCTATTTCCTCGATGACAAGCTGCTCACAGCCATTGGCTGGATAAACCATCTCTTGCGCTGGAGAGTGTCGTTCCACTGAGGATGAGGCTCGAGGGGAGACAGCAGGAGAAAGACGCGGCGTTGCGTCAGGTGAATCCTGCACGATCGGTGGTGATTCGTGGTTGTGACGATGAAGAGCAAAGCGGTCTGCATGATGGCTTCGTCCAAGTGGAACACCATCCTCGGTCTCTAGGCCATCGGGTAGCCTATTCGTAGTACGAGGAGGGGTGTGCGGGCCGTCCAGAAGGGAATCAGCGAGACCGCTGATGGTATCACTAGCAGGCTGTGAGCCGTCAGAGCCGTCATCGACCTCCAGGAATGGGTCATCAGCGTCAGTAGGGTCGCCTCGGTCTAATTCGAGAGAGATATCGACCACATCTTCTTCCACGTCGAACTCGACAACATCGCAGCGCTCGTCAAATGTGACCGTCTTACGCCTAGATCGACGATCGTTGGAGACTGCGCTACCGGAATGGCGAGGACCATGTAGACGCTTTGATACAAGAGAAGGGCGGCCTGGGGATGGAGAGGGGACGCGGGGTGATTTAGGGGGTAGAGGAGGAGGGACGTCTTCGACGTCGAGGTCTAGGGTGGCGGACTGCTTGAAAGGGCTCTTGGTGACGGGTTCTTTCTGAAGCAGACCTTGAAAGCCCTTAGATTGGCGCCGTTTGAAGCCCAAAGGATGCTCGTTCTCTGCCTGAGATATCAGGGAAGAGGGTCTGGGTCTTTTTTCACCACTTGCGCGACGAGGGGAAGGAGTGTGAGTGGATGGAGACTTGGAGGGGGTAGGGATTTGGGATCTGAACGGAGACTTTGTCACAAGATGATTACTTCTCAGATGTTTATAGCTGGAAGACTGTCTACGGGAGAGCTGGATGGGTTGGAGGGAGTCACGTTTGGCAATACGGAGGGGAGTGGTGGACTGGCCTGGGGACCAACCCCCAGGAGGATCTGGGGAGTTTGACTGAGGGCGGTCACGGAGGGGCAGCGCTGTACTCATCGTGGGCGACGACGGGGAGAAGGAGATAGACGAGGAGGAGATCTGGAGATAGAGGGCAAGGACGAGATATCGTGGGAACCCTGGTTCGACTGCAACACGCCACCACGTGACCGCGTCGTAGGCCCTAGTCCTCACCCTCATCTTCGTAGTTGTCCTCGTCCTCGTCGTCAGACATGTCCAAGAGCACTCGGTCCCAGCTGACATTGCCAGACTTTTGTCTCCATCTCGCTCGCTCTCCACTCAAGGATGCTAGGACCGCCCGACGAAACATCCACCCATCTCCGCCCCGCGAAGTCGACATGCCGTCCTTCGTGGTCGACCGTCCAAAGAGACCGTCCAAAGATCCTCCTTCTCCCGAGCGCGATGTCAAGAGGCCCAAGCATCACGACCTCCGTCTCGAGAACCAGTTAGCGTACACCAATCCATCCTCCACACCGTCGCCTCTCCAACCTCCGATGGACAATTCCAAACCACATCGACGTTCTCAGTCTGCACCCGTCCACACAAATTTTCCGCATCTCGACCTCACCAAGGTTCCTCCGTCGCCGTCCAAGGCCACTGTTCCACTCCGTATAGCATCTCTGCCCCCCGTGGACGTCACCAATGCAGAGCGTCAGTCCACCAACCCTTTTACGCTCTCTCCGCCAACTCCGCCCGTTTTCCATATTCAAGCCGCAACTCCCCGCGCTTCCCGAACCAAGCCACTTACTCTACCTCCTCTCTCCCCGCTCACTCCACTTCCATCCGCGCCATTGCCACCCACCCATCAACAGCATTCCTCAGATACTTCTGTACCTGCATGCCCTGTCTCCATACCTCGGCTTGTCCACAGTCGGGCTACCCATAACCCCTCCGTTCATCCTGCATTCGTCGTTCCGCCCCCGACTCCTTCTACCAGTGCCAGTCGCCTCCCTCGTCCTTCTGCTGTATCTTCAACCCATCTAATCTTCACCAAAGGGGAAGATCACACTCAACGCGATAAACCGATTCAAAAGATCAAAGGAAGACTGCCCAAGCGGACTGCTACAGTCACGCAATTCCCACTCGGTGGACGCATGACACGATCTGCGTCTCTTCGTCAGGCTCAGAACAGAAGAAATGAAGATGACGTTCCTGTAAAGCCGGGCACCTCTGGTGAGCTAATCGTGACACTTTCCATTCAGTTCTATATTAACTTGAGAGAACGCATGTTACAGCAAATCTTCCAAGCACTTCTGCGGCTCCGGCATCGTCATTATCGAGCGGTTTGTCTCGCAAGCGATCACTGTCTTTCTCCTTCGCGCGACCCACATCAAGTTCCGCTGCCAAATCTCAGCCCTCCTCTCCAACCAAACCCCGTTCCGATGCCCCTCCACGCACACCCAGGGGCACTGCCGAACAACGATTTTCATCTTCATCGCTGTCTAATCTCTCCGTTGCGCTCATGAAACTGAGCATGCCTGCACCGTCCAGGCCAAGTACGAGTATGGGGTTCGATTCTGAACCTATGAACTCCGGGGACAACGATCACACTCAGAACGTCAGGCCCGTGACTCTGGGTGATAAGAGCGTCAGAGCTCATGCTGACATTAAGGACCCGGTGTTAGTCGAACCTCAGCTTCCCACAGTGCCATTGAATAAGGCAGCCACTCACGGCAACTTGTCTACGCCTTGTACGAGTTCGCGCGCATCCAATCTGGAGATCCCTACCGCAAATTCTTCCATAGCCAGAACTCAGAAACGAATAAACGTTCACTCTGGTATCATCGCTGGGAGACCAAGAAATATGATTGCCGTTAGAAGGATTCAAGCAGGATCCGATAAGAACCGCCCTAGGTTCTTTGGGGTAGGCACACTTTCTGGACCTGCCGTCGCAGGAAGAAGTCGTGTAACTCAAAAAGCCAGTCAGAAGACTACCTTGCCAAGTGTGCAAGGGAGCCCTGTGAAGGGCAGCGGAATCATGGAAGTTGAATCGTGCTCGTCACCTTCGGAGATCCTGCAAGCGGCAAGCAATGTAGACGGAATTGTTGTTCCTGCCGTCGATGGTTCTGAAGGTGCTGACGACGGAAATCTGGCACAGGATATCTGGAAGAGTACTTCACGTCGGGCATCCCTGGCCTCTCATTTTCTATCCCAATCGTTGTCATCTCTACCGCAGACTCCTCCTTTCTCTTCTACGCCAGATGAAACAACGATCCTTGCGACTCTGCCTGGCAGCAGGAGGAGCACTCTCCGCTCCATGGGCGGCAGTCGAGCTCTGGTGCCAACTGGTGCACATACTGCGCCTGGCAAATTGAGCCAAGCCGCAGGTAAAGGTGCCCATGTCTCAGCCCGTAAGGACGGAGAAAGTCCCGCAACTTCCATTACTACGGAGATGGTCGAACCATCTGGTTCATGGTCGGTCCTCAAGGAATGCGTCATATTTGTCGACGTTCGGACTGACGATGGTGACGACGCGGGTGCACTGTTCATCGACATGCTGAGGGGCATGGGCGCGAGGGTGCATTTGCCTACCATCTGTCCCCGGTGCGATTGCTGAGCTGCTGTTTATCTAGATCTTGACGCGAGTTGGACAGAGTTGTACACATGTTGTATACAAGAACGGCCTGATGAGCACCTTGACTCGATATCGGTACGTTACTTGTCCCACGGTTACTGTATTCTCTGATTCCCACTAGGCTGTTGAACGAGCCGAAACCGCTCGTCGTGGGCATTGCATGGGTGGTAGAGTGTGTTGAAAATAGAGCGCGAGCAGACGAAACGAGATTCTTGGTCGACTTGGACGGGCTCAATGTCGCGGGAACGAACAAGGTCTGTTTTGCCTAATTATGCATTTCCTGGCTTCTGATGCCCTGTTTGTAGCGGCGACGGTCTATGTTACCTAAACAGTTCCATTTTGCAGCTCCCACCCATGTACCCACCCATTCTGGATCTGTCGAAGCTGATGGGACCGTAGTGCTGAATGCAGTACAAGCTATGGCTGCAGATTCACCGTGTATGTTGTTTTCTGTGTTGTCTCCAAGGGGTTGTATCTCTAACGGTGGGCCACCGTAGCTTCAGATGTTGCGGACGATCTTAGCGGTGTGTCCAGCCCTGGCAATGAGACTTTGGCGCCACTTGAGAGAGCTCGACGACGACGAAGCATGTTAATAGGGCTGCCGACTCAATCTTGACGCCAGTCGCACCCGTATACAATATCACTGTTCCGTCTAATCGCATACACTCACAAATTATCTCTTCAACCAAGTAATTATGGTTATTTGCTGTTTCTGGTGCTCGTTGATGTGTTTTCATGACTTTCATTCGACGTCGAATGATAGATATTCCTGGTCAAGTCGCAGACTCAGGATGTTAGTGTGGATATTTCATGTATTACTATTGCACTTTGTGAATATAATGGTATTCAAGAGAAGAAAGAACAATACACCCTTGAACGTAGTCTGCTGTTGCGAATTGAACCGCGTACAGCCTTATGTCGGTCCTCGGGCCACCCCGCATTTTCTGGCTTCCTGGCCATATTTTCTCTTCAAAAAATTTTGATCATGTCTGAATATACTAAAGCTATGTTATCCCAGCCTGTGAAGGTCATATGGGCTCTAGATCTGCCTGGAGATGCAGAAGCTGACTGAAATTTGCACAAAAGTGCTCGCATCTTACTCAGTTCAAGATGAAAGCCCAATGTTTTTGACATTAGGTATGTTCATACATACCACAATGTTTCTGCAGTGCATTTATGGCCATAGGTGGTCAGCAAGGATGAGGAAGAGACTTCGAGCAAGGGCGGTGAGCCTTATCGGCGAAATGTCACGTCAAGGTCGACTGTGTGCATGCTGATCTACGAGAAAGCGTTGGGTATGCTACACCATGCCAGACAATATTTGGGTGGCCCGAGGACCGGTATAAGACTGTATGCGTGCTTGTGTGCGAAGACACCAGAAGACAAATTCATTGAGCTACACTACATCTTCGACGCAATGAGAGGTACAAACGGGTGCATGGAAGTCCCTCAACCGTTACTTATAGACATAGATTGCGTCGGGACTGCCCTCAACACCACCACTCCATGTTCCAGCGTCAACACAAATCGTCGATGAGCTCTTTCCTGCTACAGTGTTTTACGACGTGCCCTTAGTGAAAGGGCGGTGGTACTCTAGTGGACATCTTACACTAGAGATCGAGATATCCTTCCCGTAGTCACATAGTCCCGAGTCAGGATAGGCACGGAACTTAGGGTATAAGGTGAGGTGCAATCTATGAAAAGAGCAAGTAAGGGGATTGGTCTTCGGGCCACACAGATCAAAATCAAGGCGAGACTGACCCCAATATACGACATAAACCGAGACATATCCACAGCGGACGTTCTTTCATCAGCTGCGATTAATCCGCAGTCTGCTAACCCCTTGTCCTCCGCATGCGACTCGTGTAAACCATAGTCGCTCATGAGTGTCTTCATTTCGTCCGGTCCAAGCTGAGATAGGAAGGTAAGATTAGATGGAAAGAGAGGCGAAGGCGTGGGTCGGTAGTCATCATCCGGGATTGAAGAAAGAGAGACATGATGTGAGGTGTTCAAGAAGAGTGGACGAGGTGACATCTCCTCCTGCAAGATTGACGGGCGTAGAGGGCGGAGGAGCGCACGGAGCGGTTCGCCGGGGGCTGCTGAGCAGATTAGACCATTGAGTCTCCGAGCCTCCCTGGAACGGGGGAGATCCGCGGACGCAGGTATGTGCGAATCATGAGCCGCCGATATGCGCAATTGCGAATTCGAACGACGTACGAGTTGTGCAGACTAACTCTGACGGAGAGTATGCGCCTCCTGTACAGCGTGATTTTCTCTCGCAGAGAGTCCGGTAAAAGGACAGTAAGCTATTTTGCGAGGACGCACGCGGAGGTCCGGTTATATGTGGGAAAGATGATTGGGAAGATTCCTTACCTGGTGGCACACTCTATCCGCTATCTCTTTGCGGACAAGTTCTCGTGTTAACACGCACACCTGCTCTGTGATGTGGGATCGAAGACCATTCTCGAATTGTTCACTGAGAGAGTCCTTGAAACGTTGCATGCGTTCCTCTTGCCGCTGACACTGAGTATTGAGCTGTTCGCTGAGCAGGCAAACCTGCAGATCGATCTCAGACCGGTCAAAACAGAGCAGTGAAACAGACTTGCGTGGCAATCAGCGTCCAGCGCCGATCGAAGCTCAGTCAGTTTCACTGTATGATCACCGAGTGTATCGACCGTCGAGCCCAAAATGTTCACAATAAGTTTCATGGTACCGAAAAGTTCGTTTACAGCTTCGAGATCGGGACGCGCAAGGATTACAGATGGTACGTCTGGGTTGAGCGTGTCGACAGCTCTGCGCTTGGAATGATGATGATCATCGAGCATGGTTACGGCGAAGATGGGAGAAAGAATGGCGAGAGGGGAGTATGTATAAAAGATGGGGAGATGAGAGATAAGGACATGGCGATTTGCTTGCCATACTTTTCGATCACAGGAGTCGCCTGAGGTTAAGTATATATGGGAGGTCGGTTAGTCTAGTTTTTACACCCGTTTGCATAAAAAACTGCAGATCGCGACTCGCGGCGAGCTGCTTGTTCGGAACAAATATTCCCTTACATGGTATGTCGGGTGGCGGGCAAAAAATCTGGTTTGCCTGCTCGACTTGTTTGAGGGCTTCGTGAGGGCCGCGGGTCTCTGCAGGCATGCAAGTTCTACAACCTCAACTCCTTTCCGATGCATCCGGTGCCTACGAGGCCTGCACCAGGCTATGCCGAGGATTTCCAGCGCCACCTGGTCTACCGCATATGGTGTTATTTGCGCGGGACAAATAGTTGCAAAATCGCGATCTGCAGTTTTTTATGCAAACAGGTGTAACGCGGGGGGCTTATCGGTAGGTCCCCAATTTAGTTCGGAGCTTGGACTTGCAGGGAAGGAATTGCGTAATCGCCTGCAAGAAAATGAGTCGAAGCTGGAAATGAAAGAACAAGCGCTCGCCGCAAGCTCACCGCAGATACTATATACTCCAGGGAAGCAGTTGTTGTTACATTCGAGATATCTCAGTCAAATGGCATGCCTTTTAAGCTGTAGGAGACAAGCAAAAGAAGCACATCCAATGGGTAACAATAGTGCAGAGCAAGGGTATGGATAACCCTCAAGGGTCAAGCTCAGTAAAAACCGGAAGTCAAAATGTAGTCAGCCAGTTTCAAAATTTTGGCAAATTTGACTATTAATGACTACTTGTGACTACTCTTATGGTTTTCTTATAGTGCATGACCTCATATAGTTTAGACCATGTCTGTACGGTTATGTTCCAACCCCTCAGTGCAGAAAAAAGCAACATATAAGCTCCAGAATGCCATGTATTCTGAGAGAATTAACTGCAGTGTCTGACTTTTACAGACTAGAATTTGATGGCATTTGATCACATAATTTCTTGGCATGATGAGTTTGGTGACTGTAAACAGACTTCTATGGACTTTACCTGACCATGGTGCCAAAATTTTGAATCCCATTGACCTCAACCCGACAACACCAGACTTTAATTGACTTCCAGTTTTTACTGAGGGTCAAGGGTAAGGGTATCGGAGGGTAAGGGTAGGGGTATGGATTTTCAAACCCTTGTACATCAGGAAAACCCAACTTTTACTTATGGGACTTATTCCGACTTTTTGTTCTTTTTTTGCCTTATTTAAGGTCCATAAGTTCCCAAAAGTCGACTTTTAAGTCTCTAAGGAAATATGACTTATGGACTTTTTGTCCTTTTTTACCTTATTTAAGGCCCATAAGTGCATTTCAGTCATATAAGGACACCTTTAAGTAAAAGTTGGGTTTTCCTGATGTACCCTTGGAGGGTATTACTACCTATAGTATATATGATGTAGATAGTAACTACAGGGTGAATATAGAGTATGTACAGTCTGAGTACAACTTGAATCATGTTTACAGAAGCTTTAAAGATAAAAGAAGAGGGGTACAAACCTCAGACTTAATATATATAATGTCATTTTCTCAAATAAGAGCAAAGATTGAGGGGTATACCCTCAGGGTTTGGTACCCTTACCCATACCCTTATCCCTGGTCAAGGGTATGTACCCTTGGAGGGTAAGGGTAGGGGTATACCCCTGCTCTGCACTAGGTAACAAGAGAAGCAACTACTGAGGATGAGTTGTGAAAGTTTTGGCTTGAACTTGGACACAGTCATATCCCAATAATTTTGTTACTCCGTCTAGCATAAGACAGTTGAAGAAGTCCAGAAGACTAATTGGGAGTCACTCTGGCTACCACTACCATTGCTGTAAACAGTGCAGCATCCTGGTATCCCCCACCTAAAATACAGTACTAGTGGATTTAGCTGTTCTGAGGGTCGTGAGGCATAGATTTTCTAAAAATACATTCAGTCCACAGACAGTACATAACAGGAGAACACCCTGTGCACCAGAGAGCTATGAGGATGCGGCAGAAATGTGAGACTTGCATGGGTAGATGAGAACATGTTTTGATGCATCACATGTGCATGTGATTTGCAGAGATGAAAATACCCAACCTACCGATAAGGACCCCCTTATAGATAGCAGACACCAGACATGGATATCCTGAGGAATGAAGGTTGAAGCAGAGTGTCAGTCTGCCTTTGGGAGACTAAGGTCGGTCACATGGCAAGTAGTATGCACACGAGTATACTTACATGGCCATTCATGCACACACCAGAGATGGGGACTAATATCTAAGTTCCTTACATTGTGGGAACATCTGACCTAACATTGTACATGTATGATGGCCTGTATGTAGCTTCGACGGTCGAAAATATGTTTACAATGTAAGGCCCGATGTTTGGGCATGCAATACCCAAATCACACATTGATAATGTGTGATATTGTGACATATACAATATTCGCAAATGGCTATGTTACCATATAACATTTGTCCGAAAATTTTAGGTCTCATTTGGCATGTCCAGCAGGAAGAAATTCTGATCGACATTATGCCTTTCGGGGCAGACAACAGATTAAATATCAAACTAGTATAAGGACGACACAAAGTTACAATGTGTGATCATTTAACATTTGACATTAGAGTCTATATATAAGGTGAGATGTCAGGGCCTCAAACCCTCAGCCCAATATTCAAACTGTAAGGGGGTCAGACACTCATAGCGCTGCTAAGCAGCTTGATGAGTGGCACACTCAATGTTTGCTTAGTGGTTATTGAATCACCAAGTGTACCACTCAGCGGCTTTTCAACTGATCGTGGGAGATTGCACAAGCATAAGTTCGGTCAATTAATTGTATATAATGAGAAAGCAGCAAATGACAGGACATTGACAAACAGCACAGGATGCAACGATGAGGGGCAAGGGACAGGAACAGCACGTAAAATTATGAGGAAACCACTTATTTGCGCACAAGCTGGGCCAAGTCATTCCTATCCACCCTAAGCATCCTGCCGCCTTCTTCCAGCACTAGAATAAGCGGGTCTGCCACACCCCACATCATTTTGCTGTACGCTCCAAAGTTGGGGCCACGCTTACACATGATTGCATAATTGCCTGGGCCTGATCACAATATGGCAAGATCTTGCCGAGAGACATCGCATATTCCAGCTGTCACATCCGGTATTCGCATCGCACCTTGCCATCCACTGGGAAGGCTCCCTTCACTGTGGTCATCAGCTCATTTCGGAGTTGACTGGCTGTGCACATGAGCTTGAAGTGATAAGTATGGAACACAGGTGCCACAGCCACATCCAGCATCCATCCATTGGGGCCTGATGTGAATTCAGCGGACATTTTGTATCGATGATGAGGCTATGCACCATTAGGTTCAACTGAAGATGTCAATCCATCGGGTCCATAATGTGGATTCAGCGGACACTTGGTAGTGGCAGGGCAGTTACGCACTATCAAGTTCCACTGAATATGCCTACACTGAGTCTGTGTTGTGTGATGCGGGTTCTAATTCATGGCCTAATGGGGTCCGAGGCTGCTCAGGGAGCAAACCACGCTCCACCGTGTCGATGTTGCTCCTGCAATGAGGCAGTTAGATATGACCAGAACTACAAGTAATGAATCTTACCTTTCTTCTGATCGGAATGCAATCTCAGGCTTTCAGAACAAAAGGATGCCCCTCGAGGTTAAAAGCTTGGCTTCAAGCTCAACCTCATAATTGCCGTGGTACGTGATGTTTCGCAATGTGCCCACAAATCCCTTCAAAGGACCTTTGATGACATGCACTGCTCACCTGATGTTGGGATTCTGGCAGTCAGAATACTTGAGGGCAAGCTCCATCTCCACCTCTTCCTCTGTTTGCATCTCAGGGTGTGAGGGGTGCTGCTCTCCCGGCCTTGAGACTGTCACCGTTGGCTGTATTGAGGTCCATTCTGCCTCGGACTCTGTGAGTAAGAAATTCCAGAGTAACATATGATGCTATATCGAGTTTTGAGCATCGATAATGTCGCAGGTGACAGGACATACCTCAGAGGTTTCCAACACAGAAGAAGTATGAAAGACTCCCATTATTGGATTTCTAGTTCACTGAGAAAAGTTCAGTACTTGGAAGCATCATCATATGTAGAATGTACATGCTGAGGAAAGTTCCACTATTAAGGATCACAATTGCATGAGAAGTGCACAACATACCTCAACTTTGTTCACATGAACAATCGTGACATCGAAATTATCTACGGCAATCACTTGCCCTTCCAAGCCTGCATGGAGGCCCATCTTAACTTTGACCACATCACCAGCTGCCCAAAGGGGGTGTAACTGAGTTACAGGTAGCACAAGAGATGAAAGTTCATCATCCAACTTCTTGTGGTAGAAATTGATTATCGTAGCCTGTTCACTAATGACTGAATGTATGACACTGATGAGGTCGCATTGCTCACCCTGTATAACAATCATGTGCATGCCTGCAGCCAGTTCAAAGTCAACACAGAATAGGATGAGCTTCGCTATCACTGTCTTTGGCATGAATTTTGCTGCATTGAAGACGAATACGTCGTTTTGAGTCATGTGGACGTCGAAAGTCACCTGGTCCAAAGTGAGTTCGAGCTGCAGGAGGCCACCTTTGAACTTCTTGCCCTTGAGAATATGTATCAGCTGATCACCTTCACTTTGTGTCACAGCTTCTGAACAACTCCTTCAGTAATGCTGGTGGCATCAGTTGCTGAGAGGCTCTTCCGTGCTGCCACTTTTTTGTAGTGGCCAGGCACGGAACCACCCAGACGCAGAGGAGGGAGTCCTCTTGCGACTCCATGAAGGCCACATTGTGCTTATATGTACCATGTGAGATGCATACCCAAGGAGAGAGGAAACCATTTTCTGTGGCTTGAAGGTGAATTCCATCGAGGGCAAGAGAGATGACTGCGCCACCCGACTGTGAGGCCTGCTGTGCACGTCTAGCTGCCAGGTCTCTCTCTGTAATAGACTGGGCCATGGCTTTTGCATCAGCAGCATCATCGCCGACACATGCATCATCAAGACATGCCTGAGCTTGTTGAGCATGTTGGATGTCAGCGAGCAATTCAGCTGAAAACAAGCTGTAAGATATATTCAATAATGCAGCTGAGACACTTACCCAGTTCCTCCTTCTCTTCTTCCTTCTTCTCTTCCTCTTCCTCCTCCTCTTCATTGTCGATGATAGCCTCAATATACAAGTATGAGTTCTTGGCATTCCATGCATGAGGATTGAAAATGTAAGAACTGACTGCAGTACTTACCACTTTCCACGCATGCTTTGAAGACATGGCAGCATCAGTAATATGGGGAGGTCGGAATAGTGTCCGTTATATTTGAGCAATTGTATCTTATGAGACATCACTTGAAGTACACGAGGCTTCGACCATGAGGTGCTTATCACCAACTTGTGGGAAGTGGGCCATTGCTCCACATGGCAGTAACAATTCCTGAGGTCCTGTGTTCCTGCCATCATTTAATTGTTCCCACGTGCATTAATTATTTTATATTACTCCTTAGTAGTTGATTACTTATGAAGAGTGGTCCATTGCATCACATAGCATGTTGTATTTTTATTCAGTATCTATTTAAAAGTTTCACCATTTGTAATCACTCAAAGCAGTCACTTTAGGTGAAAATTTACTTTACTAATAAGTATAAAGAGCTCAGGTCTTTCTTGCTAGTGTATTATTTCTTGAAGCTCTGAAACTCTGTTTTTCTTTCAACTAGATTTATGCAAAAATTCATTTTATACAAATACTAGAAAGAAATAAAGTATTAGAATAACTTATAATATTATTTAGATACTCTAAGTATCATCAATAACTGCACCATAATATTTTAGTACACTATTCATCAAATATTTCACTTATGAATATTTGGTAACAGCACTGCAATAGTCCAGCCTGCCATCTATATGTCTATACAAAAAAGTTACAAGAAAATGCTAGTGCTTTTTAAATGAAAACATTATAATAGTCTGTAATGTTATTTAATAACTGGTATATTGCTTAGTAATCTATAGTAAGCTTCTAACAATATTATACTCTTGACTTACTTATAAGATGTCATCTGATTATAGTTTATCAAAATCTTATAATAGTATATAGAATATACACCAGGTTACCGACCTTGACTAATCCCCAGTGGTAACTTCGCTGGTAACCCCCCCGCGTAAGGCAAGCGAGGTAACCGTCAGAGTACAGGAAGTACGTCGGCTGTGTTGTATTGAAAAGAAAGTATTCCAGCGCCATGTAGCCCGTTTTAGTAAATGCCGTAAGAAGCACCGCGCTGAGCGCCAAGGAGGGTGTGCGCATTGCCGACCTTGCTCTGCTGTTGTTCGCCCTCGGACACTATGTAGTCTGGACACTGCCACCTCTCGTCTGCACGACTGCTACATTATAACCGCTTTAATTCTGTCCTACTGCTTGAGCCCAGCTGCTCGAAAACTGCCTTTCTCTCAACGGAAAGTGCTGAAACCCCCCCGTGTGATCGATCTCAAGCAATCTGACCAGGTCCTGCCGTGGGCCCTGCCTGCCACATTCCCCGAGGGCCACACTGTGTTTCAGCCATTTATTCTGCCGTTGCAGCCGTCCAATTGGTTGCACTTTTTTCCCCTATTTTATCTTCCCTTTTCTGTGCTGCTGTGTGCCCTGGATGACAGACGACCCCGGCAGACAGTTAAAATGGGTCAAGCTGTCGACCCTGATGGGCAGTTGAAATGGATCAAGCTGTCAGCACAGACTCCTCCGCTCGCTGCCATCATCAGTCACAAAACCCGCTGCGGAGGAGGCTGCGACATTGGGCCCAGTTGTCGCACAGTAAGCATGGATGATACTCACATGTCATTGCAGCTGCTGACATCTCACATTCACAGAAACATCCAAGTTCATCTGCACAGACTGTTGCTCGAGAGATCCCGACACATTTTGCAGCTTTCACCTTGCGATATCTCGACCTGCGCCATGTAAGCATGATTTCGTTTGACTTCTAACACTAGTCCTAAACTTCTGACCTCCTCTCACAGATCTAACATACTAGTACTTAATCCTAGCTATGGAGCCACAACTCCTCCCAGCAGCTGCCCACGTGGAGCCGCGAAACAGAATACACCCTTAATCCTAGCTATGGAGCCACAACTCCTCCCAGCAGCTGCCCGCACGGAGCCGCGAAACAGAATACACCCTTAATCCTAGCTATGGAGCCACAACTCCTCCCAGCAGCTGCCCGCGCGGAGCCGCGAAACAGAATACACCCTTAATCCTAGCTATGAAGCCACAACTCCTCCCAGCAGCTGCCCGCGTGGAGCCGCGAAACAGAATACACCCTTAATCCTAGCTATGGAGCCACAACTCCTCCCAGCAGCTGCCCGCGTGGAGCCGCGAAACACAATGCACCCACTTTTGTCCCATCGCCGACATCGCTGGGCTAGCGTGCAGTTCGTGCGCTCACCACCTGACACCGCCGAAACTTTCATTCACATTATTACGGCGAGTCTCACAGCATCACTTCACTATCCCTGCACCGGTGGCTAACCTGCTGCCCACCTCGCAGTACATTATTTCCATTATATTGCAGTAGCTGCCTTTGCGGATTTCTGCTGGGTAGGCTCGTAGGCTTTGGCTGCTCATGCAAGCAACGGCACTCACAACCATACCTCTCCTACAGCTGCTTCACTTCACGACTATGGACAGTTCTCCTCCAATGGCTGTTCCTCGCCCGCCATCTCCGTTAGCCTGCAAGAAGGCGCGGTTGTCAAAATCCACATGTGCCGAGCCATGTGTCACACGGCAGGTGTCTGTCGCGCTGCTGGCACTGGCGCTGGTGCCCTGCGGCCCCCATCTGTCGACACAGACAGCCACCGACTTCGGGACGATCCGTGACCTTATGCCTCCCATGATGGTGCACGATCGATGTACGGTGATTGCACCGGAGTTCACGACCTCGCTCAGTATGCCAATGGGCCACATCATGCCTGCAGAGGCATTGCTGCAGGCATCACTTGATGAACTCGAAGCGGCTTCTCATGAAGTGCGCATGGACATCGCGAAGCAAAGTCAGAGTGACCGCAGGACCGGCGTCTCATATGAACGTCACGTCCGGAATTACTTCTTCTGGTGGGCAACCTTTCAACAGCAAGAGACAGCCAAAGTCCCAGGTCGCATTGCCGTCCCGGCGGAGCCGATCACGGCTGCGAAGGCCATCATGTTTCTCCAATATGAAAGTACCCGCCCAAAGGTATGTTCCAGAGTTCTCGTCTATCTCCCCAGTCGAGCTGACTGTTCACTCATGCAGAGGAAACGTGGCAGCATGGACGTGCAAGACGGGACGACCATCGGGAAGTCTAGGATAGCGCAGGCAATCTCAGCACTCGAGAGCCATCGCAAGAACTGCGAGCATCTGCACAAGGATGTGCCGGATGCGAGGATCAGCCTCCGCGCGGACCAGCGCATCTGCACCATTGAAGATGCCGTGAAGCACAACGAGCCTCTAAGAATTGAGAGAGCTCAGGCACTCAAGGCTGCGAGGACATCATCAGGTGCGTGGCTGTTTCTTATGCTCCATGTCATCGCAGGGTGGCTCACGATGATGTTCAGATACCTACAGCAACATCCAGCTAATGAACGCAGCAACCGGCTTCCTCAACATCTCCTCGGGAGTTCGCAAGCTTGTGACACACATCAGAGATCGCGCCATGCTCACATCGTCGAGCACAGCTTTTCGGGGTGACAACCTTCGCAGCTTGCTGTGGTCCGACCTATCGGTCTGCCAGATCCCGATGTATGATATCCAGCTTGGTCACAAGGTCCCGGTGAGTCTTCTGATGGAATCACGGGTGTCTGCCACATACTGACACAACCTTCCTTCTTCCAGGCTCTTGTTTTTATGGCAAACAATGGCAAGACAAACCAGAACGGGTGGACTGACGAGTTCAGCGCCTTTCATCACTGCCTCGTCGAACTCTGCAGCATCGGATCGATTGCGCTGCAGCTCTACAGCCATTTCCACATCCAGAACAATACAGTTCCCAACTTCGGTGTGGACATCACCGATCGGAACTTTGGGGAGTACGGTCGGCGGGATTGGTACTGGTATCACGTCTTCTATGCCTCGTGGCCGGACGCACCGATGTCATATGAAGGTGAGTCCCAATGACACCTCTGTGAGTTATATGTGCTGATACACTCTTGCAGCCCATCGCAGCCGCATCAATGCCCTTCACCTCCAACACGAGATCTCCATCACCAAGGTAACCCATGCTGGCCAGTCTTTCGCAGCACAGAACACACGCAGCCACGGGGTTTCTGCAAGCGACACCAAGGCTTTGGGCGGGTGGAGCAAGAGTGGATCATTCCGCTCCTGCTACGATCATGAACTGCCCGTTGACGCGCTCGTTGGATCGGCAATGTTTAATGCACGGCAACTGGGCACGTATTTCATCCCTCGGGATGTCCTCGGTAAGTGGCAAATGGCATGTCGCAGCAAAAAGGCGTGCTGAACATCCCATCCCAGACCCACCATTATCACTCAAGACTGCCATTTTCCCATGGCTTGAAGATCAAGAGCATGTGATGCGAGCGCGAGCTGAAGCAGAGGCGCTCGCGAAGGACATCACCCTCGTCCAGTTCTTCAGGGTCCTCACCTGGTTTCGCCATGTCCTGTTGCAGGACATGGCCATTCTCTACTCATGGAACCCCAGCACGCTTGTATTTCAGTATCCGCCATTCAACACTGCGACTTTCCGTGCTTTCACAGCTGACGCAGCCACTCACATTCGCGTGGCTGAGGAGCAAAGCCGCCTCGCATTTCAGCATCTCCCGGAGCGATTTGTCACCAGTGTCAAGGGCATTGTGACGGGGCTGGAGTTGGCTCAGCAACGAGATCATGAACTCAACGATGCGAGGTGGAATGCACTGTCGCACGATGTAAGTCAGCTCAAGACTCTGCTCGAAGAGGCAGTTTTTGCCCCAGTCCGCCGTAACTGCAAACATCGATGACGTGAGTCTCCCTTTATCCCTGCCATCGGGATGTGATGTAGTCTCCTGACGTCTTTCACATCTCGCAGCCAGTGGCAGCGGCAGTGTTTCTTCTGGCTCGTCGACACCAACACCCATGCCAGACATGTGCAACATGCCGCGAACAGCCTCAGACAGATGCAGCCTTGCGATTCTGCCGCCAATGCTGCCACCACCAGTAGCACCATCGCCACCGCTCCCACAAACACTGCTGCAGGCACCATCCTCGCTGTCGCCAATGACACCGGCCATCCGCACTGTCGAACAACAGGCCCATCTCACCACGCCCGGGCCGAGCTCGCCGTCAATTTCCACATCACTGTCGGTGATCACCATCAACATCATGGCATCTCCGAGCGCTGCGCCCGGTGTTGCTTCAAGCTTGCACGATCCACCGATGGGAAGCTCATCCTCCTCACATCACGAGTTTCGCATATCTTCTGGTGCATGTGCGCCTGCCCCTGTGATGGCAGCTGCAATGCATCAGCCTGTGGGTTTGCCAACACCACATTTTGCAGTTGCAGCACATGGCAGCACAGTACCGATGACATTGACACCATCATCTTCCCTTGTGCCACAGAATTCGTCGCTTGCTCCTCAGGCTCTGAAGTGGGCTGTGCTCACACGTAAGCATGGCGATGAGCAGCTTCAACGGTATGCACAGTGGGACTTCCACGGTGAGTGGTTGCCATACTACGAGTACCAATCGGTGCACCAGATCACTGACATATGGACGGAATGGGCTGAGGGGATCGGAAATTACCTGCCGGTGCGGTTGCTGTGTGAAGAGTGGGGTGCAAAGTGGTGTCAGAACGTGCCAAAATTGAAGACAGAGGCAAATCGGCGCATGAAGGTCATCCAGCTTGTGGAGGCTCTGCAGAAGAAGCGGAACTGGCACCTCGACATCACCCTGCGCTTTCTGCGTGAAAAGTACGAGCCTCAATATACTCCCCGCCAGTTCTGTGATTTTTTGAAGTGTGATCGTGGTGCGGGAGCTGATTCTGTGCTTGCCGCGGCGGCATCTTACCTGTAGGGCGGGCAGTTGTAGTAGTTGTAGCTTGCAAGCACTGTAGTAGTTGTAGCTTGCAAGCACCACTTCAGTTAGAGTGTGTCGGCATGCAAGTGATGTACAAACGCCGGAAATGGAGTGGCTTGCATGCCATCTTTTTCTGTAAGCAAAGACTTATATAATTATCTGCTCGTTGCTCGTTGCTCCATCATTGCCTGCTATGATTGCTCCGAACAATGAACAAAGGACTGGACCAGTCTTTACTAATGAGATAGGTATCAGCTGTATTAGTAGTCTGCAAAAGGCTTATGGTACAATGGAAGAGTAAGTAGGGACCCGGGCGGCACACGGACCATGACCGTTGTCGGGCTACAGACGAGTCGTGCGATGCGATGCAACCGCGCGCGACACGCACATGGATGCCGAACACCGTTGATGCCGAGATGGGATACGGGCGACAAAGATTGGGCCCGCTGCCCCAGCCAGCCCATGAACCCCGCACACTTGCACGTTGCACGCATCTTGCGCCATCCAGAAGAGGGGCTCAGACCAAGGGGGAGAGAAGGAGGTGTGGCCGATGTCGAAAGGACGATGAGAAGATGCCGGGAGGAGAGCACGCACACAGGCGTGAGCACGAGAGACGGCGGGCAGCGGCGGGCAGGCGCAAGCCTTCACGGCACGGGCTCACGACAGCGCTGGAACGTTCAAACTTGTATGCATTGCATGTGGTGCGTGACGTGAACCACCGCGACCACTGATGACGGTTGCCAGATCGGGCGGGCCAAGGGGAGATTGGATGAGAGATCAGTGGTGAGCATATACGCTGGCACGACGCGCGGGCATGATATACACAACACATCCGGCAGGGGCACCTGGCGTGAGCAGCCGAGGTGACCGCCATGGATACACCGTGTACCAGCGCAGCGATCGGAGTGCCCGGATTGGCCACAGCTGGCGGCATCGCCCAAAAAGGTGCCGCTTATGCGAGGTCACCTGCTTACGTGAGGTCACCGGCCGGTGGCCACCGGGGCTGTGGTACATAAGAGTATGCAACACACTTTACAACAATAATATGTTATGTTATAATATGAGTCTTATATGTCTGCTATATCACCTACTAACTTTTTCTATACCATTTAATATCAGTTGATAATACAGTATAGTGTAATTTATTTGTAGCTAACTGATAATAGTCTAACATATTGCTAAGTATCTTTGAGTAGAATTACCTAAAAGATAACTTTACAATGATATTACTCTGACCTTTTATCAAAACTATATAAGAATATTACTAAAAATTATTAGTATGCCTCTTCTAAAAATCACCTTTAAAATTGCTTTAAAATGATACTACTATATTGTTCTGCAAGAAGTATACAAAAACATTACTAAAAATTGACTAGTATGCATTCTAAAAGATTCAGCTTCAAAATGGCTTCAAAATGATACTACTATATCACTTTATGAAATATACATAAAAATATGACTAAAAAGTTATTAATATTCATTCTAAAAGACTCAGCTTTAAAATGGCTTTAAAATGATGCTACTATGTTGTTTTGCAAAAAGTATATAAAAACATGACCAAAAAGTGAATAGTATGCATTCTTAAAGATTCAGCTGAAAAATGGCTTCAAAATGATATCAATATGTCATTTTATTAAATCTATATAAAACATGGCTAAAACATCATTGATATTCATTTTACAAGGATTACTTTAATAGCCTACAATGTCATGTACTTACTCTGAGGTAACTATCTGATAGCTATAGTCATGCCACAATTTTTCTAATATTTATATATATTTTTTCATATTGTTTGCTCCAATAGGCACCTATTTGACAGCAAAAGTGAATTGGGTCTCACATGACTCAAATCATTTTCATTATGCAAAAAAGTGTCTGAAAGTGTTACTCATATAATAGCTACTATGTCATCAGATTTTTAGTATGACACCTAATACCAGTTTGTAAGCATATTATGGTAGTCTGACATACTACCTATTATGTTTAATAAAGGCCTTACAATGTTCTATAATATGATCTGGTAATGCCTACTAAACTTTTACAATATCTTATTACATAGTTTACTAACTTTTAGCAAGTTGCTCAGTATTGTAATGACCTTATAACAGTCTGGTATGCCACCTAGTATTTATGTCTAATGTCTTATAATAGTCTGAAAGGCCACCTAGTATCAGTTTGTAGAAGTCTTACAACAATCTACAATGTCATCTACCAAATCCTAATATACCTAGAAACCATGAATAGTCTATTATACTCTCTACTGACTCCTAGTATGTCATATAATAATGTCTAGTAAGCATTATATTATGATATTTGACTATACTGAGTAGTATGAGTTTATAAGAGCCTTACAATAGTTTACAAATTCATGTACTGACTCTTAATACATAAGAATCAGTACAAAAAATAACACTAGAAACTGTTACAAATGTGCCTATAAGACTTACTACAAAAAATGTTATTAACATGCCTATAAGAATCATTACAAAAGGTGCATACATGTAATGGGAGGCGAGACCTTATCACACCGAACCTCAGATACAGGTCATGGTGTGTAAAGTCTCTGACTTCAACACACTGACGTGTGCTCAATACACGCAGAGTGCATACAAATAGTACACAACAGTTACGTAATACATGATGAGATTAGATAAGATTAGGGCACAAGTACTGCTTGGTACTTGTGCCCCGCAATACAACAGTGGCACGTTACACCCTCCCCCACTGGACACGTTCCACGGGACCATAACACTGACTGTGCCATTGAGTGGATGATACAGGTGGCGATGCGAGGCGGGATGGCATGACGAGGCAAGACGACAGACGAGAGTGACGACAGACACGGCCAGAACACACAGGCGGATTGCGGGCACATGGAGGGTACGCATCACGTCCCCAGCCGTGGCCCACAGCGGCACGTCAATGGGAGGCGCGCCAGCATAAGCTAGTGGCCGCCCATGTCGTGGTCAGGGTCACCAGCCTCGGGGGTCACTCCGGGGTTGGGACCCAGCTGACTGCTGCCAGCAGGAGCGTTGCCAGCACCAGGTGTGGGTGGTTCAGGGTCTGACGGCTGCATCGCCATGTCCTCGTCGACGAGTGATAACAACTCATGGGGTCGGGGGTACCGGTCGAGTGCATCCATCACGAAGGTCCACTGGGAAGTGTCCCTCGAACAGGGTCACATCTTCGAGAACCCGTCTGAGGATGTAGTTGTGATGTCGACAGTGGAACTCCTCGAGGAATCCAATCCACATGGGATGGAATTCGCAGGCAGCATACCATCGCACGACATCATATATGGACGAGTTTTGTGCGAATGAGCGGGGAAATGGGGCTGGCTCGTTGTTGTTTGCCACGGGGTAATGTCCGACCTGTATGATCCACGCGTACAGTCCGGGGATGGAGAAAAGCTCCGCAGTGTGCTCGATGAACATATTGTGGGCTGTTGCGGGTACATCGGGTGGGATGATGGGGGCCATGCAGTGTGCAAGCCACATTGCCTCCAGGTCCTGGTGTAATGGGGCCTCCAAGCAGTTATCGTTCAAGTGCCTGACGGCCCAGTGAACCTGGCTTGGGTTCTGTGCGTACCACGCCACCCACTCATCAAACATTGATGAGCTGGTGGGGTTGGTCATCCTACGGGGAGGCGGAGCCATCGGCGGGTGGATCACTCTGGAGCTGCCGTGACGTCACCACGAAATGAGCAAGTTCATCATGCCGTGGGATGCGGTCAAGTGTCCGTCTTGCTGCATCTGCCGGATGAGGTCAGTCACCCAGGTGCGTGCACCATCGTCGCCCCCGTGGGCTGCGTCAATGAGTCGCTGCGAGTTGCGGACGTACCGGGGTACAAAGTTGTACCACTCGGTCGCCCTCCATGGCTGCGTGTTGACCGGTAGGGGGAACATATCGGGCCAGTTGTGCGGGGCCAGTGAGACATCGTTATCGGTGTTCGACGGCCGTGGCACTGTCTTCCCCTTGTCGTCGTTCCTCGATGCTCCTTGCCTGGGCAAGTTCATCGGGCCGCGGTTCCTCTGACACTGCTTGTTGAGCCGCTAGACCTCGGCTTCATCGGGCTCATTGTCGCTGTCTGTTATGGACAGCTCCGACTCCGACTCGTTGTTGTCGATGTGCTCGTAGGCCTGCTGTGCACGCCACTTCACAGGGGCGGGGGCAGGACCAACTGGAGGTCGAGGGGCATAGCCAGCCGGCGGTCCCGGGGTAGGATCAGTCGGCGGTCCAGGGGCACCACTCCTTGGTGGGGGCATTCCCGGGGCATGGTGTGTGGCCGAACTCGGCCTACTCGCCATGGAGTAAGGCGAGTATTGCTGTGCTCCCACGGTTGAGTATCGCGCTGGGGATCGACGTCGTGATCCTCTCGCGTTCGATGGCAGTGAGTACCAGTGTGAGCTGCTGTTCGTCGATGGGGGAGAATACCTTTGCTCCCTCGGGGGAGGTAGGTATTCCAGTGGGCACCAGTGGTGGCCAGTATTGTATAACAATACTGCAGGTAGCTGAGCAAGGTGTTGTTCACTACTCACCAGTCATTGTCAATTGTCAAAGTTATTGTTAACAACAGTCTGAGAGGATTGTAATACAATAACAACTTGTACAAAACAACTTGCACTCAGCCAAGCTTGAACCCTGGTCTTCCGGACACATGATTACATAAGCACATGCCGCACACACAATCTACCAACTGTTCCATTGGGCCATGCATTTCTCTCAGCCTCAATTCTATATAAGTCTAGTGCCTTCTCTAATGTACATATTAGAATCTTTTGTAATCACTACTATATCCTGTTGTTACTGTTACTTCTAATAGTGATTTGCCCACATTTTTCCATTTATTTCACCCTTCTAATAGCTTTGTTACATCTAATACAAATTTTCATATTACAGTTTTAATATTATTTGAATATTTACTGAACTAAAAAGGAAATGCTTAATATTAGGCACTCAAAGACTTATTAACAGAGACATCAATCACTGTTAAAAGCAACAGTAACAACAGGATATAGTAGTGATTACAAAAGATTCTAATATGTATATTAGAGAAGGCAGTAGCCTTATATAGAATTGAGGCTGAGAGAAATGCATGGCCCAATGGAACAGTTGGTAGATTGTGTGTGCGGCATGTGCTTATGTAATCATGTGTCCGGAAGACCAGGGTTCAAGCTTGGCTGAGTGCAAGTTGTTTTGTACAAGTTGTTATTGTATTACAATCCTCTCAGACTGTTGTTAACAATAACTTTGACAATTGACAATGACTGATGAGTAGTGAACAACACCTTGCCCAGTTACCTGGGCTGTTGTTATACAAAAGTGGGAATCACAGCTGCAGGAAGCCAGCCGGGCAACATGTTCGCCAGTCTGGTCCCTGTCCATACATCGCTCCAACACCATATAATGACACATCAGATATCACCCAGATGGGTTCTGGTTGACGTGGATCGATTGGCTTCAGGATGGGTGCCTTGCACGCCAAAGCTTTGATCATTTCAAAGCATTTGGTGTGCATTGGGTGCCATACAAACGCTCGGTTGTTGTGAGCCATGTCCGACAATGGCGATTACATCAGGCATGAAGTGTCTCAGGTAGTTCACGAGCCCTAGGAATCGTTGTACTTCTTTGTAAGATCGAGGTTTTCGCCATTCGTGAATACGGCTCATCTTGTCTGAGTCTGCATGGAGTCCTCGGTCATCGATTAGATGACCTAGGCAATCCATGCTCCATGAGTATAGGTCGCATTTCGTCTCGCTGAGGTAGAGCTTTGCCTCCCTCAGCTTATGGAATACGATTTTCAGATGATGTTCGTGTTCTTCGATTGTATCGGAGAACACGAATATGTCATCAAGGTATACATGGACATATCGTCCGATGCAGTCATGGAATATCAATGTCATGAGGCTTTGGAATGTTGCTGGGGCATTACAATCGCCTTGTTGCATGATGTGACTTACGAACGTACTGTATGGGGTGGAGAACGCTGTTTTCCAGACATCCTCCGTTGCCACACATATTTGTTCGTACGCGTCAGACAAGTCAATCTTCAACCAGTACTTGGCACGAGATACGTCCATACGTATCTGGTCCTGGTTGCGTTTATGCGCATCGACAACTGTCCGTAATTTTCCACTCTTCTTCACAATACATATCATGGGCGCTGCCTGGGGAGCCTGCTTGGACTCCCATCAGCCAGTGTTCTGGTATCATTGGATCTTGGTTAGGAGCAATGGTTTTATTGTGTCGGCACATCTCGGTAATCGCTGTCAATACTGCTCATCGTTATTGATGAGCGGTATTCGATGGTTGATTTCACGGAATGGTGGAAGAATTGGGGGCGGGGGACACATTATGTCCCTCGTCTTCTCAATCCAGGCTTTTCGGTGTTCTTTTAGTTTCTCCTCGGATGCTATTGCGTCTGAGGGTTCTATGAACGTGGCGCGAATTTCTTCGTCTTTACAATGTTCATTCAGTGCAAATGCCATTAAGTCATTTAGACCTAATGGGTTTGGCTGACCGAACCGATCTCGTCGTGGTTCATTTATTGAGTGTCTAGTCGGTGCGAACTTCTTCAAGATGTCAGGAAAACAGTCCTTTTGGGGCTGTTTTCTGTTTCTCGTGGTTGGTTTTTCTTTCGCCTTGACATTTCTGTCATTCCCCTCCCCTCTTAGGACTGTCCCTGGGTTCGCACCACGAGACTGGGGCAGCTTCACGGCCATTGGTCTCATTGCGGCCCATGGGGTCCTATTGCGGGTTGTCCGGGGTTATGGCGATAACGGTACTGAAGTTGTTGTGCATGCAGTAGTGTAAGTGCGACATATCCTTGCAATTCGCAAGGATTGTGGCCTCGTCCACTTCCGCGTAGGTCAGTATCTTTTGCCATCGGATCGATATGGTGTGGTCCTCAAAGTCGAGGACCACGCCATATTTATGCATGAACACTGTGCCTAGTATGGCGTCGTATCTATCGATATTGACGACGTCTAGGTAGTGTTGTGCCTTTACTGGGCCTATAGATATGGTGGGTCGTGCACCATAATTGATGTGCGTCCTGCTTCCCTTGGTGCCCAGTTGGAGACCTATTTGGTCGTCCAGATCAATTCGGTCTGCCTTCGAGATGTATGCCATCTTCAGAGAAATGGAGTCCATTGTGCACCCCGAGTCGAATAGTGTATAGGTCTTGATCTCATTGATCAAGACCTCTGCATATAATGTTCATTGTGTCTGTGGGTTTCGCTGAGGCTGCATGGCTGGGTCGGTCAGGCATTATACGTGTGAATTGTACAGCCATGCATTCCTCGAGGATCGTGCATCTGTTGCAGGTTCACTAGCGTGGAGGTGTACAGTTTGCGTACACTCTACACTCTCCAGGCTTGTGTTGATACATGGCGCCAAATCTCATTGATCCCAGGTGAATGTCGTAGTCATCATTCCAGCCATCGTCTCCAGATGGGGGTTCACGCTCATCTGCCGATGAGTACTGTGATCCTTTTGGAGCCCAGTCCGACTCAGGATATGTCTGATATCCTGTGTCGTTCTGGTATGGCCCTTCGTTTCCATCAGTTTCAGGGGTCATCTCCTGTGGAGCCAGCTCCTGAACTGTAGCCTCTGGTTCTGCTGATTCTTGGTTTGCCTGTTCCTCATCCTCGGAGTGGTCATCGACTACACGTTGTGCGTGTAGTCGCGCGGGCCGAGGTTTACTGTAGTTCGGGCACGTCGGGTCTGTCGAGAAGTGGCCCTTGCCACCACAAGAATAACAAGTGATGTTTGTGTTCGTCGCCTTGTTATTTGCTGGTGGTCTCAATCCCGAGACTGCCGGGTTTGTAGTAGGATGACCACCCCCATGATGTTGTCCATCGCATGGGTTCATCATTCTACGGCCAGCATTACCAGCCTGCCGTGCATGTCCTGGGTGTGCCCCTCCTCGTCCTTGTCCTTGCGGGCAGTAGGTAGGTCGTGTATCTCCCGTCGATGATATCATCAGCGCGAGGAATGACATGGCCTTGCTTGAAGTCCGGGTCCCTGTATGGTCCCCAGTCTTCTGAGGCTGTTGGCGGTCCTTGTATGTACGGTATTGATCCAGCCATCCGTTGCCCTGTTCGATCGCCAATGCCAATCGATACAGTGCATCAATAGTGTGTTTCTTAGGCGATAGTAGGTGGGCTAGGCACATTACTTCTACCATTGGTAGCGGTAACGCATCCATAAACCTCTTCCGGAAGGCATATTCCATTGGGTATTGCACCATGCGATCTGCGTGGTGTAATAGCCTGTCGTATAGTTCACTCATGTCACCACGTGATAGGCTGTACATCACCTTGTCGTACTTCTCGGATGCTATTAGCTCTGAGTCCTTGTGTAGGAACCGTCGGTGGAGGTGCATCACTGCATCCTTGAAGTACCACTGTCATACTTCGTGGTTCGGTGACTGCACATTCAGGAAAAACCAGTTGGCAGCATCATCTTTAAGACTTTGCCCCAATATTCGCAGATGATCATCCGCATCCATGGCATCGCCAGTGATGTGGAGAGTCTTGAAGTATTCCAGCAACTTCTGTAGCCAGACCTCGAATGCATCAAGATCGTCCTTTCCATCGTACTGTGGCGGTGAAGGCATCTTGGTGACTCTGAGGTATGCTGGTGGTTCGTTGATGGGATCTCTTGATACCATCTCGTCCACCATTGTATGGATCCTCTCGATTGCGAGAGACATATCCGGAGATATCGCTCCTGAGTCATGTGATTGTTGTACGGTCATGTGGCCTGTGTGCGTACCTGGTGCGGCTGTTGTATTCATTCCCGGGAATCAAGGGGGTCAGTTCACTACGGTAGTGACTGCCGGGTTTGGCTGGGTCACTCCCGATTGGAATGTTACGTTCCGAGCAATGTTGGGCTGTTGCATAGCCGCCATTGCGTTCACTGCAGGACCTTGCATCGGTCCTGCAGGTCGTGTGTTCGTTCCCACTGTGGGCTGCCCTTGCAGCCCATGGGGGTATCCAGGTCCTGCAGGTCGTGTTGGTCGAGGAGGCAGTGGTGGCGAAGTCGATCCATTGGATCGCGGTAGTTGTTGTCCTCCAGGTCGGTGTCCCCGGGGTGGTGTTGCGGGCCTTCAACCATTTCTTCTGAAATGGTTGAAGTTGTTCCCATCATCTCCGGGGTATGGACTGGAGTTGTCTGAATCGTCACTTCCGGGGTCACCTTCAGGAGCTGCTACTGGAGCCGTTCCGGATTGGAGCGATCCCCACATCGCGCAAGGTGTCGATGATACCGGCGGTTGTACTCTGAATGTCCTCAACACCCTTTC